AGAAGCGTTGGCTACAAAACCCTAAACTGATGTGCTTTTGGCATCAAATTGACAGACGCAAAAACAATGAGAACGCTGACCAATACCTCTCTTTATATCATTAGCTGAGACTCTTTAGCGCAACAGATTTTGACAATATACTTGTGTGATCAGTGCTGAAGTTAACACTTCATGAACCGAATTACAAGAAAAAGGACGTCCACTAACCTATACGTCTGACAAATCCCGAGCTCAGAAGTGCATTTTTTTACTGTCTTCCCTTGCCAGATTTGTACGGGTCTGCATAAAATATATTCATATGCGTTATAGACCAAGCATTAGGTCAAAATGGCTGGATATTGGCCGATTTTTTTTTTTGCGTATTTAAGGACTGAGACGAAGTCTTGGTCCAAAAAAGAAAAAGAAACGAGGCTAATATCCAGTCATCTTGACCGAACAAGCTCGATCAAGAGAGTTTATGTTCTCTTGACTTAAACATTAAAGGATTCGTTGTGTAGTGAAAGATTTCGCTTTGATAAGAATCAAGAATGACTTGTTTATTTCGAGAGCCGAGAGTGAAAGCCAACTGTTTTAGCACAATAAACCCAAGAAGGTCGTTTAATTTTTTCTATGTATATGCCGACATTGTCCAAAAGTTACGAACTTTATGAGTTTTCTTGCGCGGTATCAATACGGGGAATTCCGAGCGGGCGAGGGTGGGCTCATTTTACCCGCTCAGGTATCCAATCAGAACACAGGATTCACTTCATCTTGCCCACGCGCGCTGCTAGCTATATGATAAAGTGACTTACGGAGTTAGATATCTACTGACCAATCATATTTTATCCCATTTCACGATCACAGGTCTCGACATGTTGCTTTTTTTCCACGCAAGAGTCAAATTGAACTCTTGAGCTACAGCGTTCAACGCATGATGGTCAGTTGATGGCCTAATGAACCATTAATTTTTTCCTTTAGCCTCTCAAGACGGGTGCATCAGTTCCCGAACCGAAATATCGGGAAAACATATCTACCACAGTCAATATCAAGTTTTTATTTCATTTTTTGTCTTCATCTCTCCTCCCCTCCATGAGGGGAGAAAATGAATAGATAAATAAATAAATAAATGAAAAAAGAAAGCTCAACAGTTTCCACTTATAGTCATATAGTACATGAACTGATTACCAAAGGGGAGTGAAGCCATATCCCAGGTTCAAAATTGAATAAATTAAGATAGTCATTCTTAAATATGAACTCAAATGCTTCATTAAAATCAATTGAAACTGAATAACATTGATGTACAAAATTTTAGTTACACTAATGACAATAATACATTTCTTTTGGATTAACATGTGACACAGCGAAATCATTCAAACTGTTCTAAAATGGTACATCACTACTAACGACTTTAACACGAACGATTACATCAACAATAGTATGCTAGTTTATCATCAGTTGTGGTCAATTTCTTTTCCAAAAACTCCTAATGATTACGTACCAATCGAGTTCATCCACTTGAACTTCCAGCCAAGCATTAGCCCACTTTGGACTGGAAATGATTTTCTTCAGCTCGATCAATAGACTGCTTAAAGGACCATCCTTTTTTAAAAGGCTTCGAGCGCTGATTAAACAAGACTTCAATCCATCAGAAACGTGAAGCCTTGGTAGAAATCGTTTCAGACGTTGCACCAGCGCCCTGAAGTGTGTATTTATTTTGCGTAATGTTTGGTATGTGTGGCGTGCATTATTAGCAAACAGGATGGCCGACGACGCTAACACTGTTTCTAAGATTTTTCCTATAACTTCATTGGGAAGATTTCAATGTTACATTCGTCATCTCCTCTCGTCGCAAATAAGTCGATGTGTACATCTGAAACAAACTAAACCTCCATCAGCTTATCACCATCATTGGCTATACCATTGTCGACTTCATTTTGCAATTCAGACTCAGTCTCGTTTGTTCGGCTTCCATGAGTAAGTCCCTTAGCTATATCTATAGCAATGTCTGTGTGGTCACCAATGCCGACGATACTATCAGGTCCACTTTTTGCGTCAGTGTCACCCATTTCAAAATCAACGACGTCCTGCTCTATATGCATTTATTTACATAACCCTCGAAAATTTGTGATGACCCTTCTCCTGGGTCATTTGCATCGCATTCTTTTTCACTAGTGTCGTTGTGATCCGCAACTTCTTCCAAGCTCAAATAGTGTTCGCCTTAGCAGAATGTCCAAGGCACACGGTAGCTGCTGAAAGACTTGCTGACGGACTGAACACATGTCGCCCACCAACTCCTAGAGAGGAAACTATTTGGATGTCGATATTGTAATCTGATCCCCATAGGTCCCATCTCGTGCCATATGAGTTATGTAGTCGTCCCAGCAAGCAAACTCATCATCTGCCAAATGCTCCAAAAGTGGGAAGCCATCGCTATAGTACGGATTACTTTTTAAGTACTGTGCTATTTCTTTCCTCGTGGTTTCAGGAGATCTCAAAATGCCTAGTCTCTTTGTCTGGTGCGATAGTGCAGCAAATTGGAAGCTGTCATCTCCAGGAGGATTGTAAACCAATTTGAAGCCCTGATCTTCGATAGCCTTTGCATAATCGTCTCTTCTCATAGATATGTAGTACTTTTTGTAGGGGTCAATTTTTTTTTCTTTTTACACAGCTTGGCGCATTTTTGTTTCTGTTTTTCTTGCTCTAGTGTTATAGGCTTGTGACATCGTCCACAGAGACCCATTTCCTCTCTTCCTTTCCTGAAAGCGGTGAGGCGTATGAAACCTTATAGTTATGCAACTTGATCTTTCGTTTCTCGATACGACCCTCCGTCACATGCCGTTTATTTAATGGTTTCCTTCTCAAACGTATATACACTTTTTCTCCGATGCTGTAAACCATGGGCGGATTTAAGCAAAGTTGTGTTCGCTGCATCTGCTTGTCACATCTGCTCATGGCTTTTTTAGCTTGCTTTTGTAATTTTAAAGCTTGCCAGGAACGCCGATTACGGTCATTCTTAGTTGGGCGAACCCTCCCAGCACTAGGAAGGATTTCGTCTTGTAATCTGCTCTCTCTGAAGGTGTTGCACTTTCGTGCAATGTATATTTCGAATGGTGTTTTGTAAGCGATCACTTTCTTAGGATCGTTATTTGAAATTCTTTGATAAAAAGGGAGCTGTTTCACCCAGTTTACACCGTCTTGACCCATTTTTTTGAAGGTCATATTCCATCTTGGGTCTTAGTGTCCTGTGGCAACGTTCTACCTTGCCTTGTGATTGGGGATGGCGCGGGTGACTGTAAATCAATTTTATATTCACGCGATCGCAAAGTAATTTCAAGGCTCTCTTGAACTTCCCTCCATGGTCGCGCTGGATTATTTCTGGCGATCCATGCTTCATATAAATAGATTCCAATTCACTTGCAATAGCCTGGCTTGATTTGCTTTCCAAAGTACGAAGCCAAAGGAAACGGCTGAAAGCATCAATCACTGTTAGATCGTATCTGTACAAATGCTCATTCATCTTCACGGATCCTTTTTTGCTCATATCTATAAAAAATATCTGGTGCCTAACATGAACGTCTCTGGCTCTGATAGGTTTCAGCTTCGGCTTATTAAGAAACTTAGCATTTCGGCGATAATTACTTTTGTCCATGTTTAGAATAGTTGTAGCTTAGCTCGACTCCTAAAAAGTTGTCCTTCAGTAAGCAAGCCAACATCCCCCATTACGTGCATGTCATTCTCATAATGCCGATTCAGGAGAAGAAAAGTCCGTTTCAGAGTCAGGTCATGCTGTTTTATCTAATGTCTGATCGTTAAGGAGATCAGTGCGTCGAGCAAACCTTGTTTCCTTTTTCTTTCTTTCTTTTCTTTTTTTTTTTTTAATTCTTTAAATAAAGTAATGTACCATTAAAAAACGGCTCACACGAATTAGTTGTACTCACATCTCAGAAAGCAAGGAACAAATTTTTGCGTGAGGCTTTGGGGGCCGAGACATCATTTACCGCCTTCAAACTAAACAACCATTTTTAATGTTCATCATATCTCACTCGTGTGACTGTTTCCGGCCTTATATGAAACGTAATCGAGCAACAAGCATGTGCTCAGAAGACCTGTTGCATGTCATGAGCACGTTCATGACATACTCCAGATTTTTGTTGAATGTCTGTTTTGTGATTGGCAATCTGAGCTGGTGTTTTGTGATAATGTGTCGGTTAGCAGCTTCTTTGCATTTACACCTGCTAAATGTAAGTCACTGAGTATATGATTCGATGCAGACACATGCAATACCTTATTCGTTTTTCGGATCTGTTGTTTGCATTTCAAGATCAAGAGAACATAATTGTCCCAGTTATGTTCTCTTGGGGAGAAAAATGATTTTTCCATATTCAAATACTCAGGCAGATATTCGAGAATTTGAAAGTAATGACTGTTTAGAGTGCTGTCACGAGGTCCGAAGTGGTAGACAAAATGTGCATGCTAACAAGGTCTATGCAGGCATGGAAAAACAACAAATTGGTATCCGAGTCTGCAAACTGTCCGGCCTTTAAGTCAGCGGACTCCTTTGTCCAAGTTTTTAATTTGGTTCATGACTTTTTAAGTCCATCACTGATCACACAAGTATAATTTTATCGAATTTTTCCAAAATTTATCGTATGTAAGAGTCTGAGCCAGTGACATATGGAGAGGTTTTTGTCAGCGTACTAATTGTTTTGCCAGCTGTCATTTGATGCCATTTTCTCATCAGTAAAATGGTTTGCGGCCAATGCTTCTCGACTTATGTCTGGCAAATAAAAAGACGCTGATCGATATCAGCGAACCCGTGATGTGACATGTATACTGGTCAGGGGTTTTTTTCGGTGCAACAGCTGTCACTTCAACATCTCTATGTGGATGTCCGCCATAACAACAGTGCACTGAAGGAGTTAACGATTGCATTGGAATTATAACATTTAGGACTTTATTACATTTAGGACAGTTATTACATTTAGGCCTTCAAAAAAAGTTATCTTTTTTTAGTAGCTCTTATGCGCATGTCTGATGCTGATGGAGAGATAATCATCGAAGATGTTCCAGTTAAAGACATTGGCCTCCAAGAAGCCCGACGAGGTGTTTCGGTTCTTGGCCAGAGTCCTGTTCTTTTTAGTGGATCATTGAGGAAAAATCTCGACATTTTAGACAAGTTTCAAGACGCTGAATTATGGGAGGCCTTAGAGCATGTGTAACTGAAAGATTCTGACGAGGCCCTTAAGGCCAAGCTGGATCACGAATTGCTGGAACATGGCGCTAATTTCAGTGTGGGAGAGCGGCAGTTAATTTTCTTGGCTCGTGTGCTGCTACAGCGAAGTAAAATTGACGTCTTTGACGAGCCAACTCCGCATGTAATCCCAGACACAGAGCAGACGATTTAGAACTAAGTGCGGGACAAAATGAAGGAGTCCACTGTCATCACTATAGCCCACTCTTTGAACACGATAAAAGGCTGCGAGAAGATTTTGGTCTCGAAGGATGGAAAAGTTAAAGGGTTTGACAAATTCGATTCAATAATGAACATGAAGTGAGATACGGTCTAAGGTTAAAACACCTCGATTGTCAAGCAGGTCTGATTCTACAGAGCTCAAGATATTATATAGTTTACAATCTTCTCCAGAGTTTTAATTCTGTACATCGTGGAAAATAATAACATTTGAGTTTTTTGCTCGGTTTTAGCTCCTATATTTAAAATCTCTCTCGCTGTCATGTTTCGGGGTGTCACGCAACGTCCATTTTACCGTGGTTCTGTTTAGTAATAGATCTTAGATAAAGTCATAATGTGGTAAGAACAGAAAACCGGCACACTAGGTGCAGGCGTGCCACTGAGTTCCAACTGCTTTATGACGTCCTCTATGATCTATCAATGAACAGACCCACCGTAAATTAGACTACATTTGTTTTATGTAATAAACAAAGGAAATTTTTTTTCATGTTGACGTCACTTATCCGTCTGTCCCCCAACTGATCATAAGTAAAAAACCAATGGAGATTCCTTGGGAACGACTTACTAGCGCCACTTACAACCCTTCGCAACGCACACAAGAAACAAGATAACAGTTTATTCATAAATAGGAAATTATTCAGTAGTCTAGCTATGTCCAGATTTAGGGTCCTATATCAGAGAGTAACAGGTTTTCATGTCAACATTCACGTTGGGTGTAAATTTAGATCTCCTCGGATGAGCATGTCAACATTCACGTTGGGTATAAATTTAGATCTTCTCGGACAAGCGGAAAGAATGAGATGAGTTGCAGGTCTACGAGATAGCGGCAAAGATTAGCTAAAGTCTATGTGAGATGTATAACTCCATTACAGACTATCCCAGACATACTACCTCAAAGAGGAGTTCAAAGGCTCCAGGAGACCCTCCCCCCTTACCCCACCACACCCCCACCACCTTCGAACAGCGATCTTTATGTCACGCGTTAATTTGTTCGACAACTGAGCACGCTTACATATTTTTGCGATTGTAATTCTAGCGTTCTCACAGAGTGCACATGCCTTCCCTCTGGGAACTTATATAAAACATCTCTAGACACATAAAATTGCACAAGATTTTCCTTCCCACATCCCACTTTTCAACAAATGATCTTTCGCATGCGCCATGCTTTCTCATATGATCTCCATACGTATGGGCGTATGACGTATGACTGTCTTCCGTGCCCAGGGGAGGGGATTTTGAACCTTGCTTGGGTGGGATGGGAAATCTGAACCGAAACTCTCAAGTCTTTCTGGCGGAATAAATGTGTTATATCTTTTAATATGGAGTTCATTTAAGATTAAAAGATCTCTTTCGCGAGTAGATGGCTCAGAGGAAGAGGTCTCCAAAAAGGTCATTGCCATAAATCTTGTCTTTTACAAAAAAATTGACGATCAAATCTAGCACTCGAGTGGGGCGATTGAACAAACATCTTTAACGGAATTTTCCGTAGCATCGTTCCTTGGCCATAGTCCTGTCCTTTTTAGTTAATAATTGGGAAAAAATATCGACATTTTAGACTAGTTTCAAGACGCTGAATTATGGCAGGCTTTAGAGGATGTGCAACTGAAAGATTTCGTCGAGGCACTTAAGGCCAAGCTGGATCACGAGCTTCTGGAGCATGGCGCTAATGTCAGTGTTGGAGAGCGGCAGTTAATTTGCTTGGCTCGTGTGCTGCTGCAGCAAAGTAAAATCGTCGTCTTGGACGAGCCAACTACCCATGTAGACCCAGACACAGAGCAGACAATTTGAAATGTAGTGCGGGACGAACTGAAGGAGTCCACTGTCATGACTATAGCTCACCATAAGAGACTGCCAAAAGATTTTGGTGTTGAAAGGTGGAAAAGCTGATGGATTTGACAAATTTGATTCGATAATGAACAGTGATTGAGATGCGGCCTAAGGTGAACTGGGAGCTCGAATTTTAAGTCAGACTTAGTCCGGCAGGGCTCTATTGCTCTCTTATTCATCGAAAAGAAAACAACTATAAGCTCGTTGCTCGGTTTTACCTTCAAGATACTACGAAGCATTTTTAAGTTCTCCCGCATTCTGACACCCTGTGTGATCTATGATTTGACAAACCCACGACAACAAGAAATTTATTTATCTAATACAATGAAAAAAAAAATACTGCTCATGGTGACGTCATCAACGCGTCTGTTCTCCATTTGATCATCAGTACAAAACCAATGGAGATGCCCTGGGTATGACCTATATGCTCGACTTACTACCTGTCGTAATGTACACGAGCAACAGGATTGTAGTTTACTCAGTTATAAATCTTGTTCCCAGAGCCCCCGCTCGCATAGCTCCTTGCGGGAGGGTAACAAAGACATGTCTGTGATCCCCGTCGCAAGGAATTAGTAGAGCCTGACATTTGGGAAGAGGTTGGGAAGAGACTGTTCAGTTATACGAAAATGTTCAAGGGTCTACCATGATTTTTCAAAGGAACGGTGTCAAGATTAAGAGTGCCATATCAGAGAGTAAAAAATTTTCATGTCAACATGTAAGATAAATATATCTGCTCGAGAGAATATACATTTTATGTTCTCTGCTCAAGACATAAATTCTCTTGCTCTGCTAAAAGTAAACGATGACTACAGTCCCAACGATAGATACGCAATAGTAAAAGTCTTTGATGGATCATAATCACTGATATGTCTTGACTGTTTGGCCGTCAGTTGATCATATTTTTATACAAACGTTTTCTTTAGATGCCGTCTTGTGTCTACTGTTAATACGCTTATGGTTAATCTTAATACTAGAAATGACACTTTCTAAGTTTATAATCAACTGGTAATTTAGGGATGCGTCACACACTGCTGGAAGGAGATGGCAAAGGGATAGTTCTCGCGACCTAGAGCCTGTTCACATGGAGGTTGGGGACCCCAGGTAGGTGAGGTAACCTGCCCAAGTGGGGTAACCCGCTTAGGGTAACCTGCCTGAGCAGGCAGCCCGGTCTCTCGGGAAGGGTTGAAGGCCTAAATGTAATAATTGTCCTAATTTACATCGACCTTATTTCTGTTGTCACGCGAAAAGGGTTCGCTCATCTTTTAAAATATGCAATATGTTTGGTGTGAAAGACACTATCCGTTGTAAGCTCCGTACATGTGTGGTTTACAGGTTTTTATGTGCGGACTGTAATGCCTGCTATGTCGGCGAAACCTCTCAACATTTATCCACACGCGTACGTGAGCACTTGGTCAGTGATAGAACCTCTTACATTTTTGGACATCTACACAATTCTCCACAATGTCGCACTCTTTGTTCTGATAAGCGTTTTAACAGCTTAGATCACGCTTCCAGAACTTTTCAACTTAAAATCAAAGAAGCTATCCACATTCGATGGGAGAAACCTACTCTTAATCCGTGACCAACTTTATCGTGTGAATTTGAAACTTTCCTTGCAAATGCATATATTGTTCTGTTACTATTGTTTGCTTTGTCCAATCAGCATTTTGTTACGCACTTAAAATTCAACTTTGTACTTTGTATTATTCAGAACTGAAGATGACGGAGGAGCTGTTGAATCATGTTCTTTAATTTTAATAGTGTTGTTTCATTTTCTTGAATTTGTTAGATATCTGCCTCTATCCAGACCTTTTGGAAAAGTTAGACAGGTCTCAAATCCATGCGAGAGCAAACAGCGCCAGGTCACGCATCTGAGCTGTCATCAACAAAATGATGCAAATTAACGGTGAAAGGATCATTGCTCAAGGGTTTGGATGGAAAAAACATTATTGGAGAGATTGCTGTTAATGAAATGTAACTTTGAACTAAACATTTCGTTGATTTTCAAATGTAAAAGTAAATTTTCCCGCCCATTGCCCACACCTTCAAAGACTATGGTTTCCAGCCATTTTAACCTATGGTTGCTATTATTATGACTACGAGAACATTAGTAGATAAGTGTTCTGGGCAAAGTTAGTTTGGACGAGTCTCAAATCCACGCGAAAGCAGACAATGCTATGTCCAGCATAAGTGATTATTCAACTTCCTAGTGAAATCAACATTTTAGCCTAACATTTGGTTTGTTTGCTCATAGCTTTCAGATGAACAAATGAATTTCGTTTCATTCTGGCAATTTTTCACCTGACAAATTAAAACAAAAGATGGTAAATAAGACGAGGATAGTAATACAAAGGATAATGAATGAGACGAGGATAAGTTCCCAACATACCGTGTAGAAGTTGAGGAATTGCACTTGACTATGCAAAAACTTCCGAACCAACTCCCAACAAGTTACTCAGCATCAAAATCACGCACTTGTGTTTTTTTAAAAAAAGCAAATTAAGGCAAGAAAATGAGCTTGATAAGCAAGAATTAGTCATATTTCTGTTCGTCAGGTTTTAACTTGAAGATTGCGCGAATGAGCTTGACTATCTATGACACTTTTAACATCACCATTTGTAACGCGATCCTCGCTTTAGTTTGTTTCACTCAGTGTAAATTGTTTTACAGCCGATTCGCTCTGACAAAGGGCTAGAACTCAAAACGCTACTTTAGAATCTCTTTTAGACGGCCAGTTGGTAAAACTACGGCTTACCGTTGATGAGTGTACGGAAAGCCCTGAAACGCGACAGAATAAGCTTTCGATTGAACGACACTTCGATTCACCCGAAGCGATGTAAATTACGCGTTGATCAACTCGAAGCTTGAACATCCCCCTTGGGCAACTCCCCGGACACTAAATTGCCAATTTTTTTTGTAAAAAGGCAAGATTAGTGACGGTGACTTTCTCGGAGACCTCTTCTTCTAAGCCATCTGCTCGCGAGAGTGAACTTTTAACCTTAAAACAACTCCACATCAAAATATATAACACGTTTATTCCGCTAGAAAGACTTGACAATTCCGGTTCAAATTTCCCATCTTCACCCCCGCGCATGTAAGACAGTCATATATCCGAACAGAGTGCGGAGATCACACGAGAAAGTATGGTGTATGCGAAAGATTATTTTTTAATAGGTGGGATGTGAGAAAGAAACGATTTTAAGTGTCTAGAGATGTTTTAAATAAGTTACCAAAGGGAAAATATGTGATCTCCAAACTATGGAAGAACGCCGGGGTTACCATCGCAAAAAAAATGTTAGCGTGCTCAGTTGTCAGGACAACTGAATGTGTGACACAAAGTTCGCTATTCGTAGGGGGTGGTGGTTGGGTAAGGCAAGGGAGGAGGTGTCCTGAAGCCTTTGAACTACTCTTTGAGGCAATATGTTTGGGAGAGACTGTAATAGAGTTGTTTATCTTACATGGTACTTAAGTCATCTGTGCCGCTAACTTGTAGGCCTGTATTTCCTCTTTCTTTCTGCTCATCCAAGAAGATCTAAAATTTTTACCTAACGTAAATGTTGACATGACAGCCTGTTACTCTCTGATATCGGACCCGATATCTGGACATAGCTATCCCCCCCTGCCCACTCAAAAAAGCATAGTTAGGCTGCTGAACAGTTTCCTATTTCTGAATAAACTGTTATCTTGTTTCTTGTGTGCATTGCGTTGAGTGGTAAGTGGCGCACGTATGTCGTTCCCAGGGGATCCCCATTGGTATTTTACTTATGATCAGTTGGGGGAAAGACGAATAAGTGACGTCAATATGAGGAAAATTTTGCTTTGTTTATTACATAAAACATATGTAATCTACGTTATGGTGGGTCTCTTCTTTAATAGATCACAGAGGACGTTATAGAGCAGTAGGAACATTAGTGACACACTCGCTCGCGTCAAGTGTGCAGGTTTTTTTGTTGTCACCTCATAATGACTTCATCTGTGATCTATTACCGAACAGACCCTTTGCAAAATGCGCATTGCGTGACACCCCGAAACATGACAACGTGAGAGATTTTAAAGACGCATAAGAGTATATAGGAGCCAGAACTGAGCAAAAACATCAAATGTCATTCTTTTCCACGATGTGCAGAATAAGAGCTCTGGAGAAGATTGTAAACTGTATAATATCTTGAGCTCTGCAGGATCAGACCTGCGTGGCATTCGAGGTATTTCAACCTTAGACGGCATCTCACTTCATGTTCATTATTGAATCAAATTTGTCAAATCCTTTAACTTTTCCATCCTTCAAGACTAGAACCTTCTGGCAGTCTTTTATCGTGTTCAAACGGTGAGCTATAGTGATGACAGTGGACTCCTTCAGTTTGTCCCGCACTACATTCCAAATCGTCTGCTCTGTGTCTGGGTCAACATGCGCAGTTGGCTCGTCCAAGACGACGATTTTACTTCGCTGTAGCAGCACACGAGCCAAGCAAATTAACTGCCGCTCTCCAACACTGACATTAGCGCCATGTTCCAGCAGTTCGTGATCCAGCTTGGCATCAAGTCTCTCGACAAAATCTTTCAGTTGCACATCTTCTAAAGCCTGCCATAAATCAGCATCTTGAAACATGTCTAAAATATCGAGATTTTTTCTCAATGATCCACTAAAAAGAACAGGACTTTGGCTAAGAACTGAGATACCTCGTCAAGCTTGTTGGAGTCCTATCTCTTTAATTGGAACATCGTCGATGATTATCTTTCCGTCAGCATCAGGCATGCGCATAACAGCTGCTACAAAAGATGACTTCCCAGCTCCTGTACGGCCGGCAACTCCGATCTTTGCTCCTCCTTTGATGCTAATATTTATGTTCTTCAGCACTTGAGGTCCCCCCGGATAGTACGTCAATGATACATCTCTGAACACAATACTTCCTCTCCGAGGCCAGTCTTTTGGGGGTATTCGTTCATCCTCGTATCCAGGCTCACGTTCAAGTTTGGTATAGGTCATAACTCGCTCAACTGACGTCATGTAATTTTCCACTTCAGAGGTTTTTCTAACAGCGTATTGAGTCATATTCAGAGTTTGGATGACGTAAACAAGAGCGAGACCAGCGTAAGCTGAAAAAAAATTGGGCCTTGAATTTATAAATTCGGACTAGTTTTCTCTTAAGGTGGTCTTCCACTCAAATTTTAAAAAAATTCAGTTTATGCTTTACCTAAGTTATTTAAGTACCATTGGAGAGATCACCTCAAACTGATACTTTTAAGAATTTTGATAGACATGTCGTTGCCATGGTAACCAAGTTTTGGGCCCCCAACTGTGAAAATAATGGTGTTCTTGTAAAAAGGATATCTCAAGAACTAGCGGTCCTATTCACCTGAAATTGGTATCAAAACTAAGTACAAAGATGGCTTTATGTCATGAACCTCAGAAAACCCATATTTTTTATGCCAAGCTATTATAAAATTGCAACTGTTCCTTGATTACAACATTTTTGTTTGTATTATCACCATGGATACATCTGTCAACAACCATGTAACTAAAAATCACTAATAATTTTAGGTTCACAACACAGAACTATACTCAAGCAAACCTCCCTGAAAATTTCATCCCTTTTGGTTTAATACTTTTCAAGAAATCCTTTTTGCCGTGACGGGCACTCTCTCAAAATTGCAAAACTGAGAAAATCAAGTTTAAAGATTTAAGTTGATCAATCAAAATAATCACTAAAGCAACTGGTGCCTTTTGGAAAGTTTAAGCTAAGCTCTTTGATGTTCTCATTAAAATGCACCAGGTGCATATATGTCACCCTCCTTTTCCTGGGATTTGTCATTTTTTTTCTTTCTTTTTCCCCTGAGTAGCCTCCTCCTTGTCTTGTTCTTCTCTTGGAACTTGTATTCAGCTTTCAAAACACGAATCTTGTCCAACTGCTGGCATTCATTTATACAGAATTCACCTGGGGGAATTCCAAGACTCTCAAACACTTTAATAGCTGCTCTTGAACCAATATTAAAGTGAGCGACAGCATCATAAACCCCCAGCTGCAGTACTTCAGAACCAACAAACACCCCCTTTGGCACACGCTCCCAAACCATACCATTGAGTGACTCATTCTGGTTTTGAGTCTTGCCATCAAGACATTTGCTGAGAAGGCTGTCCTCACTCAACCTTTTATAAATGGGTTTGATTTCCTCTCTGACATCTAAAGGTAGGCCAGTTCCATGTTTGAAAGTGTTTGTCCTATTGACCTTGTCCCGCTGAAAACCACACCAGCTTTCAGGACCCTCAGGGCAATGCCCATGGTAATTACTGTCTGCAGAAGAAGCACAGTGAAACAAGCTGGCATAAATTGCCTTCTTCATGGCAGCAAGATCACCTGAGTTGCTTCGAATGGCAATTCCATAGTAATTTTGCAGTCTGTCAATCATGGCATCTGTCAGCCTGCCTTTCCCACCCATCCCTTTCTTTTCCTTCTTTAACTTTCGTAAAGCTGTTCCCAGTCGTTTTTGAACATGGCCAACACATTCCTTCTTTTGAACTTCAATATCATAGACTTGGTATACATCTTTGACTAATGAGTAACTTTTGCTGTCACCATCGCCATAATATTCATCATACTGCAGCTTATGCAGATCTACTGACCTTTGAAACATTCGAAGGGCGCCTTCTGGTTCCATAGCTGGTGCTGAACCCTTAAAGTTTGCCTTGCAAGAGGCTCTGTGGTCTGCTCTCCATGCAGTAGTTTCTGGGGTGTCAGGATCATTTTCATGCTCCCTGCACTTGATACAAACTTTGCTTAGGGGCTCAACATCTACCACTTTCCCTGTATCCATGCTAATAGCACTCACACAGCCATTTAAAGAAGAAAAGCCTCTTCTCTGCCATGTTCCATCAACAGACACTCCACATCTTGCTATGCCCTCATCTGAACCTGGCTTGATATCGTGAATCTCTCTTGCAGTATCACGCATTGTCTCCAGTGAGATCTTCTTTACTGCTCGGAGTATTTCTTTATTATGGCGAGCATATGGTGTAGGTCTAGGAGGTGGCGGCATGTTCATAAGTCCACAAAACCTCTTACCTGCCGCACGTCCACAACCAACAGATCTTGAAGCATACACAAATCTTCTGTTTACTTCAAAGAAACGGCCTATTTGAGCTGAAGTAAAGAATTCCATAGACCAACCACACGAGCAGCAAAGCAAACGAAGATTCGAGGCACAACCTTTGCGTTTCATAGCTTGCTCTTGTAAAATTAAATCACAAACAAAGCATTCTTTGCATGGCATACATTCCATCACAGAAGACAAAATTCTCATATCTACAAACCGAAATCCACTTATGATTGACTCCTTACACTCCTTGATACCCTCAGAAGATGCGGTGGTCAGACCTGCTGGAATCTTGCGGGCAGAAGCTGAACATTCTTTCCCAAGACCTTTGGTGCTGACACTCGTTTTTCCTTCTTCGAACGCTTCGATTCAGTAGAGTACTGGTTTCCACGATATTTACGCTTTTTGTGTAACCAGAACGAGCCTTTGGTGGCATTGATAAATAAATTATCAAGCAAAATCGCAATAGGAATAGAGTGAACGAATACGACCAAAATGGTGGATGATAAGTTGGGAAATAGTGTCGCCACATATCATCCGCCATTTTGGGTGCTCGTAACTCACTGCATGTATGCCTGATTGAAATGTCAATAAACAACGGGAATAACCAGGGAGGGGTCCCAGGAGAAATTCCGTCGTTTCCTTTTGACTGCAACTGCGTTTTGTTTTCATAAACAAACCGTTGCTATGGTCGTTGCTAAGGTGAAAATTCATACTCGCTAAGGAATTTAGCAAAATTTTTGACTTTACCTCCTGAATATGGAAAAAAGGAAGCTGTAGAATGAAAGAGTAATGGTTAAAGATACCAAAAAGCACCATTTTCAAAATGAAAGTTTTTTGACAAAAAATACAAATTTTTGAGTGGAAGACCACCTTAATAGCTCAAAGGATATACGAAAACTTAACAAGGCTAGGTTACTTAGCCTGGTCCAGACAGTCTCTTTATGGGAGGGAATAAATAACGCGTCTTTTTTACGTCTTTCTTATTGTTGTTGTTTTGACTCCAAGCTAAATAGGTACAGAGGAGTTATCAACATAATTTTTTCGTTTTGAATCTCTTACGTTTCTGTCGTGTTTATAAGCCACCCGTTGATAGTAAGAGTGCCCGTATTTTCACACTTATCTTATTAATCAGTAGTTCATGCTGTGTTAATACACGACTATATTAATTCGTAGTTTACATAGAAAGACTGTAACGATACTAAGAATCTTGAGCTTACCAGCATCTTGAGATACCAAGATTGCAGCCAGAGCAACGGCACCGACTAGCAAGGAAGCGAGGAAATCCAAACGTGCACCGAGCCACCTACCGCTGGCCATTACCATAATGTACGCTTGATTATGAACATCTTGATATCTGAAGAGACGAGTGTTCATCACAATATGTTTCAATAATGGAGTAATTTTTTTACTTGACTGTCGAAATAAATCGAAATCTATAAATTTCGTATTACTTTGGTTCGTGATTGGTCTAGCAAATTCGCGCAAAACTAACCACACATCGGTCGTGCGCGTTTTCCTGCGCTCAGTTCCGTTTCCTTATTTTACATTGAGTCCTCTGTTACTAATTGTGATCTTTTCTTTTGTTCTGGCTGGTTTGTTGTTATTCAATTGTATTTTCTTTTTAAGATAATCACTTCAAAGAAAACTCTAAGCAGATTACATCGGGTCTGCACATTGAAGTGAAACCAGTGTCTTCTTTGGCCTGACAATGTAACGGAGTCCTTCAACAAATTCCGCTCGACAGCCCACCCTTTCAAAAAGATTTTACTCTCCAAGAAACATCCGCAAGCTTTTAGCTAAGTTTCGGAAAGATCACTTCTGTAACCACATCTCCGTCTTAGGTATGCTCCATTTGTCCAGATGATGGGAGAGCCCCTAGAGCAGAATTTGTTGACGATATGGATACTTTTCCATTAAAAATGGTAAATTCTCTATAAAAAACCAATTCTTAAGCATTCACTATCACAATTACATGTTGTATACTAAGTATAACACATATCACAAGGAGAAGACGAGTGGCACTTGCCTATATTTCCTGTTAAACTTATAATGGTAATAAGACTGAGTGGAAAGCAATTCGGTCCGTAATTAATCATACGAGTGAATAACAGTAGCAGACGACTGCAAAGCGGGAGCCTGATTTTTTTAATCACGAGTGTGATTAAAGACGAAATTGAACGACAAGAAGTTCTCTTACCAATAAATTATAACTGTAACAAAATTAGAGAAAGAAACTAAACATCACTTAAACGTTTTCATAAAAAAAAAAAACTGGTCGAAATGTGCCACAACCGCGCGCGCATACACTTACACGCAGGCATGACTTGTCAACTGTCCTATTACACAGTCCAATTACAAGCATGACACTTACTCTGTGCTATTAGTGCTGATATTACATCGGGCTGGTGAAAACCAATAAAGTTCGATAAATTTGTTATAGTTTTAATTAATCAGGAAATTTCTGCATTATGCGATCTTGTTGAATGACCTTTCATATTAAGGGGCTGTTGAAATCCTACAGATTCCAATTCCACCCGACCCCCATCCCCTTAAAAAAAATCTTAGTCCCCAAAAAGCATCTGTAAGCTGAGTGTCTTCTGGCTAACTGTCTGAAAAATCGCTTCCGTAACCACATCTCAGTCTTAAGTATGCTCTAGTCGTGAAAACGAAGGGAGAGCCTTTAGAGCCGAATTTGTTTACGATATGGATACTTTTCCACATACTGATTGACCGTTCATATTATGGGTCTGTTAAAATCCTATCAGAAGGGCGAAAACCACAGAGAGCAATTACTGTAGTCTTACCATGAGTAATGCCCTTCGTGTGTATTTTGGATAGCTTCCTTTCGCGACCGTGCCTTATATACAGAAAGGTCCACTTGCTGAATAGTTTCTCAGCACACATCAGGTATGATTACAAGAGAAGCGTGATGCAATTGTGTGTAATGGCAGTAAATGAGAAATAAATAGCTCACAGAAAATGAGCAATTATGACTCATTTGTGACCTGTGCATTTATTGGCTCTGGCCCCCCGCACTGAGTCAATGTCTCCAACATACCTGTAAAGTGCATCCACAAAATCTGTCTGTTTTCCTCTCGTACGAATCGTGTCCAGTCCTATCAGGGTCTCCGAAAAATGAGCGAACACTGGGCTTCGGGATATCGACTCTAGCCTCTTTAGCTCTCTGGCAGTCTTCAAGTAATAATTGGATAGAAAACCGACCAGCACGGAAATTGGAACAACAAGAAACACCAGCCAAACATTTGTGGCAATTGTTACCAGAATTTGGGCAGATATCTCCAAGAGCCTCTGCATTGCCGTCAAGAATGTTTTGGGTAACAACTCATCTACGCAGCCAATATCATTGGAGAAGCGATTTAGGATTCTTCCCACCGGATTTGAATCAAAGAACAGGACAGGTGCTCGTAAAATGGCCACAACCATTTTATCGTGAAGACGCTCAGCGCACTTTAGACAAACATGAAAGAATCCATAAGCCCTAACGATAGTAAATATAAAACACGCGCCAACCAGATAGGCGGAGACAGATAGATAAGTCTTATTATTCTGATCCTCTTGGTTTAGCCTTGCAAGAAACGAGAGCCACAAGTCTGGAGCAGCTATGATGGCTGAAAGAGATAAGATCAAGAGGTGGTGGTTGAAAGGTATTTCTTTCTGATCAGTTAGTTAAACATTGTAAGATTTATTGGGCACAACTTTCCTGGGTTAGCTATTTACGCCTGTATCTTGGGAATGTTTATGTAAGCACCACAATGTCACAGAATAGATGAAGCAGTCAACCATATTGCACTAAACATTGTTAGAAAACTGCATTTGGTCTCAGAAAATTAGTTAGAAACGAGTTTTTTTTATCTTTTTCAGGCAAATGGAGGCAAGTGCAAGGCAAAGGCGAGGAGCATGACACCAGCTCTTCCTTTCGCGTGTGACTCGCCATTCACTCGCGCTTGCCTCGCGCTTGTACGAGGAAGTGAGATATTGGGAACATGGTCAAAAATTTGTGCAGTGTCTCTTAACTCTGCCATCTAAACTGAAACCAAAAGCATAGCTATTGTGAATTGATTTAGAAAAGGCTGCTGTATTGCCTTTTAGGGCCTGAACCAAGGTTTCTACCTCACTCTAACAGTAAGTTTACCTTGAGTAATGAGACTTAAACCAACCATTCCAGTTATCATCAAAGGATGTGCTCCACTTCTGAAATAGTCCCAATAAAGCTTGGATGTCACAACTCCGATTGTACGATCCTCCTTTGCTACCTCCAAACTCCTCGCTTCATTAGGCTGAGCATGTATTTTCTGGAATTTTTCAGCATCATGGTGTTTCTTTGTATTCTCCCAGGCAAATGTATCAGATAAGTCTTTCTTGTCCTTCAGAGCTGCTTTATAGAGTGGGTCAACAGTTGAATTGATTACACCTTTTTCGTGCAGCTCAGTAAAGCGTCCCTTGTCGAGGACACGCCCTTTGTACAACACTATCACTTGATCGGCATTTTCCATGTGCTGTTGCTGGTGAGATGCAAACAGAACGATTTTATGGCCTAATAGATCTTTGATGCACTTGTTAAAGATGTGTTGGCCAACTTTAAAATCAACAGCACTCAGTGGATCATCCAGTAGATAAAGATCTCCGTCAGCATAAACTGCACGAGCTAAACTTATTCTCGCCTGTTGTCCTCCACTCAGAACCTCACCGCGTTCTCCAACAACTGTTTGGTCACCATCAGGTAACCACTGAAAGTCTTCTTTTAGAGCGCAGACGTCGATTATTCTTTCGAACTTGGACTCCTCGAGGGGTTGACCAAAGAGAATATTTTCTTTTATCGTTCCCGAGAACACCCAAGCAGTCTGAGGCAAGTAAATGACAGAACCTTGATAATCAATAGTCCCACTAGTATTCAAAACTTCACCAGCGATCGCTGAGAGCAGAGTAGACTTACCACTCCCAACCGGGCCAGTGATGACTGTTAAACTCTTTGAAGGTGCAAGGAAGTTGATATCCTGAAGAATAAATTCATCTTCACGATGCGTTTTTGGGAAGCTTAAATTTGACACACATAGTTTAGTAGGCCCTAATTCTGTTGCTTGACGAGAGAGGGGGACATTCTCCGTATTTTTTTCTTCTTTTTTCAAATAACAGCGACTTTGGCTACTTGAGGTACTTCTTGCTTTTTGTTGGGGCTCGTTTCTTTCATCACTTTCAATGGCTTCCAACATGTCTTCCAAAAGAAGAAATTCTTCGATTCTTCCGAGCGAAACGTAGGCGTCATACGTTGCCATTAAACCAGATGTCATATCTATCACGCCACTCAATTTTAAAACACCTATAAACGACAACAGCATAAAAAAATTGGCGGGCATGAGGGTGTAGCCTGTAAGTACCATAGTAATTACTGACACCAGGGTGGCCAGTGGCGCTGCACTGAATGACAAGGCATCGATACTTGACTGAATGGCCGTCCTCTTTGAAATGACGCTGATTTCATTTCTGACGATAAAAGTTGATCATAAGTTATGTGGGCATTCTGTCGAGCCAACTCTTCGTCAGCGTTCTATTTAATTCGTAATATTAACGAGGTGAGCCGGCGGCAAGCGCACCCTATCTCATCATTCACTTCTTTGTTTAAGTGCGTCTTTTGCGACCCTACGACAGCGCATGAAAAAAAATACTAACTGAAGACAAGTTAGACTCAATGAGATGTTCTACCTATAATAATGAACAATTATTCTGTTTCGAACGGAAATCTCGCGCGAGTCTCTCGAAGATGAATTTCAAGGGATATTCGAAGTTTGAGCAATCATTTAGGGCGCTCTTTCCACACTCTCTACTCAGTATATCTTGATATTATTTAACCAAGCAGCCAATCCTCCGGTTATCAAATGGGTTACATGAGACACTTATTCTTTGCGAAGAGAAGCATTCTGATTGGCTCATGCAGCGGTCTATGGGTTCTTTTGCTTGGGGGCGGGGGCATGTTTAAACTGCCCAGCTTACAGAGCTCTCAGAGGAGACAAAACAGATTTGTGGTTATCTATTTCCCAGTTTTGAATAATTTGGGTCAACAATAACGGGAATGAATGAACCTAGTTGTTTGAGCCTACTTCTGTTTAACGATGACAATTTACCTTACCTTCTTACATGTTTTATCTTTCGTCCATATTCATCCTCCCACGCATGCATTTTGACCGCGCGGATCCCGGAAACTACTTGATTCATTAGGGAGATTCGCTGATCTGACGCTGTGGCTGTACGCAGACGCAGCTTAGCATTGGCATAAGACAAGACGGCAAAATATGGCATGAGAATACACAGGAGGAACACGCCCGTAACAGCCTGCCAACCAATGAAATAGTAGATGAGGAATATTGCCCCTGCATAAGTAGGGACTGCGAAAACGGCGAAGACAAAAAACTTGACTGTCTCTTCTTCCATTCTTTTAACATCATTGGATATCAGGTCAAATACGCGTCCTGCAGTAAATTTCAGTAACGTCTGCTTGCTGAGTAGAAGCGTCTGAAAGAGAGTACAGATTAGACATTAAAGAAGAAGGATGTTCCACAAACCATCTGATTTTAATCTCCGGCATAAAGATATTCGTGGCTGCGTGTCGAGACAAGAGTAATTAAGTCTCTACCAAATTCCTTTTAAGTTTGTTAAAAGAGCGACAACTCAGACGCCATTTTGAATCTCGCTCAAAAGCACGGCCGTATACATTATGGTTTCTGTAGCCTACTTCCCGTTAACTGCAGGCTAAATAACTGTTTGTTTCTTTGATTTTTTTGTTGATGAGCAGGATTGCAAAGATTTCTGGAAAAAAATCATTCTGTATCAGATAGATAAATGCGTTCCAGTTTTTTCGGCTTAATTTGGAGTGTTTAGGTTATTAGAAAAATCGGTCGAGCCTTTGAAAAATGCATAGAATACTCTTTTGGATCGTGCCTACCTTGTGGTATACCAGTCCCCTCAGGGCGCTTCCTATTTTGATCCCCAATGTTTCACATCTGTAGTCTTGCTGGTGCATACCAAGACCCCCGATCAAACCATTGAGACACATAGCTAACGCGCAGGTGTAGAGTTGATAATCATTCTCTGCCTCAGTTGACATAAGCCTAGAAACAAGATACCCGAGAAACAATGGAAAGAGAAGGCGAGAAGTTGTAGACAATATATTCGCCGTCAAAATGATGATAACATCTTTGGCAGACAGCATATCGAACACGCTTTTCCAAAGTTTGGGCCTTTTCCCATTTGTCTTGCAATGACGTTTCTCGCTTTCCCAGCTTTTTCGAAGCCTGTCGGTGACAAAACGGCCAGAGTTCTCCTCTGACAAGGGTAAAAAGTCATTTTGATCCAAAGGTCTTTGACTGCCCTTCTTAAAGACTCCGTTCATCCAACGAAAAAAAGGAGAAGATGCAAAATTGACTTTATTATCGTCACCACCAGAGATTCTCTTGTAACCGCCTTTTGGTGCCATCACTTGAGACCTAAAAAATACTAAGCCATCATTAGCATGTTCAGCGCAATGGTCAAAAGTCTTCGCGTGTTGTTCCAGGATTTCAGAACCAACTTGCTCTTTAGGAGTTGTAAACTTACATAAAATCCAATAAGTTACGGTGTTTTGTAGAACCCCATGACTCTTATATAGCCTAGAATGATATAGCTTACAACAAAATGGTAAATAACCGTCATTGAATAGGGTTTGTGCCCGGAGAGTGTCGAGTTTTCCTTTCTCTGCTTTTTCCAAACGTTGAACCTTTTTTGGCATAGTTTGCGCGACAGCGGTTTCTACCCTGGTTTTTGTTTAAAATTTGCGCGGGAAATTTGCACGCGGCCGGCCAAAATTGATCCCCTTGCCTGGGTGAGCCTTGTGAGTTCCAGGCTCCCTTAAGATAGAAACTAACTAACAGGTAAACAACATCTTGCAATTATTTCAGGAAGCGGCATGGAACTAACTTTTCATTCCGAATGGAGTTTCCACAATTTTTCGCCATCCCGCTTTCCTTCTTGTCTCCTCTAAGCAAGAACTTGTCGGATACATGACAAACTTATTAGTCACAAAAATATATCAATAGTTGTAACTAATCACACACGAGATCTTGAGACCTGAGAAACCACAGACACCGAATGGGTTTCATTGGTCACGAAGCTAGTTTTTTTAAAAACAGTTTGAAAACACTCTCTGTCATATATAAGACGAATTTGAATAATTGCTGTTCCTTTGTATGTACGTGTGCGCGGTCAAAGTTAATTACCATAAGTCCATATTGTAATTCTAATATAAGATTAGTTATTTTAAGTGAGAAAGCCTGACTTGTTATAAGCCTCGTGGTTTCTTTCAGGTTTTCTCGCCATTTATTTTCTGTCATCAATTTTCTTCATTTTTTTTTTTCCATGTGTAAATGTCGTATATGGCAAATAAATATTATATTGTATATTGTATTGTATTTGTATGGAAAGCCAAAACCAGTTTGAGAGTATTCCACAAAATGATCAAGATGTAATAACATTTTCTATCATTAGTCCTTGAAAATGACAAGATAAAAATGTCACAGATAAAGTTCCAGCAAATGATGTTGGGTAATACAGAATATCTTACACGGTGACAGAAGAATCAGTTACAATGGAGGGGGACAGGGGGGCGGGAGAATTGAGGGCGGGAGAGGGCGGGAAGCAGGAACTATCTGAGGGCGTAAAAGCGGGAGCAGAAATCAAAAAGGCACTCGTTTGTTGTTTATTACTGCTTATCGTCCAGTCAAAAACCAGTTCTTAGCAAGTTTTTTCGACTTCCATTTAACAAGGCGAAAAATAAAATTTCATGAGCAAGAAAATGTAATTTTTTTTTTGGTAAAAATTGAATACCTATCGAAGTCGATTTCGTGATAGGTCATGAATGAACTTACCAGTATGTCACGAAATGTAACAGTCGAAATTCTCGAGCCTATAAAGCGCCAGACGATCGATGTTCCTGTACAATAAGACAGATGTCGTATTTTGAAACGAGGGATCACAAAGTTTCCCAAGAGCCCTGTCTTCACCACGCTGAATAAAAAAGGACTTGTTCTGAAAGTTTTGAGAGCGCATTTTCAAAATCAATTTTAAAACTCTGAAGACAGAAAACAAGTTGAAAACGGAGCTTTTCGAAAACGCTATGACTAAATGGCTGGCAGCCGGACACGGTCAGAAGAAGACGAAATGCCCGGCAGTCGCAGAATTTTTCATAGAATTTCCACCGAAATTAAGGTTCTTTCAAACTTCCTAGGAATATCAGATGTTTGCTTGGAAATGTTACGGAATTCCAAAAATTAACTTGGTCTTTTAGTGGACAATTTCTTCGAGCTTGTACACACTACAATATTATTACTCGGTTGTCGACGCTCCTGATCAGACTGCCGGGCACGGTCTCGAAAGGGCTAAATGCCTGGCAGTCGGAGATTTTCTCCAAATTAAAGTGCCACTAAATGGTTCCTTAAAACCTCTGAAGAGTATTAGAGTCATTGTTTAGAAATGTCAAGCGATTCCAAAAATGAACATGTCTTTTTAGTGGACAAATTCTTCGAGCTAGTAAAAACGACAACATCAATGCTCTGACAATTTTTTTGACGGTTTTTAAGACTAAGCTCTTGGCGCGCACTTGATTAATGTCCATTCAAATCTGTCTGCCGCCGCTGACGCCGTCGTAGTGTGAGTGGAAAACATTCGTTCCGTTTTTTTTTTGTTTAGAAATAAATTGGTAATGTTGTCTGAAAATTTTGTCCAATGAAGAATGGACTGCAACATGACTTTAATTAATGGATCATATTGAAATTTTCGACTTCAGTTGTCATCTGCATGGTTCCGCACCATAGATTCTTTCGTTCTAAATAAGTTTGACAAGTCGTTCATTAAAAGACTGAAGTCCTGCTCAAAGGTTTCTTGGAGTGGAGGAAACTCGACCTTAATTTCAATCGCACTTTAATTTGGGCTTGACTTGCACTGATCAGGGACTCTTAACCTCGTATAAGAGTAATTTAAAACAAAAACGTTCCTCAAAAGCGACATAAGCCTTCAAACGTATCGGTACTTTCCGTGGGAGCGATTATAACTCACTGTACTCTTTTCTTAAGGTTTCCCCGTCGTCAGTTGTTATATGAATGGTTCCGCGCCATAGATTCTTTCGTTCTATATAAGTTTGACAAATCGTTCACTAAAAGTCTGAAATCCTGCTCAAAGTTTTCGTGGGGTGGAGTAAACTGGACCTTAATTTCAATCGCACTTAGCTTGACTTGCACTGATCCGGGACTCTTAACCTCGCATAAGAATAATTTAGAACAAAAACGTTCCTCAAAAGTGACATTAGCCTCCAGACGTATCACTACTTTCCATGGGAGCGATTATAACTCACCGTATGCTTTTCTTAAGGTTTCTCCGTCATACCATAGACGTCATTGTACTCCCTTTTGCTGCGATGCATTTTAAGTATGAAGTGCATTCAGTGTACAAACACAGAAACCAATCACCTTGAAGATCCGTAATTTTAAGCGCTAATTCATCCCTTTGATTAATGCCTGCGACGATAATTTTCATTATGGCGAGGGGTCTTCAACGAAGATTTAATGACTATGATAAACTTACCAAGAGCAAGCCAAGCTTGTAGGCTCCGCATTTAACCTTGGATGCGTTTAAGAGATCTCTCTTCCCCTGCTATGATATAAATGATAGCAATGTTTTAATTCTTTGCGGTTGAATGAAGTAACGAATGAAATTATGACCTTAATGTCGGTTTGATATTGAACAGAAAATCTTTACAACTGAGCTACGCACACGATTACGAGCAATTTATCATTTGATCACTGAGTTCAGCTGTATGTAACCAAACCAGCAATTGTGGAAAAGGGTTGATTCATTTACTGATTGCCTCTTTTTTTACATTGCGTGTTGTTTACAGCTCACGCTTCACGGATCGTGTCATGTTATCCGTTTACGAAACAGTTATCAATATATTTATTCAGGTGGCCGGTTAATGGAGATTAAAATTACAGTCATTAAGGGGGAAAATTTTCTGGGCTATGGAAATCGACCACTTAATACAGGGTAACCGCTCAATACGGGTTCGACCGTAGATAGATTCGTTTTGTGAAGAAAGTCAGACGGGTCTCAAATCCATGGGCGCTGTCGTCAACAAAATGATGCAAATTAATGGTGAGATGATCTTTGAAAACTATTTCGTGGTTTTGCTTTATGTTTTTTAGATGAAAATAGGAACTTTCGGGAGAGATTGTTTAGTGTCAAACCCCATACTTTTTCTAAAACACAACTGGAATCCCAAAGGCAATCGACTTTTACTATTGATGTATTTATGAGAGAACTGTACAAGTATTGGACTTTAATGGAAATTGTCACGAATATTGGCGAAGAAACAAAAGATGTACTCAACCATGTACCTTCATGATCACGTCTGTGCGTTCTGATCAAATGAGAACTTCACGAATTATTCCTCTTATTAAATCTTGAGACTTTCCTCTTTTTACTAATAATAGCAATAACAATTCTTTACCAAGGTCCTAAAATTTGGAACTCTCCTCCTGTTTCGGTCACTCGTTCGTCAAACCTTCTTAGTTATAAGACGAAAATGCCAGAATTTTTATTTAAATAATCCTTGAATTTTTTTTTTCACTGCTCGAGTGTACCATGATCCCAGTGATCTCGAATCAAAAATCCTGGTCTCGATCATCCCAAAGGAATGCATCCTTATATTCTATAGAGAATTGTTTATACTTGTTTGATTAATTTTTTAATTTGGGCTTTCCTGATGTGTTGGAGGTAGCTACCTCGTGGTATGTCTAAGTTAGTTAATTAAATAGGGAGTAATACATGAGCGCGCGTAGATATTGAATTTCTCTTGGAGTGTTTAACTCGATAGCTCACGAGTGAGCGCAGCGAATGAGTGAGATGTCGAGTTGAACATGAGAAGAGAAATTCTATATCTTCAAGCAACCATGTTTTATTTTGTTTATCATATAAACACAATAGGCCTTTACTGACAAGAAACTGATTCGACTTCATTAATGAATGATAATGAATGAATCGACAATCTCCGAATAACAATCGTTGAGTGCGTTGGCGCTAGCTCTTAAGATGGAAAAATGCGTTGAATCATGATTACAAAAACGATGGTCGTAATTTTCAATTTAAAAAAAATTCTCATTTATTAACTTTGTCCTTATCGAGAGAAGAAGTCTTTCAGGTAAACGGCCAAAATCGACCAGTGACAAATCTTCCAGTTGTCGATTTTCATTCTCAGCCGAGAGAAATGCTAACACCAAAGCCACTGAATACGTAATATGAGAAAGTATGGCGCATGCGAAAGATCATTTTTTAAAAGGTGGAAAGTGAGAAGGAAAATCTTATACGATTGTTATTGTCTAGAGATGTTTTAAATAAGTTGCCATGTTTGTGATCTCTACACTATGGTAAAACGCTGGGGTTACCATCGCAAAAAATATGTTAGCGTGCTCAGTTGTCAGGACAACTGAATGTGTGATAGCAGTTTCCTATTTCTGAATAAACTGTTATCTTGTTTCTTGTGCGCACTGCGTTGAGTGGTATGTGGTGCTCGTAAGTCGTTCCCAGGACATCTCCATTGGTTTTTTACTTATGATCAGCTGGGAGACAGACGGATAAGTGACGTCAATATGAGAAAAAGTTTGCTTTGTTTATTACTTAGAGCAAATGTAATCTACGGTACAGTAGGACTGTTCCTTAAAAGACCACAGAGGACGACATAGAGCAGTTAGAACATCAGTGACACACTCGCCTGTGACTGGTGTGCAGGGTTTTCTGTTCTTACCACGTAATGACTTCATCTATGATCTATTGCTGAACAGATGCACGGCAAAATGAACGTTGCGTAACACCCCGAAACATGACAGCGAGAGAGATTTTAAAGATGCGTAGTAGTATAAAAGAGCCAAAACCGAGCAATAACATCAAATGCCAGCTCTGGAGAAGATTATAAACGGTACAATATCTTGAGCTCTGTAGGATCAAACTTGCGTGACATTCGAGGTATTTTCAACCTTAGACAGCATCTCACTTCATGTTCATTATTCAATCAAATTTGTCGAATCCTTTAACTTTTCCATCTTTCAAGACCAAAATCTTCTCGCAGTCTTTTATCGTGTTGAAACGGTGAGCTATAGTGATGACAGTAGACTCCTTCAGTTTGTCCCGCACTACATTCCAAATCGTCTGCTCTGTGTCTGGGTCTACATCCGCAGTTGGCTCGTCCAAGACGACGATTTTACTTCGCTGTAGCAGCACACGAGCCAAGCAAATTAACTTCCCAGCTCCCGTACGGCCGACAACTCCGATCTTTGCTCCTCCTTTGACGCTAAGACTGATGTTTTTTAGCACTTGAGGTTCCCCCGGATAGTAGGTCAGTGATACATCTCTCATCACAATACTTTTTCTCCAAGGCCAGTCTTGTGGGGGTGTTCGTTCTTCCTCGTATTTAGGCTCTACTTCAGAGGTTTTTCTAACAGCGTATTGAGTCATGGTCAGAGTTTGGATGACGTAAACAAGAGCAAGACCAGCGTAAGCTGAAAAAAAATTGGACCTTGAATTTATAAATTCCGGACCAGTTTTCTCTTGATAGCTCAAAGGATATACGTAAACTTAACAAGGCTAGGTTACTCAGCCTGGTCCAGGGAGTCACTTAATGGGAGGGAGTAAATAAAGCGTATTTTTTTACGTCTCTCTTAGTGTTGTTGTTTTAACTCCGAGCTTAGTAGGTACGGAGGAGTTATCAACCCAAGTTTCCAGTTTTGAATCATGAAAGCTACCCGAGAGACTCACGTTTCTGTCGTGTTTAGAAACCACCCGTTGATAATAAGAGTGCTCGTATTTTCACACTTATTTTGTTATTCATTAGTTCATGCTGTGTTAATACACGACTATATAAATTCTTACTTTACATAGAAAAACCAAAAACGTTACTTAGAATCTTGAGCTTACCGGCATCTTGAGATACCGAAGATTGCAGCCAGAGCAACTGCACCGACTAACGAGGAAGCGAAACAATCCAAACGTGTACCGAGCCACCTACCGCTGGCCATCACCGTAATGAACGCCTGATTATGAACATCTTCATATCTGAGGGGATAAGTTTTTATCACAATATGTTGTAATAATGGAGTGATTTTCTAGTTGAAACAACCGCCTATTGGTCGTGCGCGTTTTCCAGCCCTCAATGCCGTTTCCTTGTTTTTATGTTAAGTCCTATGTCACTACTTGTGATCTTTTCTTTTGTTCCGATTGGCTTGTTGTTATCAGACTTTCTTTTTTTCCGACAATCACTCCAAAAAACACTATAAGGAGATTGGGTCTGCACATTGAAGTGAGACCAGTGTCTCCTTTGGCCTGAAAATGTAACGGAGCCTTTCAAGAAATTCTGCCAGAGCCGATAAATGTACGGGGCACAGATGACTTATGATTGTATATTTTCTCTGAGCTATTTATTTTTTATTTACCGGCAATACACGACAAGCGGAAAGACTACAGTAATTGCTCTGTGCGGTTTTCTTCCTTCTGATAGGATTTCAACAGACCCATAATATGAACGGTCAATCAACAAGATCGCTTGACGCAGAAATTTCATGATTAGTAACAAATTTATGGAATGTGATTGGTTATCACCAGCCCGATATAAGCACTGATAGGACAGTGTAAGTGTCATGCTTGTAATTGGACAGTGTAATAGGACAGTTGAGAAGTCATGCCTGCGTGTAGGTGTATGTGCGCGCTGTTGCTGCGAAGTTCGCCGAGTTTTTTTGTGAAAATGTATAACTGTAGTCTAGTTTTTCTCTAATTTTGTCACAGTTTTGATTAATTGGGAAGAGATCTAGATCATCATGTCGTCCAATTCTGTCCTTAATAATAGTCGTGGTTTTAACAAATCAGACATCCCGCTTCACAGTCGTCCGCTTTTGTTAATTACTCTTATGATTACTGACCGAATTGGACTCCATTATGAGTTTAGCAGGAAATACAGACAAGTGCCACTCGTCTTCTCCTTCTGATAAATGTTGTACTTAAATTTCACGATTAGTCAAAACTGTAACAAATTTATGGAATGTGATTGGTTATCACCAGCCCGATATAAGCACTAATAGGACAGTGTAAGTGTCATGCTTGTAGTTGGACAGTGTAATAGGACAGTCGAGAAGTCATGCCTGCGTGTAAGTGTATGCGCGGGCTGTTGCTGCGAAGTTCGCCGAGTTTTTTTTTTGAAAATGTATAACTGTGGTCTAGTTTCTTTCTCTAATTTTGTCACAGTTTTGATCAATTGGTAAGAGATCTAGACCGTCATGTCGTCCAATTCTGTCATTAATAGTAATCGTAGTTTAACAAATCAGACATCCCGCTTCACAGTCGTCCGCTTTTGTTAATTACTCTTATGATTACTGACCGAATTGGACTCCATTATGAGTTTAGCAGGAAATACAGACAAGTGCCACTCGTCTTCTCCTTCTGATAAATGTTGTACTTAGTATAAGAGATGTAGTTGTGATAGTGAACAATTAAGATTTGGTCTTTTTTTTAAGAATTCACCATTTTTAATGGAAAAGTATCCATATCGTTAACAAACTCGGCACTAGCGGCTCTCACTTCATTTCGACGAATGGAGCATACCTAAGATTTAGATATGGCTACGGAAGTGATCTTTCGGACAGTTAGCTAGAAGGTTACGGATGTTTCTTGGAGAGTAATATCTTTTTAAGGGAGTGGGGTGTCGGGCGGGATTTGCTGAAGGGCTCTGTTACATTGTCAGGCCGAAGAGGACACTGGTCTCCTAATTTGTAAGAGAACTTCATGTCGTCCAATTCTGTTTTTAATCATACTCGTGATTGAAAAAACCAGACTCCCGCCTCGCAGTCGCCCGCTATTGTTAATAACTCGTATGATTACGGACCGAATTGGACTCCACTCAGTGCTATTACCAATATGAGTTTAACAGGAAATAGAGACAAGTGCCACTCGTGTTCTCCTTCTGATAAATGTTATACTTAGTTTACAAGATTTAGTTGTGATAGTGAACAATTAAGAATTTTTTTTTTTTGAGGGGGGAGGGAACTTATCATTTTTAGTGGAAAAGTACCCATATCGTTAACAAACTCGGCTCGAGCGACTCTCACTTCATCTGGACGAATGGAGCATACCTAAGACTAAGATGTTGTCACGGAAGTGATCTTTCGGATATTTAATCAGAAGGCACCACACACTGAATCAATGTCTCCAACATACCTGTAAAGTGCATCCACAAAACCTGTCTGTTTTCCTCTCGTACGAACCGTGTCAAGTCCTATCAGGGTCTCCGAAAAATGAGCGAACACTGGGCTTCGGGATATCGACTCTAACCTCTTTAGTTCTCTGACAATCTTCAAGTAATAATTGGATAGAAAAACGACCAGCACGGAAATTGGAACAACAAGAAACACCAGCCAAACATTTGTGGAAACTGTCAACAGAATTTGGGCAAATATCGCTAAGAGCATCTGCATTGCTACCAGGATTGTTTTGGGTAACAACTCATCTACGTAGCCAAGATCATTGGAGAAGCGATTTAGGATTCGTCCCACTGGATTTGAATAAAAGAACAGGACAGGTGCTTGTAAAATGGCTACAACCATTTCATCGTGAAGTCGCTCGGCGCACTTTAGACAAACATGGAAGAATCCATAAGCCCGAACGATAGTAAATATAAAACACGCGCCAACCAGACAGGCGAAGACAGATAGATAAGTCTTGTTCTTCTGATCTTCTGGGCTTAGCCTTGCAAGAAACGAGAGCCACAAGTCTGGAGCAGCTATGATGGCTGAAAGAAACATCGTTAATATGTAGTGCTATATAATAATTCAGTTGAACATTGCAAGATTTACGGGGCCTAGACACAACTCGCCTGGGTTAGCTACTACCGTTGGTATCCAAGGGATGTTAATGTAAGTACCAACGCGTCACAGAATAGATGAAGAAGTCAACCATGTTACCCATAAATATTGTAAGACAACTGACTTTGGTTGCAGAAAGTTAGGTTGTAGAACGAGTGATTTTCTTTTTTTACCTTTTTCAGGCAAGTGGAGGCAAGTGCAAGGGAAACGCGGGGGAGAAAAATAACAGATCTTCCTTTCGCGCATGACTCGCCATTCATTTGCACTTGCCTCGCGCTTGTACGACTAAGTAAGATATCGGGAGTATGGTCAGAAATTTGTGTAGTGTCTCTTTCCTCTACCATCTAATCTAAAAACAAAGTGTATTGTTAGTTAAAAACATAGCCATTGTGAAGTGATTTGCAAGAAATAGAATAAAAGAAATATAGAAATATAGCTGTATTCCCTGTTAGGGCCTGACTCAACGTTTGTAACTCACTCTAACAATAAGTTTACCCTGAGTAAGGAGACTTAAACCGACCATTCCAGTTATCATCAAAGGATGTGCTCCACTTCTGAAGTAGTCCCAATAGAGCTTGGATGTCACAACTCCGATTGTACGATCCTCCTTTGCTATCTCCAAAATCTTCGCTTCATTGGGCAGAGGATGTTTTTTCTGGCATTTTTCAACAACATCGTGTTCCTCCTTATCTTCCCAGGAGAACGGCCAAGATGAGTCTGTTTTGTCCTTCAAAGCTGCTTTATAGAACGGGTCAACATTTGAATTAATTACACCTTTTTCGTGCAGCTCAGTAAAGCTTCCCTTGTCGAGGACACACCCTTTGTATAACACAATCACTTGATCAGCAGTTTCCATGTGCTGTCGCTGATGAGATGCAAACAGAACGATTTTATCGCCTAGTAGATCTTTGATGCAATTGTTAAAGATGTTTTGGGCAACTTTAAAATCGACAGCACTCAGTGGATCATCCAATAGATAAATATCTCCGTCAGCATAAACTGCACGAGCTAAACTTACTCTCGCCTGTTGTCCTCCACTCAGAACCTCGCCACGTTCTCCAGCAACTGTTTGGTCACCACCAGGTAACCGCTGAAAGTCTTCCCTCAGAGCGCAGACTTCAATTATTCTGTTCTGGACTCCTCGAAGGGTTAACCAAAGAGAATATTTTCTTTTATCGTTCCCAAGAACACCCAAGCAGTTTGAGGCAAGTAAATGACAGAACCTTGATAATCAATCGTCCCACTAGTGTTCGAAACTTCACCAGCGATCGCTGAGAGAAGAGTAGACTTCCCACTTCCAACCGGGCCGGTGATGGCTGTTAAACTCTTTGAAGGTGCAAAGAAGTTGATATCCTGTAGAATAAATTCATCTTCATGATGCGTTTTGGCGTAGCTTAAATTTGACACACACAGTATAGCAGGCCCTAATTCTGTTCCTTTACGAAAGAGGGAAACTTCGTCCGTATTTTCCTCTTTTTTTTTCGAGTAACTGCAATTTTCGTTACCTGAGGTACTTTTCGTTTTTTGTTGGGGCTCGTTGCTTTCATCATTCTCCGAGGCTTGAAACAGATTTTCCAAAGGTAGGAATTCTTCGATTCTTCCGAGCGAAACGTAGGCGTCATACGTTACCATTAAACCAGATGTCATAACGATCGTGCCACTCAATTTTAAAACACCCATAAACGACAGGAGCATAAAAACATTAAGCACCATAGTAATTACCGACACCGGAGTGGCCAGTGGTGTTGCACTGTATGACAAGGCATCGATACTTGACTGAATGGCTGTCCTCTTCGAAATGACGATGATTTCATTTCTGAAAATAAAAGTTGATCATAGGTTATGTGGGCATTCTGTCGAACCAACTCGTCGTCAGTGTTCTCTCTAGTTTGAAATATTAACGAGATGAGCAGGCGGCAAGCCTTCCTCATCGTTCACCTAGCCTGTTTGTTTAAGTGCGTCTTTTGCGACCCCACGACAGGGTATGAAAAATAATACCCACTGAAGAGAAGTTAGACTCGATGAGATGTTCTAACCATAAGAATGATCGATTATTCTCTGAAGTAAAGGTGATATCCACTTTCTTTTTACCGACAATGAGGTAAAAACGATTACAATATTTTCGGGTGCCAATCCCACGCACTCATTTTGTTAATGATGTTTTAGAATGGAAAGAGATTTACAGCTTGCCATTTCGAACTTCCTTAGACACAAAATCGCGTGAATTCCAGTATAAACTACTTAACAGGTGTCTTGTCACAAATTCTTTTTTAAACAAAATCGGTATTATTCCATCCCCGGCGTGTTCCTTTTGTGGCGAAATGAACGAGTCCTGGGAGCACTTTTTTATTTCTTGTCGTTATACTAAGGATTTCTGGGCTGAGGTAATAAAGTGGTTCATAATCAAGGCGTAAAGATAAAACACCTCTCTGAAAAAGATATAATGTTTGGTATTTTAAGGTGCGAAGACGAATTATTAATCAATCATATTTTAATAATTGCCAAACAGTATTTATATTCTTGCCGACAGAACAAATCTCTTCCTTCAATTAAAGTATTAAACCTCAAAATTAAAACGATCCACCAACTCGAGACAATGATCGCAAAATCAAATAATAAGCTAAAAGCTCATAATATGAAATGGGACTAGTACAAAAATTATTAGATGATATAGAATCTCATGTTTGTTGCTGCACTGTACTAGTATTATGTTTAGAAGCCGAGGAGAGCTAAGAGGAACTGTGGATTGTGTATGTAGATATATGATGTACCGTGTCTGTCTGTTTATGTGAATTATGTTTGTTTATGAAAAATGTATGTAACTTTGAATTAATAAAAATTAATAAAATACAAAAAAAAAAAATCCCACGCGAGTCGCTTAAAGGTAAATTGCAATGGATATTCGGAGTTTGAGTAGCCAATCATTATCAGAGTGCATTTTCAACACTATCTACTCAGTACATCCTGATATTTTTTAACTGACCGGCCAGTCTTCTGGTTATGGAATGGATTACATGAGACACTTATGCTTATACAGCGGTCCAAAGCTTTTTTTGGGGGGGACTTGTTTGTATTGCTTAGCTAATAAAGTTCTTAACTGAGACGAAGCAGACTTGTGGTCTGATAATTTGGATCAGCAATTACAGGAATGAATAAACATAGTTGTATGAGCCTACTTTTGATTAAAAATGATAATTTACCTTACCTTCTTACACGTTTTATCTCTCGTCCATATTCGTCCTCCCACGCACGCATTTTGACCGCGCGGATCCCGGAAACTACTTGATTCATTAGGGAGATTCGCTGATCCGACACTGTAGCTGTGCGCAAGCGCAGCTTACCATTAGCATAGGACAAGACGGCAGCGTATGGCATGAGAATACACAGGAGGAAGACACCCGTGACAGCCTGCCAACCAATGAAATAATAGATAAGGAATATTGCCCCAGCATAAGCAGGGACTGCGAAAACGGTTAAGATAATAAACTTGACTGTCTCTTCCTCCATCCTTTTTACATCATTGGATATCAGGTCAAATAAGCGCCCTGCAGTGAATTTCAGTAACGTTTGCTTGCTGAGTAGAAGCGTCTGAAAGAGAGTACAGATTAGACGTTAAAGAAGAAGTATGTTCCATAAAAGATCTGATTTTAATCCTCCGCATAACAATGACTTTGTTTCGAGACGAGAGTAACCAAACCTCTACCGAATTATCTTTAAAATAATGTGTAAAAAGAGCGACAACCACGGTGCCATTTTGAATCTCATTCAGAAGCGCGGCCGTGTACGTTATGGTTTCTGTAGCCTACTTCCACGTTAACCACAGGCTAAATAACTGTTTGTTTCTTCGATTCTTTTGTTGGTTAGCAGGATTGCTTGCTCTCGCAGAAGCAGCAACTAGCGATGATGTTTAATAACCGTCTCCTCCCAGGTCTCCACATAGCATAAGCCGATTGCAATCGATCAGATTTCTAGAAAAAATAATTCTTTATCGGAATAGATAAATGTGTTCAAGTTTGCGCGATTTTATTTGGGTGTTTAGGATATTAGAAAAATCATTTGAGCCTTCGAAAAATGCATAAAACGCTCTCTAGGATCGTGCCTACCTTGTGGTACATCAGTTCCCTCAGGGCGCTTCCTATTTTAATCCCCAATATTTCACATCTGTAGCTTCGCTGGTGCATACCAAGACCACCGATCAAACCATTGAGACACATAGCTAAGGCATAGAGCTGATAAGTATTTTCTGCCTCAGTTGACATAAGCTTAGAAAGAAGATACCCGAGAAACAGTGGAAAGAGAAGGAGAGATGTTGCAGACAATATATTCCCCGTCAAAATGATGATAACATCTTTGGCAGAAAGCATATCAAACACGCATTTCCAAAGTTTGGGCCTTTTCCCATTTGTCTTGCAATGACGTTTCTCGCTTTCCCAGCTTTTTCGAAGCCTGTCGGTGACAAAACGGCCAGAGTTCTCCTCTGACAAGGGTAAAAAGTCATTTTGATCCAAAGGTTTTTGGCTTCCCTTCTTAAAGACTCCGTTCATCCAACGGAAGATAAGAGAAGATGCAAAACTGACTTTATTGTCGTCATCACCAGAAATTCTCCTGTAACCGCCTTTTGGTGCCATCACGTGAGACCTACAAAATACTTAGCCATCATTAGCATGTTCAACGCAATGGTCAAATGTCTGCGCGTGTTGTTCCAGGATTGCAGAACAACCTTGCTTTCTAAGAGTTGTAAACTTACATAAAATCCAATAAGTCACGGTGTTTTGTAGAACCTCACGACTTTTATATAGCCTAAAACAAAATGGTAAATTATCAGGATATATACCCGTCATTGAATAAGCTTTGTGCTCGAAGAGTGTCGATCGAACAATATCTTGCAATAATTTGAGGAAGCAGGGTGGAACCAACCTTTCATTCCGAGAGGAATTTCTACAATTTTTCGCCATCCCGCTTTCCTTCGCGTCACATTCATGACAAACTTATTAATCACAAAAATAAATCAATAATTGTAACCAACTACACACGAGATCTTTTTGACCTGAGAAGCCACAGAAACCGAATGAGTTTCATCGGTCGTTTAAAGTCCACCTAGGCGTAAAATAAAGTTTCATAAGCGAGAAAACGTCATTTTTTTCTCAGGCTAAAAATAAGCGCATAATGCAGTAAAAATTGGATACCAATCGAAGTCGATTGCGTGATAGGTCATGAATGAATTTTCCGGTGACTCGCGAAATCTAACAGTCGAAAATCTCGAGCCAACAAAGTCGTTAGACGATGTTCCTGTATAATAAAGAGAAGAAGAGAGAGAAGAGTATGCCTCGCTAACAGATGAACAAATGCTCGAGAAAGCCAGTGTAGCCGTACAGTCTGAAATTGGTGTCAAGCATCCAGTGATGTATAAAACAACCTTTGCGAAATGGCATTTGAAAACAGAATTTCATTTTTCAAGGTTAAGATGCTCAGGGAAATGTGCAAGCATTTTGAAATCCCATCTAACTTGGTCCAAGATTGCTCATGCACGAAAGAATCAAACTACGCAATGAAAGTTTCAAACAACTATTTTGGTAAACTGAAATTCCACAACTTTGTCCACGGTGACATTTTTGACGGTTTGGATTATTTGGATTTTGGACTGCCTAAGGTTGTGTGAAAAAAATAAATTTATAGAAAACTCATCCGTGCACTTTTAGGTGCGGGAACGAGTTGCGGGGAAAAGAAAAACCAAGTCTCGTATATTCTGTACTCGTTCGAACTGTTATACCTGGTTGATTTACTATGTGTTCTGGTCAAATCTTAAATCGTAGACGACTATTTGGAAACTTGTAGCTTATCGACGTGGACGAAGGATCAAGAAGGAACTTAAATAACATAGTTCAGTACGCCAATGGTTACTACTAACAAACCTGACGTTGAGTGACGCATGAGTTAAGTTACAGAGTTATCAACACTACTTTGCGACCTGACGGCGGTACTCAGAAGTCTCATCGTGTAGGAAAAATTCCACCATGTTTTTTTTGGGTTTTCATCGAATGATTAATTTCTGGCGACTTCGTGATGTTTCATAAATTCAGAAGAAAGGACCTTAAGGCCTAGTTTATACGTCGCGCTACAGTCGAATTTAATTCAGACGAGTTTAATTCCATTAAATTCGTCGTTCCGTCGACATAAATCGTGGCGTGGTTTTATGCGTCGAAATCAATACGGTCGAATTTAATTCTCTTCCCAAATGCAGTGTTTCTGGTCAGAGGTGTCATTTTGAAACAAACATGGCGCGGGCTAAAGTTCTGAAAACAGTTTTGCTCGAGAAAATTTCCAGGGAAAGACAACGGCGACGTCAACTACGGCGTAATATGGTTACATTGGTGTTAATGAGGAAAAGGTTTATCGTACGACTTTGTTTGCTGACTTATCTCCTGTTACAGGCAAGTGAAGATGAAATTAGCACTCGAAGACCTCGTAGTTGTCGTCGCAGTCATAAAAACACAGGTTGGTGGGAATTGGTCTGGGCGTCCTATGATGAAGGAAGATGTAAGAAAACCTTTCGTGTATCAAGTAATACGTTTAACTTAATTTTGAAGAGTCTTCGACCTGATATTGAGAAAGATTTTGTCACAGAGCAGTCCGTTTCTGCCGAAAGTAGGCTGGCTATATGTCTTTACAGATTATGTAGAGGTGACTACCTATACACCATTACGGAACTGTTTGGCCTCATAAGAAACCTGTGGAAACCTTCGGTGCAAGCGCATTTTCCAATCACCAAACAGAATATTATGGAGAAAATGGTGGACATGACAGCGTTTTGGCAATTCCCCTGCTGCTGGAGTGCTGTAGATGGGTGCCACATCCCCATTCAGTGCCCTCCTGGCGGTCTGAAAGCCTGTAAAGAGTATCATAACTTTAAGAAATTTTATTCAATAGTATTGATGGCCATTGTAGATGCACAGGATCTTTTCATCTGGGCAAGTGTTGGTGTTCCAGGAAATTCACATGATTCCATCATTTTCCAGTCCACTGATTTATGGCACAACATTACTGAAAACAACATCATACTATTAATTTCTCAAGTGATTGAAGGTATCGAGGTTTACCCGATGATTTTGGGCGATTCTGCTTTCCCATTCAGAGTGTGGTTAATGAAACCGTATGGTAATGCTAACCTTACACCCGAAGAGGGCTATTTTAACTATCGTCTAAGCCGCGCAAGAATGGTAACTGAGCGAGCCTATGGACAACTGAAGAGCAGGTGGAGAGTTTTGTATCCAAAGCTAGAAAGTAGACCAGATTCGGTGAAACTGGCCGTGCTCGCGTGTATTGTACTTCACAACATCTGCATTACCACAAAGGACAGCCTTCCTGCCCAACTGGATTTGTCAATTGATCCTTTCACACAAAAGAAAAGGTCCAGAGAAGAAATACGAGATCTGTTGCAGATGCGCAACTGCCCTAAGAGAAAGGATTCATCTCGCAAAGCTGGAGCAATAAGGGAGGCTCTGACCAGGAAAATGTGGCAGGAAAAAGAAGCAAACGAACTGGAAATGTAGACGTGATTAAAACAATTTTTTTGTCATCCATGTTATTTTCAAAGTTCTCCATAGATTGTAACAAATAAATCACTTCACATTTCAGGTAAACTTTATAAAAGCAACAGTGTGTTGTTCCATAAAATATTCAACGCCCCTGTGAAGTTTTTTGTTAGACCTCAAACTCCCGCTAACTCCGGCAACCGTCTTAAACTTTAGCCCGTACTTCAAGAACCTGCTACTTGCCTTCACGCCGGAACGCGAATTCTACGCTCTTAATCCACGGGGGTAGAAATGAATATTTTGTGGAACTGTCTCAATTTCAACTTAGGCATTACATGTACAAGTCCTGCAAATCGGCATTATATGAAAAACTCGCTTACTTCACTATTACATTTCTTTTCAGTACACATAACAGAAAAAAGAAACAGATTTGACCGAAGGTACTGAATGTCATGACATTCCTAATACGTTTGTTGCATTACTTCTCATCAATGCTTTAAGCGACCCATTTTAAATGCAAGTTAGAAATGCTCAGGTCTCGAGTTCATGTTCAAGCAAGCAATGATAGTCATTGGATCAAGGAATACTATTAATATATGACATTACGTTGCATCACTGTATGAGATAAACACTGTTATGATGAGAATTGCAATACTGTAATTCAGTTGTTACTTTGTTACAGTTGTTACAACCAAAACATACCAAACTACCTATGGTGGTATCTCAGTGCAAAGAAACTACATGGGAACTCGGGTAATATTATTAATACCTCTGCTGCCAAAAATTTAATAGTTTGGCCTGCACCTATACATAATTTGCATCCACTTCAGGAACATTGCCAGGTACATCTTATAAGTTGGCTATCTGCTCATTCAATCAATTATGACAGTTAACGGTACAAAACTTGCACTGCAAAGCAGTTTGTGATGTCATGAACAAGGAATAGATCCATGCCCCTCACAGCTTGGTTGTGTTTGAGATAAAAACAGACTTAATTTGCAAATTCTTTTAAAAAACTAATATTTAAACAAAATGCTACACTTCTCGAACCATCATATCAGTGAAATATTGAGATTTCTGCTGGTGGAAAAAGATTATTTGAGTTATAGGCACTTCAAGACCATAGTGTAGAAGGCCCTTTTCAAAGCAGTTCCAAAATAACTTTAAAATATTAGAGTGCATGCCGAGACCCTTTCAAAATTGGTACAACTGTGAAACACCAGATTGTCCTTGTGAAGTCATAGTTGACTGAGCGTGATGTAGGAGAGACTGCTCATCATTTTTTTGGAGCAGATGACATCAATGGTGTGTACCCAAAGGATGGGGTACTAGGGTGACTGCTGCTAGCTCTGGGATTGGACACAGCTTGTTGTGCAAAATTATGGCTTTGATGATGAAAATCATCAGAATGAGAACTGCTATAAGGATGGAAATTACCATGGGGTTGCATGTTTGGATTGATGTTGGGTGTTAGTAGGCCACACATCAACTGGAAGTACCTCATTTCCTATTCTCTAGACTGCTTCATATCTTCTCTTAAAATTTGCAAAAGTTCTTTGATGGGATCATTCTCAATAGTACTTTGAAGTAGTTCAACAGCTTTTGCCATCTGCTCATTTTTAGCTCTTTTAGAGGCAGGTTTCTTTGCCAAGAAACGTTTAACCTTGGATGGGACTTCTCCACTGCTATCCATAAGGCTGGATGAAGTGCTTGCACAGTCATCATCATCACTATCAACTTCTTGATCATTCTTGCTGGTATCTTGCTTGTCTACATTTCCAATATGTACAGAGGGTTCACATGCATTTTCTCGTTGACATGAATCTCTAGTTTTAACAAGTACATAAAGAAGTTCAAACCATTTACCATATCCCCGTTCTTCAACAAACCTTTCAATACCTGAAGCAGTTTTCATTGTCATGCAGATCTGCTTACACGTACTAATGCATGACTTAAATTTATTTCTCATTTGTTGCTCTTGGAAAGGAAAATCACTCCCGGTGGTCTTATTGTATTCGACGTTCAGCCGTTTCCGCAACATGTCATAAGCTTCAGTGTTGCTTGCTTTCTTAGTATTGCAAAATATCAGTTTCTTGACCAGCTGGTTATTATTAACAATAATATTTACCATATCAGTGATGTGATCTTCTTTCCAAGTCGCTCTCCGCCCAATTCTTTTCTTCCTTTTCCCACATTCAGAACTCACCATTTCACCTTCCTCGATGAAATCTGACTCTTCTTCTTCTTCTTCTTCTTCTTTTCTTGTTTGCTTTTCTGTACAAAGAGCACACTTGAGACAATACCCAACACGTTTATTTGGTTGCCAGCCGATAGCTTCTTCATTAACTTCAGGAATCGAACATTCCGATCGAACACATACACTTTTACCACACGTTATACAAGAATACTTCGTTTGTCTCTCACAATTACTGCAAGAAAATGACAAACTTTTCCTCCAAAGCGCCATGGCTATGAACTACAACGTAAACTCGCGCCGAAGTGCCCAAGAGGAATTTTTGCGCATGCGGAGTACTTGAAAAGCTCGCCACGGGTCGCTGCGGGCTCGCCAAAATAAATTGAAATACATTAAGAAAATGTATGCATTTCATTCCACGCGAAGCTAGCGCGACGTTAAAACTGAAGACGCTTTATCGATATTTTATCCGTTTTACCAAGACGAATAAAACATCTAGGACGAATTTAATTTACCAGACAAATTTAATTCGTTTTAGACGTCGCGCTATCGTCGAATTTAATTGCTTGTGGGACCTTGAATTAAATTCGTCTGAATTAAATTCGACCGTAGCGCGACGTATAAACTAGGCCTAAGATAAATTAGTTCGCGTGGTAAAATATTATTTGATTACATGTTACATACATCAACTGAAAAGGACTTCACTTTAAGTACCACGAATGCGAAAACTTCGACTTAGTGTTACTCTGAATAAACCTGAATCTCGTCAGAGCTATCCTGCCTCTAAAGTTTTTTCCCTTCCTCATTAATTGAGTGATAAACGAAACAATAGGTCGCCTAGAGCTAATAGTCAACTTTCGGCGGCTGTATTTCTCCAGATGGATATAAAGATTTTTCTTTACTTAATGATTTTTTATCCCATTACGAATTTAAAAAAAAACTTTTTTGGTCTCAAATCACTCGTCAAACATAAGTTGGCCGTATAAGTTTCGTTTACTTTTTAGACCGCTCCATGTGCACCGTAAGGTCGAATTTTCGAAAGTACACGCGATTTCATGGCCAGCTATTCCAGAAGTTCGCCGAAACCACAACATGTTTTTATATTTGCATACTCCTCTACCCTATTTTAATCAGTCTGGATAAAAAATATCGTGGGAAAGAGGTTGAAATTTTGCGCTGAGCCGAGATAAAAAGTTGCATATTTCCGGTCATGACGGTAGCATCAAAGTAGATGTCAAACAAAATTGCATTGAAAAAAACCGTTACGTGCTTTGTTCTCATTTAAATCAAAGGGTTGATCTAAATATGCAAAGCAAAAAAAACCCCTCAAACTCGAATTTTGTGAAAATAAATTTGATGTTCGGTGTTGATAAAAACTAGTGCTGAAGCGATTTTCGCTTAGGAAAAAATTATTCTGCTACATTTGCAAAAACCAAGGTGGTTTCGATTACTTTTAGACTAAAGTAGATTCCTAGGCAAAGGTTGATAGAAATCCATTTTTGGACCCGAAACGCACCGGACCGCTTTTAAGTTGGCTTGCTCTTGGTAAGTTTATCATCGTTAACATTTTGTTGAAGAGCCCTCGCCATAATAAAAATTATTCTCGCAAGTATTAATCAAAGGGATGAATAAGCGCTTAAAGTTACGGATCTTCAAGGTGCTTGGTTTCTGTGTTTGTACATTGAATGCACTTCACACTCAAGGTGCATAATCTATGGCATGACGGAGAAACCTTAGGAAAAGCGTAGGCTGAGTTACAATCATACTCATGGAAAGCAGTGATACGTCTAGAGGCTTATGTCACTAATCATGTCAGAAATTATTCTTATGCGAGGTTAAGGGCCCCGGACTAGTGCAAGTCAAGTTAAATACGATTGAAATTAAGGTCCATTTTACTATACTCCTAGAAAACTTTGAGCAGGACTTCAGACTTTTAATGAATGATTCCTCAAACTTATTTAGAACGAAAGAATCTTTGGCGCGGAACTATTCAGTTAACAACTGAAGTAAAATATTTGAAAAAGAACCATTAATTAAAATTATACTGCGGTCCATTCTTCGTTGGACAAAATTTCCAGACAACATTTCAAAACTATTTCTAAAAAAAAAAAAACGCAACGAATGTTTTCCACTCAAGCTACAACGTTCATCAGCGGCGGCAGACAGATTTGGATGGACCTTAATCGTGGGCATACCAAGAGCTTAATTAAACCGCCAAAAAATTGAAGGAGCATTGATGTTAACGTGGTTAGCTCAGATAATTTGTCCTCTTGAAAAACCATGTTAATTTTTGGAATCGCTTGACATTTCTAAACAAACACTCTAATACTCTTTAGAGGTTTCAAGGAACCATTTAGTGGCACTTCGGAGAAAATTTCTGACTGCCGGACATTTAGCTATTTCGAGACCGTGCCCAGCAGTCTGATCAGAAGCGACGACAACCGAGTAATAATATTGTGGTGTGCAGCCGTGTCCGGCTGCCGGGCATTTTGTCATAGCGTTTTCGAAAAGCTCCATTTTGAAAATGTGCTTTCAAAACTTTCATATCAAGTCCCCCTTTATTCAGCGTGATGAATACAGGCCTCTTGGTAAATTTTGTGATCCTCTCATTTCAAAATTACGACATCTGTATTATTATACAGGAACATCGTCCAACGCTTTGTTGGCTCGAGAATTTCGACTGTTACATTGCACGAGTCACCGGCAAATTCATTCATGACCAATCACACAATCGACTTCGATAGGTATCCAATTTTTACAGTATTATGCGCTTACTTTTGGCCTGAGAAAAAATTTACGTTTTCTCGCTAGTGAAATTTCATTTTACGCCACGGTGGACGTTAATCAGTAATAAAACTGGATGATAAGCAGTAATAAACAACAGACGAGTGCCTTTTTGATTTCTGCTCCCACTTTCCGCCCTCAGATAGTTCCCACTTCCCGCCCTCTCCCGTCCCCAGTTCTCCCGCCCCCCGTCCCCTTCCATTCTAGAGTACTGATTAAATGTCATTCAAAAACACCATTTGGAAATAATTTTTGGAGACCCTAGTTAGAAATTATATTACCAAAAGTTATTTGTTTGTTTTTCGGCTGGTAAAAAGAATGAAACGATCTCCCAGGACGAGACGAACTGGTCTTTTTAAGGTCTAACAAATCGACGTAACGTACTTGACGAGGATTATAAGGTGCTGAGTTGCTTTGCTGACCAGTTCGCTTTCTGTTCCTGACCCCTCCCCACTTTGTCTTTTATCTTCTGCCGCCATTCAAATTTGCCCCAACTCCTACTCGGTCTGCATGGTCTGCGTTTTATTATGACCGCGCATCGCGAGATGCACGAGCGTTGCGTTTCGCATAAGATACTCTCTGTTGCGTAACTTGTTTTGTTGAAACTCTTGCTGATTCTTCTGTCACAGTAAAAGATATTCTCTATTACCCACCATCGTTTGCTGGGACTTCATTTGTGACATTGTGATCTTGTCATTTTCAAGGACAAATGATAGAAATTGATATTACATGTTGATCATTTTGTGGAATACCCTCGAACTGGTTTTGGCTCTCCATACAAAGGAATAGCAATTATTCAAATTTGTCTTAGAAAAAACAGAGAGTGTTTTGAAACTGTTTTGAAACAAACTGGCTTGATGAAACCCATTCGGTGTCTGAGGTTTCTCAGGTCTCAATATCTCGTGTGTGATTAGTTACAATTAATGATTTATTTTTGTGACTAATAAGTTTGTCATGTATCCGACAAGTTCTCGCGTAGTGGAGACAAAAAGGAAAGAGGGATGGCGAAAAATTGTGGAAACTCCATTCGGAATGAAAAGTTGGTTCCATGCCGCTTCCTTAAATAATGGCAAGATATTTTTCAGCCGTTATTTGGTTTCTATCTAGAGGGAGCCTGGAAATCAACAGGCTCACCCAAGCAAGGTGATCAATTTTGGCTAGCCGCGCGCAAATCTCTCGCGCAAAATTTCAGACAAAAATAAGGTTAGCAACCGCTGTCAAGCTAACTATGCCAAGAAAATTAAACGTTCATAAAAAGTAGAGAAAGGAAAACTCGACATTCTTCGAGCACAAAGCTTATTCTAAGTCATGAGGTTCTACAGAACACCGAGACTAAATGGATTTTATGTAAGTTTACAACTCTCAGAGGGCAGGTTGGTTCAAAAGGCGAAGACCTTTGACCATTGCGTTGAATATGCCAATAATGGCTAAGTATTTTGTAGGTCTCAAGTGATGGTACCAAAAGGCGGTTACAGGAGAATCTTTGGTGGTGAAGATAAAAAAGTCAGTTTTGTATCTTCACTTTTTTATCGCTGGATGAACGGAGTCCTTAAGGAGGGCAGTCAAAGACCTTTGGATCAAAATGACTTTTTACCCTTGTCAGAGGAGAACTCTGGCCGTTTTGTCACCGACAAGCTTCGAAAAAGCTGGGAAAGCGAGAAACATCATTGCAAGATGAATGGGAAAGGGCCCAAACTTTGGAAAAGCGTCTTTGATATGCTTTCTGCCGAAGATGTTATCATCATTTTGACGGGGAATATATTGTGTACAACTTCTCGCCTTCTCTTTCCACTGTTTCTCGGGTATCTTGTTTCTAAGCTTATGTCAACTGAGGCAGAGAATACTTATCAGCTCTACGCCTGCGCATTAGCTTTGTGTCTTAATGGTTTGATCGGTGGTCTTGGTGCGCACCAGCGAGGTTACAGATGTGAAATATTGGGGATCAAATTAGGAAGCGCCCTGAGAGGACTGGTGTACCACAAGGTAGGCACGATCCTAAATAGTATTCTCTGCGTTTTTCGAAGGCTCAACCGATTTTTCTAATACCCTAGACACCGCAAATTAAGCCGAACAAACTTGAACATATTTATTTATCCGATAAAGAATTATTTTTTCTAGAAATCTGATCGATTGCAGTCGGCTTATGCCATTAATCATCATCGCTAGTTGCTGCTTCTGCGAGAGCAACCAATCCTGCTCACCAACAAAAGAATCGAAGAAAGAAGCAGCTATTTAACCTGTAGTTAACGTGGAAGTAGGCAACAGAAACCATAACGTATACGGCCGCGCTTATGAACGAGATTCAAAATGGCGCCGGAGTTGTCGCTCTTTTTACTCACTATTTTAAAGATAATTTGGTAGAGGTTTGGTTACTCTCGTCTCGAAACAAAATCATCGTTAACATACTTTTCCTTTAATGTCTAATCTGTACCCTCTTTCAGACGCTTCTACTCAGCAAGCAGACGTTACTGAAATTCACTGCAGGACGCTTATTTGACCTGATATCAAATGATGTTAAAAGAATGGAAGAAGAGACAGTCAAGTTCTTTTTCTCAGCCGTTTTCGCAGTTCCTGCTTATGCGGGGGCAACATTTCTTATCTACAATCTGATTGGTTGGCAGGCTGTTACGGGTGTGCTCCTTCTGTGTATTCTCATGCCATACTTTGCCGTCTTGTCCTATGCTAATGCTAAGCTGCGCTTGCGCACAGCCACAGTGTCCGATCAGCGAATCTCCTTAATGAATCAAGTAGTTTGCGGGATCCGCACGGTCAAAACGCATGCGTGGGAGGACGAATATGGACGAAAGATAAAACATGTAAGAAGGTAAGGTAAATTATCATTTTCAATCAGAAGTAGGCTAAAACAACTATGTTTAGTCATTCCTGTAATTGTTGACCCAAATTATTCAAAAACTATAAGTCTGCCTCTTCTCAGTTAAGAGTTTTATTAGCTACGCAATTTAAACAAGTCCCTCCAAAAAAACGCTTTGGACCGCGGTATGAGCCAATCACAATTCCTCTTTTTACAAAGAATAAGTTTCTCATGTAACCCATTCCATAACCGGACTGGAAGGACTGGCCAGTCAATTAAAAAATATCAGGATATAATGAGTAGATAGTGTCGAAAATGCACTTTGATTGGCCCTCAAACTCCGAATATCCTTTGCAATTCATCTTCAAGCGACTCGTGCGGGTAAATAGATATCACCTCCACTTCGGAGAATAATCGTTCATTATTATAGGTAGAACATCTCATCTCATTATTATTTTTCATGCGCTATCGTGGGGTTGCAAAAGACGGACTTTCGCAAAAGACGCACGTGAACGATTAGGAAGGGTGCGGCCCGCCTGGTGCCGCCCGCTCACCTCGTTAATATTTCAAATTAGAGTGAACACTGACGACGAGTTGGTTCGACAGAATGCCCACATAACCTATGATCAACTTTTATCTTCAGAAATGAAATCAGCGTCATTTTGAAGAGGACAGCCATTCAGTCAAGTATCGATGCCTTGTCATACAGTGCAACACCACTGGCCACTCTGGTGTCAGTAATTACCATGGTGCTTACAGGCCAGACTCTTACGCCCACCAATGTTTTTATGCTGCTTTCGTTTATGGGCGTTTTAAAATTGAGTGGCATGTTGAGTGTGATCACTGGTTTAATGCTAACGTATGACGCCTACGTTTCGCTCGGAAGAATCGAAGAGTTCCTTCTTTTGGAAAATCTGTTGCAAGCCTCGGAGAGTGATGACAGCAACGAGCCCCCAAAAAAAGCGAAAAGTACCTTAGGTAACGAAAGTTGCAGTTACTTGAAAAAAGAAGAGGAAAATACGGACGAGGTTTCCCTCTCTCGTGAAGCAACAGAATTAGGGCCTGCTATACTGTGTGTGTCAAATTTAAGCTATGCAAAAACGCATCATGAAGATGAACTTATTCTTCAGGATATCAACTTCTTTGCACCTTCAAAGAGTTTAACAGTCATCACTGGCCCGGTTGGAAGTGGAAAGTCTACTCTCCTCTCAGCGATCGCTGGTGAAATTTCGAACGCCAGTGGGACGATTGATTATCAAGGTTCTGTCATTTACTTGCCTCAGACTGCTTGGGTGTTCTCGGGAACGATAAAAGAAAACATTCTGTTCGGTCAACCCTTCGAGGAGTCCAAGTACGAAAGAATAATCGACGTCTGCGCTCTAAAAGAAGACTTTCAGCGGTTACCTGATGGTGACCAAACAGTTGTTGGAGAACGCGGCGAGATTCTGAGTGGAGGACAACAGGCGAGAATAAGTTTAGCTCGCGCTGTTTATGCTGACGGAGATATTTATCTATTGGATGATCCACTGAGTGCTGTCGATGTTAAAGTTGGCCAACACATCTTTCACGAGTGCATCAAAGATCTCCTAGGCGAAAAAATCGTTCTGTTTGCATCTCATCAGCAACAGCACATGGAAAATGCTGATCAAGTGATTGTGTTGTACAAAGGGCGTGTCTTCGACAAGGGACGTTTTACTGAGCTGCACGAAAAAGGTGTAATCAATTCAACTGTTGACCCACTCTATAAGGCAGCTCTCAAGGACAAAACAGACTCATCTTGGCCGTTCGGCTGGGAAGATAAGGAGGAACACGATGTTGTTAAAAAGTGCCAGAAAATACATGCTCTGCCCAATGAAGCGAGGAGTTTGCAAATAGCAAAGGAGGATCGTACAATCGGAGTTGTGACAACCAAGCTTTATTGGGACTACTTCAGAAGTGGAGCACATCCTTTGATGATAACTGGAATGGTTACTTTAAGTCTCATTACTCAAGGTAAACTTATTGTTAGAGTGAGTTACAAACCTTGGGTCAGGCCCTAACAGGGAATACAGCAACCTTTTTTTTTCTATATTTCCTTTATCCTATTTCCTGCAAATAACTTCACAATGGCTATGCTTTTAACCAACAATACACGTTGTTTTTAGATTAGATGGTAAAGGTAAGAGACAATGCACAAATTTCTGACCATGTTCCCGATATCGCGCTCTCTCGTAGAATCGCGAGGCAAGCGCAAGTGAATGGACAGTCACGCGCGAAAGGAAGAGCTGGTGTTTTTCTCCCCACGTTTCCCTTGCACTTGCCTCCACTCGCCTGAAAAAGGTTAAAAAACACTCGCTCTACAAACTAACTTCTGAAATCAAACGCAGTTGTCTAACAATATCTATGGGTAACATGGTTGACTGCTTCATCTATTCTGTGACGTTGTGGTGCTTACATAAACATCCCTAAGATACTAACGGTAGTGGCTAATCCAGGCGAGTTGTGCCTTGGCCCAATAAATCTTATAATCTTCAACTGAGTGATTATACAGAAACACATTTCAACCACTGCATATTAACGATGTTTCTTTCAGCCATCATAGCTGCTCCAGACTTGTGGCTCTCGTTTCTTGCAAGGCTAAACCCAGAGGATCAGAAGAAGAAGACTTATCTATCTGTCTTCGCCTGTCTGGTTGGCGTGTGTTTTATATTTACTATCGTTTGGGCTTATGGATTCTTCCATGTTTGTCTAAAGTGCGCCGAGCGTCTTCACGATAAAATGGTTGTAGCCATTTTACAAGCACCTGTCCTGTTCTTTGATTCAAATCCAGTGGGAAGAATCCTAAATCGCTTCTCGAATGACATTGGCTGTGTAGATGAGATGTTACCCAAAACATTCCTGGCGGCAATGCAGATGCTCTTGGTGATATTTACCCAAATTCTGGTTACAGTTTCCACAAATGTTTGGCTGATGTTTCTTGTTGTTCCAATTTCCGTGCTGGTCGTTTTTCTATCCGACTATTACTTGAAGACTGCCAGAGAACTAAAGAGGTTAGAGTCGATATCCCGAAGCCCAGTGTTCGCTCATTTTTCGGAGACCCTAATAGGACTTGACACGATTCGAACGAGAGGAAGACAGACAGATTTTGTGGATGCACTTTACAGGTATGTTGGGGACATTGATCCAGTCTGTGGTACCAGAGCCAATAAATGTACAGGGCACAAATGACTCATGATTGCCTATTTTTTGTGAGCCATTAATTTTCTTATTTAGCGGCAATACACGACAAGCGGAAAGACTACAGTAATTGCTCTGTGCGGTTTTCGTCCTTCTGATAGGATTTCAACAGAACCATAATATGAACGGTCAATCAACAAGATCGCGTGACGCAGAAATTTCATGATTTGTCAAAAATGAAACAAATGTATCGAACGTGATTGGTTATCACCAGCCCGATTAGAGCACTAATAGCACAGTGTCAGTGTCGTGCTTGTAATTGGACAGTGTAGTAGGACAGTTGACAAGTCATGTCTGCGTGTAAGTGTATGCCCGCGCTGTTGTCGGGAATTTCGCCGAGTTTTTTTTTTTTTTTTTTTTGAAAACGTATAACTGATGTCTAGTTTCTTTCTCTAATTTTGTCATAGTTTTGATCAATTAGTAAGAGAACGTCATGTCGTCCAATTCTGTAATAACAATACCACAATAATAACCACAATAATACGCGTGGTTTAAAAAATCAGACTCCTGCTTCGCAGTCGTCCGCTTTTATTAATCGCTCTGATGATTTCTGACCGAATTGGACTCCATTATGAGTTTCACAGGAAATGCAGATAAGTGCCACTCGTCTTCTCCCTCTGATAAATGTTATGTTAAGTATACAATATGTAGTTGTGATAGTGAACAATTAAGAGCTGGCTTGTTTTGGAGAGCATTTTTAATGAAAAAATACCCATATCGTTAACAAATTCGGCTCTAGCGGCTCTTACGTTATCTGGGCGAATGGAGAATACCTAAGAATGCTACGTGGTTACGGAGGTGATCTTTCGGACAGTTAGCTAGAAGCTTACGGATGCTTCTTCTAGTTTCTACTGTTAATAAAATGTATGATTATGGACCGAATTGGACTCCACTCAGTCCTATTACCAATATGAGTTTAAAGGAAATACAGACAAGTGCCACTCGTCTTCTCCTTCTGATAAATTTTATCCTTAGTATACAATATGTAGTTGCGATAGTTAACAATTAAGAATTTTTTTCTTTGAGGTGGCAGGGGGGATTTATCATTTTGAGTGGAAAAGTACCCATATCGTAAACAAACTTGGCTCCAGCGGCTCTCACTTCATCTGGACGAATGGAGCATACCTAAGACTGAGATGTGGTTACGGAAGTGATCTTTCGGATACTTAGCTAGAAGCTTGTGGATGTTTCTTGGAGAGTAATATCTTTTTGAGAGGGTGGGGTCGGGCGGAATTTCTTGAAAGACTACTTTACATGAGGGGACGCAAATCGTCTGTACTGTAAGTATCCCGGAGAGTCCCCTACATTTTCTTAGACTTTTAGGCTAAGAAAATGTATGGGACTTTTTGAACGCTGTAAGGTGTCATAATCCTGTTGCTGCTGACATCGATGTGACAGATAATTGCTTTTGCACTGTTTTCTTTGCCGGCTTATACTTGTCATCAAGTTTCAGTAAGACGGCTATCATTTTTCACACGAATAATGAAGTTTTCGTAAATTGTGAGATCGGATGCAAGAGCACGTGTTCAACTATTTCCCTCTTCTTGCGGAGCTTGATATGTACTTACAGTGCAGACGATTTGCGTCCCCTCATGATTAAGCGGTTTGTTTTGCGCGAGTTTGTCGGGCCCATCACGAACTAAAGTAATACAAAGCTTCTACAATCCGGTTTATTTTCGACAGTCAGCTAAAAAATCACTCCATTATTATAACACATTGTGATAAAAACTCATCCCTTCAGATATGAAGATGTTCATAATCAGGCGTACATTATGGTGATGGCCAGCGGTAGGTGGCTCGGTGCACGTTTGGACTGTCTCGCTTCCTTGTTAGTCGGTGCAGTTGCTGTGGCTGCAATCTTGGTATCTCAAGATGCCGGTAAGCTCAAGATTCTAAGTAACGTTTTTGATTTTCCATGTAAAGTAAGAATTCATATAGTAGTGTATTGACACAGCATGAACTAATAAATAAAAAATAAGTGTGAAAATACGTGCACTCCTATTATCAACGGGTGGTTTCTATATGCGACAGAAACGTGAGAGTCACTCGGGTAGCTTAACTGCTAAGCAAACGTTGAAGTGTCTATTATGATTCAAGTCGGGAAACTTGTGTTGATAACTCCTCTGCACCTACTTAGCCAGGAGTCAAAACAACAACACTAAGAAAGAAAAGTTTTCGTTATATGTTTTGAGCCAACAAGAGAAAACTAGTCCGGAATTTATAAATTCAAGGTCCAATTCTTTTTCAGCTTACGCTGGTCTCGCTCTTGTTTACGTCATCCAAACTTTGAGCTCCACTCAATACGCTGTTAGAAAAACCTCTGAAGTGGAAAACTACATGACGTCAGTTGAGCGAGTTATAACCTACACCAAACTTGATCGTGAGCCTGGATACGCGGAAGAACGAACACCCCCACAAGACTGGCCTCGGAGAGGAAGTATTGTGTTTAGAGATGTATTACTGACGTACTATCCGGGAGGACCTCAAGTGTTGAAAAACGTCAATCTTAGCATCAAAGGAGGAGCAAAGATTGGAGTTGCCGGCCGTACGGGAGCTGGGAAGTCATCTTTTGTAGCAGCTCTTATGCGCATGCCTGATGCTGATGGAGAGATAATCATTGACAATGTTCCAATTAAGGACATAGGCCTCCAACAAGCTCGACGAGGTATCTCGGTTCTTGGCCAAAGTCCTGTTCTTTTTAGCGGATCATTGAGGAAAAATCTAGACATTTTTGACAAGTTTCAGGACGCTGAATTATGGCAAGCTTTAGAGGACGTGCAACTGAAAGATTTTGTCGAGACACTTGAGGCCAAGCTGGATCACGAACTGCTGGAGCATGGCGCTAATGTCAGTGTTGGAGAGCAGCAGTTAATTTGCTTGGCTCGTGTGCTGCTACAGCGAAGTAAAATCGTCGTCTTGGACGAGCCAACTGCGCATGTTGACCCAGACACAGAGCAGACGATTTGGAATGTAGTGCGGGATAAACTGAAGGAGTCTACTGTCATCACTATAGCTCACCGTTTGAACACGATAAAAGACTGCGAGAAGATTTTGGTCTTGAAAGATGGAAAAGTTAAAGGATTTGACAAATCTGATTCAATAATAAACATCAATTGAGACGCGGTCTAAGGTTAAAATATCTTGATTGTAACGCAGTTTATTCAGAAATAGGAAACCGTTCAACGGCCTCGGTATTTTCAGATTTAGGGTCTAATATTAGAGAGTAACAGGTTATCATGTCAATATTCACGTTAAGTATAAATTTAGATTTCGGACAAGCAGAAAGAATGAGAGGAACTACCGGCCTACAAGATAGCGGCACAGCTTAATTAAGTTCCGTGTAAGATCAACAACTCTATAACAGTCTCTTCCAAACATATTACCTCGTAAAGTAAAGTAAAGTAAAACCTTTATTTAAATGTCAATGTGTTAAGGCCAGATGGACCAATTGGGGACACCAATAAAATAGCAACACTAATTAACATATGATACCTATATTATATGGTTTATTATAATACACTTATATATATATGGTACTATTTAACAATAGAACTAATCCTATTGGTTACAAAGATTACAGCCCTTGCTGTTGTTGGTTAAAATGTCTGCAAGATCCAATTTTTTATTTTTGTAAATAAAAACGGGTAAACAGGGGGAATTCCTTTGATTTACGGTAAGTTTTTACCATAAGAATGGCCCAAGATATCTAACAGAGTGTTAGTAGCGTGTAGTCACGCTAAAAACGTGGTAATGCGAAGTCACGATTCCGCAGCGAGTAGAACCTTTGCGCAGAAATATATCGGAAACGCAATCAGGTACGAGACCATGTTTAACTTTGTACATAAGTGCAGTGATATCTTGAAGCCGTTTGTTATGTAAAGAAAGTATATCAGCACGTCGTAAAAGTTCTTCAAATTTGTCAGAGTGGGGTTTATATATCACCCTTAGGGCTCTTTCTTGTATTCGTTCTAGCTTCCTTTTGTCGGATGACTTGCAAAAATGCCAAGTTAAATGGCAGTAAGTTAAATAGGGTATTATAAAAGATTTATACAGTGGCAGCGTAGCCTTGCAGGGTATTAAGTTTCGAAGACGAGAGAGTACTCCGACTTTCTGTCCTGCCTTATTACATAATTTGCTAATATGCTCAATAAAGTTGAGGTTATCATCTATGTGAACTCCTAATAATTTGACACAATGTCCAGATCGATTATATTCAGCATCTTGTCTCTCTTGTCCTTATTGAGTTTCAAACGGATAAATGTTCAGAGACTGAAACTTGTCAGGATTAGCCAGTAGAAAAATAATTGTAAACCACAACAGTGTTTGCTGGCCATAAATTTTCATTCTACTTCCCGGGGGTGAAGATGGGAAATTTGAACCGGTGTCACAGCGGATTTGGACCCCCCTCCGCGGATTTGGACCCCCAGAAAAACTGAGTGAAACATCATCCTTGACGTTCTAGTAGAAATATTTGACGTTCCAGTGCGTATTAAAGTATGTTTTTGATTCAAAACATGCAATTGGCAGCTGGAAATGACCCTTTCCGCGAAAGTCGAACACCGTTAGATTCAATAATAGACAAACTTTTGACTTTAATTTATTTTGTTATTGTTCAGTGCCCGAGTGTTTGGACGACATGGTAGAGTGCGAGTTGTGCGAGGAATGGTTGCACATGAGCTGCGAGGGATATAAAACTGCCCTGGAGGGCAAGTGGCTCTGCATTGTCTGCAAAGCGTTAGACTCTAAACGTCTTCGTAATTGTTAAGGTGTTATTTCTTAACGGTTAATATTCGTTGAAATTAGAAAGAAAGATTGAGTTCGATGTAATAGTCACCACTTTTATTAGGACGTAGACATTAACGTTGATTTTCCTTTGAAAATAAGCTGAGAGTTCCAATTGCTCAGAATAGAAACATTTTTACTTACCATAGGCTTTACGAACGACTTTTAGTAGGAGTTGTTACTTTGTTCTTGTTCAGAAACTGTTTAATGTTATTTAATTAGAAAATCAGACTGAGTTATTTTTGTGACGGGATGCAACAGTCTCCACTAATGTTATGACGTTTCGTATTAATGTTGATTCGCATCAGAAGAAGCAAAGATTTACTGAAACAATTTCAAGAGTTCGAATGCAGTAGTTTGTTCGCATTTCATTATTGCGTATACTGGACGACTCGCTCTAATACATACGGCGGAATTGGAACGAAATGGCTGTTTTTCTTTACCTTTACTGAGGAATGTTGTTTTGTGATGGAAAAGAATATCGGCAAAAAGCTTCCAAATAGAATTAGTGACCAAGTATGATACAAACGATACTTAAAAGGAACGTTTGGTAGGGGGGTTCAAATCTGCGAAGGGGGTCCATATCCGCTTGCGGATTTGGACCGGGGGGGTCCATATCCGCTAGCGGATTTGGACCGGGAGTCCAAATCCGCGGGGCGTCCAAATCCGCTGTGACACCGGTATTCCAGTAGAGAAATCAGGGCTGAAATACCCAAAGCCACTCCAATCTTTGCTTTCCATGAATTAAGTAAACCTTTTTAAAAGTTAAAATTCTCTTTAAAATGTAATTCAGTCCACTTTAATAACTTTCGATTCTAATTCGTTACACAAACTAATTTTGGTTTCAATTTGTAGAACCCGTGAAACAGGCTATAAGGCAAGAGGAAAAATTTGCACAATCACCTTACGCAATATATCAAGCTGGGTTTGTCGAATTGATTTTGATGGTCGCAGGGGAATGTCGAGTTTGTCCCTCAAAACCGTTGTGGTCCATAAGAGCGTTAAACATCATTAGTGATGAAAACAAATCTGCGGAAAGGAGGGTTAGTTCATCGAGTTTCGTATACTAAATCTCGGGAGAAACTGCAAGAATGATTTCAGAGTGTACGTGTGTTGTTTTGTAAATATAAACACTGTAACCTATTAAACTTGTTTTTGTGTCCTTTTAAGCGACGCGGCAGGTCTGTTATGACCAGAGTGCCAGATTTTATTCTTTAATTTTGATCTTCTCCGCACTGTGCATTGTTCATGACCTGATATTTCAACGTAAATTATCGAGAAGGCGCCTTCCAATCACCTTTGTCTACTTTGTAAGTCACGCAAGCGCGCAAGCGTTACGACCGATCACGTTTACGCAACGTTTTAGGAAAACTCGGCATCTAATCTCTATTCAGTTGCTGTGAAAACGTAAAATCCTCAACGTAGAGGATAAACGAACGAAGTTTGAACGGTCAAAAGGAGATCTTGGTCAATTCTAAGAATCATGCAAATGATCTTTGACACGAGCGCAATTGAGCAAACACGTAAATTTACGTTGTTTTTAAGAAGTTGGTGGATGGAAGCTAGAGATATACCCGCGGGTTTGAAACAATCCGTGATCTCACTGGTGTATAAACTATGCACTGATATGCTTTTTCAGCCCGATTAACGCCTGCATTTTGAGAATTCTTTCGTACAAAGCAAGGAATTTTTGATATGCAAATTAAGGTCGAAGAGAAGGGTCTCCTCTGATCACGCTAGTATGAAAAATATTTCAGCTGAAGTTTCCATATTTTGTCTATGAACTAACTGAATACACCTTGTAACTTGTTGCAAGATTGAATTCCGTGAGCTACATTGTTGCAGTCGTTGCGCGCTGGAAAAAATCTTTGAAATTTACACTTTCGATCGCTGTTCACAAGGGTGGTCTGGCCAAAAATCATTTTTGGCTTGTGGCGACGCAAAAAAAGAGAATCGGAGAACAACTAATCTATTTTTGAAACACGTGTCCTAAACCCTTTTCATGGGCAAAAAATGAAAGAAAACTTTTTCCCGACGGGAAGTCGAGAGGACCGCTCTTAGCGAGAGTGGCACTTAAATAACATAATTCAGTAGGCCAATGGTTACTACCAACAAACCTGACGTTGAGTGACGCATGAGTTAAGTTACCGAGTTATCAACACTATTTTGCGACCTGAAGGCGGTACTCAGAAGTCTTATCACGATAGGAAAAAGGTCCACTATGTTTTTTTGGGTTTTCATCCAATATTTTATTTCTGGCGACTTCGTGATGTCTCATAAATTCAGAAGAAAGGACCCTAAGATAAATTAGTTCGCGTGGTAAATTATTATTTGATTACATGTCATAACATCAACTGGAAAGGACTTCACTTTAAGTACCACGAGTACGAAAACTTCGACTTAGTGTTATTCTGAATAAACTTGAATCTCGTCATAGCTATCCTACCTCTGAAGTTTTTTCCCTTTCCTCATTAATTGAGTGATAAACGAAACAATAGGTCACCTAGAGCTAAGAGTCTACTTTCGGCGGCAGTATTTTTTCTAGATGGAGATAAAGATTTTTCGTTACTTAATGATGTTTTATCCCATCGGGAGTTTTAAAAAGGCTCTTTTGGACTCAAATCACTTGTTAAACTTAAGTTGGCCGTATAAGTTTCGTTATTTTTTAGACCGCTCCATGTTAATTATAAGGTCGAGTTTTCGAATTTTCGAATTTTCGAAAATGCACGTAATTTGATGGCCGGTTATTCTAGAAGTTCGCCGAAACCACAACATGTTTTTATTTTTTTATGCCCTTCTACCCTATTTTAGTCAGACACTTCACACTTTATTATTTCACACTGTTAACAGAAAAAAATAACTTAACATAACATGATTTACAATGATATAGAAAAAATACAAACAGAAATTAACTAGAAAAAAGAATATTTCATTGTGAACAGTGACCAATGAGCTTTCGAGCTGGTTACTGTCATGTGTAGATTTGAGTTGGGGTTAGCCGCATGTGAAGTATAATTTAAATTAATAGTTACATTAAAGACGATATTGTTATCTTAAGAGAAGAAAGACATACATAAATGCAAGTTAGAATAAAAGGAAAACTGCATATTGTGAAGCAGTATCTTCTATAGCTAACAGTTAAACTATGGTCAGTTCTGAGTACTCAATAAGAATCTTTTATAACGCTTTTTGAATAGCATGTATGGAAAACGTTTAAATTCAGGTGGTACTGATTCCCAGATTTTTATTGCAGAGAATTTAAATATATCTGTTAGAGCATATGAAAGAGCATTTATCAGTCTGGATAAAAATATCGTGGGAAAGAAGTTGGAATTTTGCGCTGAGACGAGATAAAAAAGTTGCATATTTCCGGTCATGACGGTAGCGTCAAAGTGGGTGTCAAACAAAATTGCATTGAAAAAAACCGTTACGTGCTTTGTTCTCATTTAGATCAAAGGGTTTATCTAAATATGAGAAGCAAGAAAAAAACCTCAAACTCGAATTTTGTGAAAAGACGAGCTCGGCAATTTGTGCCAGTTTTGATATTCGGTGTTGATAAAAAAAACTAGCGTTTGAGCGCTGAAGCGATTTTCGCTTAGAAAAAAATTATTTTGTTATACTTACAAAAACCAAGGTGGTTTCGATTACTTTTAGACTTACGTAGATTCCTGGGCAAAGTTTGAAAGAAATCGATTTTTCGACCCGAAACACACCGGACCGTTTTTAGAGAGACTGCGTCTTAAATGTGGAGCCTGCAAAGTTGGCTTGCTCTTGGTAAGTTTATCATCATTAACATTTTGTTGAAGAGCCCTCGCCATAATAGAAATTATTGTCGCAGGCATTAATCAAAGGGATGAATTAGCGCTTAAAGTTACGGGTCTTCCAAGTGCTTGGTTTCTGTGTTTGTACATTGAATTCACTTCACACTCAAGGTGCATCCCAGCGTTAGGGAGTACAATGATGTCTATGGTATGACGAGGAAACCTTAGGAAAAGCGTTGGTTGAGTTACAATCGCTCTCATGGAAAGCAGTGATACGTCTTGAGGCTCATGTCACTTTTGAGGAACGTTTTTGTTTTATGCGAGGTTAAGAGTCTCGAATCAGTGCAAGTCAAGTTAAGTGCGATTGAAATTAAGGTCCAGTTTACTCTACTCTTAGAAAACTTTGAGCAGGACATCAGACTTTTAATGAATGATTTGTCAAACTTATTGAGAGCGAAAGAATCGATGGCGCAGAACTATTCAGATAACAAATAAAGTCGAAAATTTGAATATAAACCATTAATTGATGTCATACTGCGGTCCATTCTTCATTGGACAAAATTTCCAGACAACATTTCCAAATTATTTGTATACGAAAAAACCGAACGAATGTTTTCCGCTCACAGCAACGTTCGTCAACGGCGGCAGACAGATTTGAGGGGACCTTAATCATGGGCATACCAAGAGCTTAATTTAACCGCCAAAAAATTGAAAGAGCATTGAAGTTATCTTTTTCACTAGCTCGGAGAATTTGTCCACCAAAAGACCAAGTTAATTTTTAGAAACGCTTGACACTTGAAAATTAAGTCATTGTCTGCGACATTTGCCCATCCAGTGGGTCGCATGATCAGGGAAAACACAAAGAAAATTTTTTACACAGGAGTAGCACCAAGAGCCTTAAGGCTTTTCGAGTCATAGACTACGTTTTCGAGCTCAGTGCTTTCGAGGTCTGAGTTTTCAAGGTTTGCTTTTTTCAACGTCTTACAGAAGTCAATGGGACACCAAGCAGGTAGTCGGAGATTTAATGAGGTTGCGTAATATAACATCAGGGGTGATGTGTTTCAGGGAAATCCGAGTAATCCTAATCGTCTGAAATTGCTTCAAATCGGGCTGCGGAGCGAGCGTACAAGAAAATAAAACAGTTTTATAATAAGTTGGCATATTATTCAGAGAAAAAAATGAAATTGACTGAGAATAGGAAACCACGGAAAGTACAGTGACATTTGGAGCGATGGTGTGATAAACAGAACTTGCAAATCTCGCGAGATGCATGTAGCTTATAGCCTCCCTAAAATTACCGCACTTACAAGCAGCATCCTTACGAGTCCCAAACGTGAAAGATCGAGTCAATCAGCTCTCGGAACCCACGACATGCTGGCATTAATTTATTCCGATTTTAGTTCTTGGCTTACCCTGTCTACCGTGAGTGCCAGAGGTTTTTCATGCGTGGTTTCCAGTTTCGGTTAGTCTTGACCCGCGTGAAAAGCCTGTGGAAAGGAGCGCCGTTCATTCGATGGAGGGCGCTTACCAGTTAATGTTTCAAATCGATCGAAGGCTCAAGTATTTTCAGAAATTATTGATTTTGGGTGGTTTTAGGCAGTTTTAAATGGTTTTAGGTGGTTTTAGGTCACCCATATTTTAGTGCTTACGCTTCTCGAGACCGTGTCCGGCTACCGGGCATTTATCATAGCGTTTTCGAAAAGTTCCTTTTTCAACTCGTTTCTGTCCCCAGAGTTTTGAAATTTATTTTGAAAGTGCGCTTTCAAAACTTTCAAAATAAGTCCCCTTTAATTCAGCGTGGTGAAGACAGGACTCTTGGGAAATTTTGTGATCCTCTCGTTTCAAAATACGATATCTGTCTTATTATACAGGAACATCGTTTAGTCGATTTTTTCTTTTCTATATTTAGAATTCTCTCAAAACCTATTCGCTCGTGCAATAGATATGGCTTGCAAATAGCAAGGAACGGCAATATTACTGGTGTCTTGGTGAATTCCTGTTTAATGAGACAAAGTTGCAAGGTAAGCTAGATAGAGTTGCAGCTTCCTCAAATTGTTATCGCACGACCACTTGCAAACGTAATACTTTTTACACAAATTGTCAGTACGATTCCATCCACATAGATTTTAATTACAAGGTCGATTACAGGCTGTGTTGACATTTTGTATATGTATAGTTTCGCTAAAAGCTTTGGTTGAGTGGGCTAGATCACAGGAGATGTCGTGATAAAGCGCAGACTGCAGACCGTGAAGACCGTGCAGAATGTGCAGACCGTGCAGACCGTACAAACCGTGCAAACCGCGCTCTGTTGGCTCGAGAATTTCGACTGTTACGTTTTGTGAGACACTGACGAGTTCATTCATGACCTATCTCGCAATCCACTTCGATAGGTATCCAATTTTTACAGTATTATGCGGTTATTTTCAGCCTAAGAAAAAAATGACGTTTTCTCGCCTATGAAATTTTATTTTACGTTTCGGTGGCCGTTAAACGACCAATGAAACCTATTCGGTGTCTGTGGCTTCTCAGGTCAAAAAGTGATTCGAACTCGTGGTCCAAGGTGAAGAAATAGAAGACCAGGCGTCGACGCAGGAAACAGAAAAGCTTAATGTTTGCACTTTATATTAACAAAAAATCAAAAATTCTGGTCCGCTCTTCTCCTGGTAATGTTCGCGTTGATTGGTTACAATTATTGATTTTTTGACCATTCTGTTTTAGGCTACATAATTTTAGGCTATATAAAAGTCATGAGGTTCTACAAAACACCATAACTTATTGGATTTTATGTAAGTTTACAATCCTTAGAAGACAACTTGGTTCTGGAATACTGGAACAACATGCGGAGACGTTTGACAATTGCGTTGAACATGCTAATAACGGCTAACTATTTTGTAGGTCTTAAGTGATGGCATCAAAAGGCGGTTACAGGAAAATCTCTGGTGATGAAGAAAAAAAATTCAGTTTTGTATACTCCCTTTTTTTTTGGTCATCATCATTTTGATGGGGAATATATTGTCTACAACTTCTCACCTTCTCTTTCCACTGTTTCTCGGGTATCTTGTTTCTAAGCTTATATCAACTGAAGCAGAAAATACTTATCAGCTCTACGCCTGCGCATTAGCTATGTGTCTCAATGGTTTGATCGGTGGTCTTGGTATGCACCAGCAAGACTACAGATGTGAAATATTGGGGATCAAAATAGCAAGCGCCCTGAGGGGACTGGCGTACCATAAGGTAGACACGATCTTAAGGCTCGCACCTTTTACACATTTAAAGAAAATTCGGTAGAGGTTTCGAAGCTGTCGTCTCGAAACGCAGTCACGGTTATCTTTATGCCGGAGATTTAAATCGTATGGTTTATGGAACAAACTTCTTCTCTTATGTCTAATCTGTACTCTCTTTCAGACGCTTCTACTCAGCAAGCAGACGTCACTAAGATTTACTGCAGGACGCTTATTCGATCTGATATCCAATGATGTTAAAAGAATGGAAGAAGAGACAGTCACATTGTTTTTCTCAGCCGCTTTCGCAGTCCCTGCTTATGCAGGGGCAATATTCCTTATCTACAACTTGATTGGTTGGCAGGCTGTTACGGGTGTGTTCTTCCTGTGTATTCTTATGCCATACTTTGCCGTCTTGTCGTACGCTAATACTAAGCTGCGCTTGGGCACAGCTACCGTGTCTGATCAGCGAATCTCCCTAATGAATCAAGTAGTTTCGGGGATCGGCACGGTCAAAATGCATGCGTGGGAGGACGAATATGGACAAAAGATAAACCATATAAGAAGGTAAGGTAAATTATCATTTTTATTCAGAAATAGGCTCCAACAACTAGCATTATATATTCCCGTAATTCTTGACCCAAATTATTAAAAACTCGGAAATTGATAACCACATATCGTACTGGGAGATTTGTTAGCTAGGCCGTTTAAACATGCCCCCCCCCCAAAAAAAAAGTCTAATATCTTTACCAGTACTGATCAGTAGCCCATTTCATAACCGGAGGACTGGCCGGTCGATTAAACAATCTCAGTATATACTTAGTCGATAGTGTTAAAATAAGGAAGGGTGCGCTTGCTACCCGCTCACCTCGTTGATATTTCAAACTAGAGAGAACACTGACGACGAGTCGGTTCGACAGAATGTCCACATAACTTATGATAACCCTTTATCTTCAGAAATGAAATCAGCGTCATTTCGAGGAGGGCAGCCATTCAGTCAAGCATCGATGCCTTGTCATACAGTGCAACGCCACTGGCCACACTGGTGTCAGTAATTACTATGGTGCTTAAAGGGCAGACCCTCACGCCCGCTAGTATTTTTACTCTCCTGTCGTTTATGGGTGTTTTAAAAGTGAGCGGCATGTTGAATATGACTCCTGGTTTAATGTTAACGTATGACGCCTACGTTTCACTCGGAAGAATCGAAGAATTCCTTCTTTTGGAAAATCTGTTGGAAGCCTCGGAGAGTGGTGAAAGCGACAAGCTCCCACAAAAAGCGAAAAGTACCTCAAGTAACCAAAGTCGCAGTTACTTGAGAAAAGAAGAGGGAAATATTAGGAATGTTTCCCTGTCTCGTGAAGCAACAGAATTAGGGCCTACTATACTATGTGTGTCAAGTTTAAGCTGCGCAAAAACGCATCGTGAAGATGAATTTATTCTTCAGGATATCAACTTCTTTGCACCTTCAAAGAGTTTAACAGTCATCACTGGCCCGGTTGGAAGTGGGAAGTCTACTCTGCTCTCAGCGATCACTGGTGAAATTTCGAACGCCAGTGGGACGATTGATTATGAAGGTGCTGTCGTTTACTTGCCTCAGGCTGCTTGGGTGTTCTCGGGAACGATAAAAGAAAACATTCTGTTTGGCCAGCCCTACGAGGAGTCTTAGTACAAAAGAACAATCGCTGAAAGAAGACTTTCAGCGGTTACCTGATGGTGACCAAACAGTTGTTGGAGAACGCGGCGAGGTTCTGAGTGGAGGACAACAGGTGAAAGTAAGTTTAGCTCATGCAGTTTATGCTGACGGAAATATTTATCTATTGGATGATCCAGTGAGTGCTGTTGATTTTAAAGTTGGCCAACACATCTTTAACAAGTGCATCAAAGATCTACTAGGCGATAAAATCGTTCTGTTTGCCTCTCATCAGCAAAAGCACATGGAAAATGCTGATCAAGTGATTGTGTTGTACAAAGGACGTGTCCTCGACAAGGGAAGCTTTATTGCGCTGCACGAAAAAGGTGTAATTAGTTGAACTGTTGACCCGCTCTATAAGGCAGCTCTGAAGGACAAAACAGTCTTATCTTGGCCACTCTCCTGGGAAGATAAGGAGGAACACAATGATGTTGAAAAGTGCTATAAAACATATGCTCTGCCCGATGAAGCGAGAGCAGAAGTGGAGCACATCCTTTGATGATAACTGGAATGGTTGATTTAAGTCTCATTACTCAAGGTAAACTTGTTGTTAGGGTGAGTTTCAAACCTTGGGTCAGGCCCTAAAAGGGAAGCCAGGGATATTTTTTCTACATTTCTTTTATTCTATTTCGTTCAAATCATTTCGCAATGACTATGCTTTTAACCAACAATACGCTTTGCTTTTAGATTGGATGGTAGAGTTGAAAGACGCTTCACAAAATTCTGACCATGTTCCCGATATCTCACTTGCTCGTACAAGGGCGAGGTAAGTGCGAGTCGAACGTGAATGGCGAGTCACGCGCGAAAGGAAGAGCTGAAGCCTTGCTCCTTGCGTTTCCCTTGCACTTGCCTGCACTCGCCTAAAAAAGGCCAAAAAACTCGTTTCTAACTAATTTTCTGAGACCGAATGCAGTTTTCTAACAATATTTATGTGTAACATGGTTGACTGCCTCATCTATTCTGTGACATCTATTCTGTGATACTTACCTCTTCTTTTCTCAAGTAACTGAGACTTTGGTTACTTGAGGTACTTTTCGCTTTTTGTGGGGGCTCGTCGCTTTCACCACTCTCCGAGGCTTCCAACAGATTTTCCAAAAGAAGGAATTCTTCGATTCTTCCGAGTGAAACGTAGGCGTCATACGTTAACATTAAACCAGGAGTCATATTCAACATGCCGCTCACTTTTAAAACACCCATAAACGACAGGAGAGTAAAAATATTGGCGGGAGTGAGGGTCTGCCCTGTAAGCACCATAGTAATTACTGACACCAGTGTGGCCAGTGGCGTTGCACTGTATGACAAGGCATCGATGCTTGACTGAATGGCTGCCCTCCTCGAAATGACGCTGATTTCATTTCTGAAGATAAAGGGTTATCATAAGTTATGTGGGCATTCTGTCGAACGGACTCGTCGTCAGTGTTCTCTCTAGTTTGAAATATCAACGAGGTGAGCGGGTAGCAAGCGCACCCCTCCTCATTTTTACACTATCGACTAAGTATATACTGAAATTGTTTAATCGACCGGCCAGTCCTCCGGTTATGAAATGGGCTACTGATTAGTACTGGTAAAGATATTAGACTTTTTTTGGGGGGGGAGGGCATGTTTAAACGGCCTAGCTAACAAATCTCCCAGTACGATATGTGGTTATCTATTTCCGAGTTTTTAATAATTTGGGTCAACAATTACGGGAATGTATAATGCTAGTTGTTAGAGCCTACTTCTGAATAAAAATGACAATTTACCTTACCTTCTTATATGTTTTGTCTTTTGTCCATATTCGTCCTCCCACGCATGCGTTTTGACCGCGCCGATCCCCGAAACTACTTGATTCATTAGGGAGATTCGCTGATCGGACATTGTAGCTGTGCCCAAGCGCAGCTTAGTATTAGCATACGACCAGACGGCAAAGTATGGCATAAGAATACACAGGAAGAACACACCCGTAACAGCCTGCCAACCAATCAAGTTGTAGATAAGGAATATTGCCCCTGCATAAGCAGGGACTGCGAAAGCGGCTGAGAAAAACAATGTGACTGTCTCTTCTTCCATTCTTTTAACATCATTGGATATCAGATCGAATAAGCGTCATGCGGTGAATCTTAGTGACGTCTGCTTGCTGAGTAGAAGCGTCTGAAAGAGAGTACAGATTAGACCATGAGAAGACACAAGTGCTTTGCACTGTAAGTATTAAGCCCGCTGGGCTCGTCTTTTTCAGGTGTGATAATCCCGAAGTTAATTTGATTTAATCTCATTAAATATGTCATGGGCCGACTAACTTAAATTATCAACACTCTCGAGTTAGCAGCTGGATAATGTTACTATGTCGATATTCGAATGTCATGGTTTTTGCCCGCCTATCTTTTCTTTGCAGTTTCGTATTTCAAACGCGTGATTCAGTAGCAGTAGAGATGGCACCTAGGAAGGGTTTCTCGCCCTTCACTCCGGTCATCAGCCCTGAATTAAGTCCACAATTGACTTAGTTCATTCTAAGTTCGAAAGTTTGTGGATCAACGCCGACGCAATACTTTAAGCGGTCGCCTGTTGTCGCCAGTTTTCCAAGCGATTTTCAAAGAATCGACAGTGCCCACATTCGGCTGCTAGATGGCCACCATTACTCGAACAAGAAGTCCTCTAATGCAACGGAAATTGTCTGTTCCTCGGTTGGGTTGATAACCACTCTGCTTCGCCGTTCCTCTTCAGAAAGCTCTGAGTTCATTTCGCAGCTGAGAGATTTGCTGAACTCAGTATATCTCAGTAAAATGTCTATCGACGAAGAAAATGAAGGCCAAGCAAACAAAGAACGACCACGTGCTTCACGATGCTTGGAAATGCCAACGACACCAACGAACAAGACATCATCTGTGGCCATGACACCCCCAAACAGTGGAAACTCGCAAAGAGCTGAAAAAAAGAATGTTTCCCCAAATCTAAAGGAGATCAGCGAAAAGGAAGATTTGGATACTCCAGAAAAGGTGCTGTTGATGAAGCAACGAAGCAGTCGCGTCATCAAGGACGTGTATAACGTGTGCGAAAGAAACAGGGAAAGTTTGGCGATGGTGCTTTCGAACATGTGCGCATTTGGCGACCCAGAAGCGAAGGCCATCGTCAATGAAATTGTCGAAGAGATGGCTGTAAAAATGGGAGTAAAGAGGAGTGTGGAAGAGCTAGTTGGCGACGACACAATGTCGAAGTACGTGGCGTGCCTGAGAGTTCCTGATTGGAAGCTTGTCCTTTTCCAGGCGATGGCGAGAGTTTCTTCGAAAACGTGGCAATCCGTGATAAACATCACAGGGCTCAGAAGGACGGGGGTAAGATGTTTAGTTACGTTGGTCTTACGTCGGTATATTAATATTCATACTTGGCGCCCCGGCTAAGGGAATAAAAGAACAAAAAAAGAACTATTCCATCGCGAGCCTCAATGTTTATAGCAGCTCTTTCTTTTGTTTTATTCAGTTTTTCTCGTAAGCGAAGCCTTGTACAGGAAAAGATAAGCAGGCTTTTTTTTATTACTTAAGCGGGCGTTTTACTCAACTGCGTCTTCAAAATTACCCTAGGTCTGTTTTCCAGAGCAACTTCAGCCAGTGGTAAGCTCTTTTTCAGCTGGTGAAATATGCTGGAAGCCGTATGATAATCATCCACATATTTTTTTTGTGTGTGTGTGTTGTACTTCCAAATCAAAATAACTATAACTGTTAAATTTTTTTGGCCTTGCAAGCAGTTCTTTGTATGGAAGGTGGTCATTATAATAATGTGTAAGGTGAAATGGGTTGGTGAAGGGTGCAGTTTTTGTCTTGACTAATTTAGTGTAAAAAATTGTTTTGCAGGTAGAGCTCATATGTTGTTTGGAATTGTTCCCCGTGATGGTGCTGTATATAGCCAGCAAAGTGCAAAATCAGTCTACACATTGACAACTGCCAACTGTAAAGAAGACAGGTTTGTGAATTGCAACTTGCTTGAACTCTTTACTACCTTCTGGCTAGAATATGCTTGTGGTTGTATGTGCATTTAACTTAAATAACACAATGACAGATTTTTGTAAGCCCCACTCAGTTGCAATATCACCAGGTCATGCATCCACTCTGAGATCTAAGTGGATTGATATCAATATCCCTAATTTGGCTTTAATGCACTAAATATAATAATGACTGTATAGATTTTTGGTTTTTGTTTGTTGACAGAGACAACCTCAAGATTCTTTTTGAGGACATCAACCACCAGAAGAAAATATTAAAGGAAAAAGGAATGACAGTTGATGGTAGACATTACACCGTTGAATTTCTGGGTAAGAATCAATGTTAGTCTTGGAATTTGCTTTAGAAGTCAACTTCTTGTTCATGATACTATTTATAGCAATTTATTGTGTTTCTACCCAGTTGGTAGTCTGACTAGAACTAGATTGAAGCAGTAGTCAAACTATAGTAAATTAAGAGTTTTTTATATTGTAAAACATGTTCAAGGTTTAACTGCAGCAGCAAGAAATAAAACCTGGAATTTATTACTATTTTACGTCAGAAATTGATTTGACTACCCTTTTCTTTAGATACATTAGAGATTAATTTCCTGGAAAGTTTAGCATGTTAACTTTTGCTTTCCCATTTCTGTTATCAAACTTAGTTGTACTGGACTACAAGACCTTGGTACTTCTTTTGGTGAAGAAGATGAATGCTTCATTCATGTTAGGTGGTAGAGGTGTCAGTGTCGAGTTCTGTTTCATCTGCAATGCTATCAGGGTAAAGTACTCAAATGATATAGAAATTAGTATGGGGCAACTGCAACTTGTGCTGTTAAAGTTGAGGTACATAAAAGTGCTGCATCAGTTCATCAACTTTTTTTACAGTGATTTCAGATGACTTTGATCTTTGCCAATATTTGGGAAAATAATTAGTGAGTGATAGAAACATCAAGTAGCTTTAATTCAGTCAAAAAAAGTTGTAAAGTACTTCTCTAAAGGTCATTCTGCTTTTAAAACATTTAAAAATCACTGAAAGTATGAATACATGTACTGTAAAAAGAACAGGGCTCACACAGAGTCATAAATTCTTGGAAAAGTCTTGATTTTCCAGACCTGGAAAGAGTCTTGAAATTGAAGATAATGTCTAGAAAAATAGTTCAAGTCTGGAGTTTTTTTTATAGCTACAAAAAGTGCTTAATAAGTTCATTTTTTCTCCTGTGGTCAATTCAATCTCGCCTGTAGCTAAGACATTCAATCACAGAATGAGAAGTTTCACAATTGCACCATGGTTATTGTACATTTGCAGTGCATCATGAAAGAAGCTTGGTTTCTGCATTTTTCAAGATCTCTATTGATCACCTATTTGACCATCTTCAGTCTGGAAAAATAAATTGATGTTTTGGAAAAAAGGTCTGGGAAAAGTCTTGAATTTTGGATCCAAAAATCTGCATGAACTCTGAAGAAGATAATCGGAAGCATGATAAATGTGTAGTTCTATCTGAAATTATAATATTATATATTATTTGATAGTGTGCCTGTTTTTGTCAGGGTTGCAAATGCCATGATGTTGCTCCAGATGAGACATGCCTGGATTGCCTCAGAAGCAAATGCAACATGGGAAGGTGTGTAGGCATTTGATCATTGTCATATTAAATTACATTCAAACACATAAAGGGGATTTTCTTACTGTTACATAACAAAATGAATTTTGTAAGCCATGGGGAAATGACTTGTACTAAAGCATGAACTGAAATTAAGTGTGTAGTTTTTTTTTAAATTGTTGCTAGTAAACTAAAATCCTCATTCAGGATCTTTTGCCAAACTTGGAAGGTTGCCAAAAATTGTTTTCATACTGTCAGGAAAGGAGTACTCATAGTTTGGTAATTGAAAAAGAAAAAGAAAAACATTTTTAGAGAAAAACATGAAATAATTCATTGCTTCAGAAAATCAATCATTCTTTGAAATTGTCTTGTAGATCAACTGGTATACGGGATGATCTGGTTTTTCTTTTGGACGAAGAGCTTTGCAACATTCAACTTTGTGCTCTCCATATGGAGATGCGCAACACTGAACAGTTGTTGGCATCCATTGGTCTTCTTGCATACAGGGTAGATTCCCTAGCAGAGGCCAATGCTGCCTTGAAAAACTATGGCCCAGAGTCATTTCATGGCGATCGCATCTCAGTAAAGAAGAAGTCAGATCAACAGTCTGCTATTACAAAGCAGAATATCCATGTCAGTTCAATGTCTGGTAAGACATTTCCTAAAATAATGTTTTCAAGAGATGTTTTCCATAGGTCTTAGGTAAAATCTTTTTTTTTTCTTTTTTAATTTACTCTCATGCTGTTGTGTTTCAGGTCCAACAGATCGGGAAATCCTTCAACACCTTGAAGAAATTGTAGAACTTGCCCTACCACTGGATAAATTCAAGAAGCCGTATGAAGATGTGAACATGGCAAAAAATTTGATCCTTAACAGAGTTACATTTTACCAGGCTCGTGTTGATGTTAGTAAGAAGCAACTATTATTTTCATACTTGCAACTTGATTTAACATGATGTAGTCAAGATCATTGGTAATGTGTATTCATTGAGTTCATACAGCGTCCAGACGATCCGTCGGAGTGCACTTTAGGAATCAAATACCTGTGTGTGAGTATTTCTTTAATTGCTACAGTCTCCTATGTAATTTGCCCATCTTATGACTAATTCCATCACACAGCAGCTTGAAATTAATGGAGCTCCATTAACTGAAAGCTACTGCTTGTAGGAATATAGGTGAGCTCAGGATTGAAGTGTGAACCATTGTTTAATTTTAGCATGTCTGATTCTGTTAGTTAACACACCTTAAAGTGTAGAGTAACACAGAATTTTCTATAGTTAGAGATCCATAGGTGCAGTGTAACCCAGTGTTTAATTTAGTTCAAGGTAACTAACATAGGCTGCACTTTAGGTGGAACACCCATGGGTGCAGTGTAACCCAGTGTTTAATTTAGTTAAAGGTAACTAACATAGGCTGCACGTTAGGTGGCACACCCATAGGTGCAGTGTAACCCAGTGTTTTCTTTAGTAAACAGTAACTAACATAGGCTGCACTTTAGGTGGCACACCCATGGGTGCAGTGTAACCTAGTGTTTTATTTAGTTAAAGGTAACTAACATAGGCTGCACTTTAGGTGGCACACCCATGGGTGCAGTGTAACCCAGTGTTTTCTTTAGTAAACGGTAACTAACATAGGCTGCACTTTAGGTGGCACACCCATGGGTGCAGTATAACCTAGTGTTTTATTTAGTTAAAGGTAATTAACATAGGCTGCACTTTAGGTGGCACACCCATGGGTGTAGTGTAGCCCAGTGTTGTATTTAGTAAAGGTAACTAACATAGGCTGCATTTTAGGTGGCACACCCATGGGTGCAGTGTAACCCAGTGTTTTATTTAGTTCAAGGTCACTACTGTAGGCTGCACTTTAGGTGGCACACCCATAGGTGCAGTGTAACCCAGTGCTTTCTTTAGTAAACGGTAACTAACATAGGCTGCACTTTAGGTGGCACACCCATGGGTGCAGTGTAACCTAGTGTTTTATTTAGTTAAAGGTAAATAACATAGGCTGCACTTTAGGTGGCACACCCATGGGTGCAGTGTAAACCGGTGTCTTATTTAGTTAAAGGTAACTAACATAGGCTGCACTTTAGGTGGCACAACCATGGGTGCAGTGTAAACCATTGTTTTCTTTAGTTAAAGGAAACTTTCTTTGGCTGCATTTAGGTGGTACACCCATAGGTGCAGTGTAACCCATTGTTTTCTTTAGTTAAAGGAAACTTACTTTGGCTGCATTTAGGTGGTACACCCATAGGTGCAGTGTAACCCAGTGTTTTCTTTAGTTCAAGGTAACTAACATAGGCTGCATTTTAGGTGGCACACCCATGGGTGCAGTGTAACCCAGTGTTTTATTTAGTTAAAGGTAACTACTGTAGGCTGCACTTTAGGTGGCACACCCATAGGTGCAGTGTAACCCAGTGTTTTCTTTAGTAAACGGTAACTAACATAGGCTGCACTTTAGGTGGCACATCCATGGGTGCAGTGTAACTTAGTGTTTTATTTAGTTAAAGGTAATTAACATAGGCTGCACTTTAGGTGGCACACCCATGGGTGCAGTATAACCTAATGTTTTATTTAGTTAAAGGTAATTAACATAGGCTGCACGTTAGGTGGCATACCCATGGGTGCAGTGTAGCCCAGTGTTGTATTTAGTAAAGGTAACTTCCTTTGGCTGCACTTTAGGTGGCACATCCATGGGTGCTGTGTAACCCAGTGTCTTATTTAGTTAAAGGTAATTAACATAGGCTGCACTTTAGGTGGCACATCCATGGGTGCAGTGTAACCTAGTGTTGCTAATGAGTGACTGTAACCCAGTTCAGTTTTTTCTAGAAAGTGCTGTCCTTTAAGTAGCATAAAGGCATGCAGACATTCTCTTTAAGACAATGAAAATGGTGTGAGGGAACATTTCTTCAAGTAGTATGGTAGCACAATGTTATGTAATTAATGCATTTTTCCAAATGTTTAGTACTTTTCAGAAGCTTTAAGCAAGGGCACTTTTGTAAGAGATTTTGGTACACATACTGAGATAATTGATTTGGAAGGCTCAGGTTTGTAGAACAACAGTAGTAATAACACTTTGTTTTTTCTTTGGTTACAAGTTATGATTTTTTCTCACTGGCTAAAGAAGGTTTACCATACTATAATATGACTTTATTGAGTGTTTTATGCTGAAATATAAAAATTTTGGAAAATGAGTTTGGAAAATATTAAAATAATTAAACTTATTGCTAATGATGAGCTTAGGAGCTGGTACCTAAAAGGTTAGTGTGAACCCATTGACCAGCTTTGCTCCAGTTTAACTTTGCCTAAATGATATTTAGCCACATCAAAAGGAGCTTTTTGTTTTTAATTCCTCAAAAATATTTACCCAAGGAAAACAAAATGTTTACTTGCAACAGTTATTTGAATGATGCGATAACATATAGGGCCTCTCATTACAGTCTTTCTCAGGTCTTATTTCAGGTTTTGGCAGATATTAAAGCTGACATGGAGCCTCGCCTTGATCAGTGGCAAGGCAAGTTGGATGAGCTACATGTCTTTTTCAAGAAGTTGTGCAAGTCACGCAAAAAGTCACTATTCACTATTCACTATTGTTTTTCTTGCGTTAGATCTGCTTTTTTCGATTCGATTGCACCTTGACTATTTTTGTACCGCTACTCCTCTTGCGTTATATTTATTTAAATGAGCAATTTTTAAAGGACAGAAAATGTCCTTCTTTCAATAACGTGGCGGAATAAAACAATTACACTAAGATGTTACTATGATACTTTTTGGTACGAAATATTTTATTTTTGACCAGCACTGTTATGCCTAATTTTGTCCATAAACAGACAAAATTGCTCCGATTTTGAGACGACATTACAGCTTTTTGGCAGCGATCGCCAAGAAACTGAATGTGCCACGGAATTACACCCAATTAAGAAAGATATTTTCTCCCTTCCAGCAGTCATTAGAAAGCCGTTTTGTCCCCTCAAAATCGGATGTAGTTCACACGTTAAGGGTAATAAACTGATAAAAAATGATTCACAATTATCCTGTTGTCAATAGGTTCTTATTCACGTAAGCTGGGTCATAAACTATTTCTTGCGGCAGAATCATGGGGAAGAAGTTGTCCTTCATTTTAAAATCGCTGAAATTGTAGTAACTAAACCTTGAATGAAACTATTGTAGGAAGATTCATTACTTGACGAGGGGATTCCGCATTTAATTGCACGCGAAAAGCGATACGCGAAAAGCGATACGCGAAGCGATGAGTGCGATATCGGTTTTTAAGTGCAATTTAACGCGGAATTCACGAGCCAAGTAATGGATTTTTTCCTTGAATCACATATTTGAATAAAAACAAGATAAAAAGAAAACAGCATTACTTATATTTGTTATGTATACGTGGATGCGAAACAATATCACTTAGCCCCGCTAAACAACTCGCCTCGTCGACCAATCAGAAGGCGAGATTTTATGCAATGATGCGATTCTATCTGATATTAGGTCTGCTGACTTGGAAAATACTACACCTAAAATTTAACATCACCAATCTTACGAGAGAAAGCATAAAGGCTAGGTCTCTCTGACGGCTTATCTCTGGTTGACATTTTAACCAATTCTCGGACCCTTTCATAAAAACCCAACAAAGACGATATCGCCTTAAGCATTCTTCCCAATGAAAAAATGTCACTGGCAACGCCATAGAGTCGTTCACTAACAACATCAGGGGCTAAATAGCTTTTCCCTTTGCATTTCATAACGGTGCCGTTTCTGCGGTACAACGTAACAGATGAAACCTTAAGGCTCTTTCCAAAGTCAATAAGAACTGGGCTGAATTCCCCAGAGGCTGAGGGCCGTTCTAGTACGGGCGACACTAAAAGTCGGAACGGCGGAATGGCGGAAAATGACCCCAAATCCTAAAGCACGGAACGGCGGAAAGTGACCCCAAATCCTAAAGCACGGAACGGCGGAAAATGACCCCAAATCCTAAAGCACGGAACGGCGGAAAATGACCCCAAATCCTAAAGCACGGACCGGCGGAAAATGACCCCAAATCCTAAAGCACGGAACGGCGGAAAATGACCCCAAATCCTAAATCACGGAACGGCGGAAAATGAACCCAAATCCTAAGCACGCAACGGCGGAAAATGACCCCAAATCCTAAAGCACGGAACGGCGGAAAATGACCCCAAATCCTAAAACACGGAACGGATGCCAGGGCATGTTGCACAAATTTCGTACAAAGACACCAAGCGCTTAGCTCATTTATCCTCACGACGATAACGCGCGTGACTAAAATTAAGTGTTACTAATTTTTTTTCTTTTACTGAGTGGTATAAATAATAATGAACCATTATGCATGAAAGACAGCTGCGTTTTCGCGTTGTAAACCTGTTTAGCTACCTTTTGTTGTGCAAAATTTGCCATGAGTTTGTCGCGGCATAAAAAGTCGCACAGCATGTGGAAACCAACTCGACATACCACACTACAATAAACAATTATAACTTTGATACGTTTCCTGGTCACGTCTGCATTGATTTATTGAAACGTTTTCAGGCTTCTCAAAATATGACAACGTTCAGCCCCAGCTCCAAACTTAGACTAGCGTAAGAAAGTTAGCTGAAGGAAGCCGTCAAGAAGAATTTGAAGAAGGGAGCGAAGTCGAAAAACAAATATTCAAGCATCATTGCACACGGTTCCATGCACACAGCTTGAAACCTAACGATATGTTCACTTTTATTCCCATGGAGTATTTTTGCCTCTTTGAGGAAAAGACGCTTTTCCTTCTCGTCCTCACCTTACAGTTTTTTGATAACGACCTTCTCAGAATTGTTTCTCGCCACAAAAACCAAACCATAGGATCCTCGACCGATAGCCTCTTCTTTGTCTCGCAACTGCTTCCACTCGAATAATGGTAAACCATGACAATCCAAAGATCCGTCTGAATTACACTTCCCTTTCAGAAAGGGCAATTTAAACGCCATAGAGTTGACGATTTGCAATTTGTTGAGGAACAGAAGAAATCCGCTGAACGAATTGGTGAAATAGCCTCTTTTTTCTTTAGAAAGTTTATTTCTTCAGCTGATATGTAAGCCGTAAATTTCACAGTAGGATGGTGGTGTTTTGGACACCTGGTCGCGAAGAAATTCTTCAAATTCTTCTTGACGGCTTCCTTCTTCTAACTTTCTTTTGTCTTTTCACGCCATGAGAAATTCCCACGCGCGTGACACCCTGCAAACCTCTCTTCAACTAGTGTTACTCAAGTCCCAAAACTTATTCGTGGATGAAAAAACGCTCGTATTGAAGGGCTCGTAACGAGGGCTTGCTCTCACGCTAGTCTAAGTTTGGAGCTGGGGCTGAACGTTGTCATATTTTGAGAAGCCTGAAAACGTTCCTGTGATGTTCTCACATTTACAAGCATATGAGACGTTATTGTTTCAATAAATCAATACAGACGTGACCAGGAAACGTATCAAAGTTACAATTGTTTATTGTAATGTGGTATGTCGAGTTTGGTTTCATGGCAAATTTTGCTTAACAAAAGGTAACTAAACAGGTTTACAACGCGAAAACGCAGCTATCTTTCATGCATAATGGTTCATTATTATTTATTCCACTCAGTAAAAGAAAAAAATTAATAACACTTAATTTTAGTCACGCGCGTTATCGTCGTGGGGATAAATGAGCCAAGCGCTTGGTGTCTTTGTACAAAATTTGTGCAACATGCCCTGACATCCGTTCCGTGTTTTAGGATTTGGGGTCATTTTCCGCCGTTCGATGTTTTAGGATCTGAGGTCATTTTTCGCCGTTCCGTGTTTTAGGATTTGGGGTCATTTTCCGCCGTTCCATGTTTTAGGATTTGGGGTCATTTTCCGCCGTTCCATGTTTTAGGATTTGGGTTCATTTTCCGCCGTTCCGTGTTTTAGGATTTGGGGTCATTTTCCGCCGTTCCGTGTTTTAGGATTTGGGGTCATTTTCCGCCATTCCGCCATTCCGCCATTCCGCCATTCCACCGTTCCAGCTTTTAGGGTCGCCCTTCTAGTACAACATTGTTTCCTTTGATGTCGTTATGAAGGTATCCTTTAGAGTGCACGTGGTCTAAAACACTGCATATCTTTTTAAATATAGAAATACAGTTTGCTTTAGTAACTGCGTTGTTATCGGCCGCTTGATTGAGAGTTACACTTTCATGCTGAACACCATGAAATTGAGTCACAAGGCATAATGGTGAGGCCTTTGTAACAACACCAAAAATCATGGGTAGATGTGGATGGTCCCCCAAAGCAGAAACGACCTTTGCTTCGTGGAGCAAATCTCTCCTTGCTCGTTCTTCATCCTCTGACGTTTCGTTGTGAGTCATTTGCTTGACAATAACGTCGAAGCCTCGATAGCGCCCGAGAAAACACTGTCCAAAGCTTCCACTCCCAACTGGATTTTTAGACAAGTATTCAATGTTTTCTGGCCTGAGTTCTTTGGGTTCAAATCTGGATCCATTGCTCGCTGTGCTTTTTTTTCCAATTAAAAAAGGTTTGATGACGTTTCCCACGAGGTTTCTGCGAGACAACTGCGTCGGCACCAACAGCCATTTGAATCATCTTAGCAGCTCTTGAACAACCACCCAAGGCCTCTTTCATCTCTTCACTGCCTGGTTTAAGCGCGAGGATATGGGGTTTCTTGACATTTTGTGGCTCAAAATGTTGGTCCGAAGGAGGCAGTTTCGTTTCCTTAGCCTCAGAAGTACAAGGCACCAACTCATTCGCTTCGCGGTTGAGTGATTGTAGTTCAACATTTTTATTCGTTGAATTCGGCATATGCTTCCCTTGTTTCCTCTTTCTCCATTCTTTTCTCTGTCTGTTTCTTTCTTCTGGAGTGTTTTTTCGTGATTTAATAGCTCGCTCTTTTCGTTCTTCTTTATCTTCAAATTCCTTCACAAATTCCGCCATCATTATGTAGCTAATTGATCTATTTCCGAAACACAAATGAGCTCGTGATCGGTGTAAAAGTATAAAACAAAGGCTTGTTGATGTGCAGGAAATTCAATGCTCGTTTTAATGAACTTGATGATATGTGAAAGCCCGAGTTGCTCTTCAATCGTTTCTGGTTTGCTTTCATTACGCGACATTCTTCTGTCAGAAGAGTGTCGGGAAAAACACCTCGCAAGGATCGTACGTGACAACACCCTCCACGCCTCGACTAACGCTAAAAAAGCTCCATACAATTCCTTATAATTTTATTATAAGGAATTGTATGGAGCTCTCCGGGATACTTACAGTGCAAGCCCTGTGTGTCTTCTCATGAAGAGAAGAAGTTTGTTCCATAAACCATACGATTTAAATCTCCGGCATAAAGATAACCGTGACTGCGTTTCGAGACGACAGCATCGAAACCTCTACCAAATTTTCTTTAAATGTGTAAAAAGTGCGACAACGCCGGCACCATTTTGAGTCTCACTCAGAAGCGCGGCTGTATATGATATGGTTTCTGTGGCCTACTTCCACGTTAACGGCAGGCTAAATAACTGTTTGTTCCTTCGAACCTTTTGTTGGTGAGCAGGATTGCTCACTCTCGTATAGGCAGCAACTGGCGATGATGTTTAATTAGTCTCTCCTTCCGGGTCTCCACGTGGCATAGGTCGATTGAAATTGATAAGATTTCTGGAAAAAAATCATTCTTTATCGGATAGATAAACGTGTTCAAGTTTGTTCGGCTTAATTTGGAGTGTTAAGGGCATTGGAGAAATCGGTTGAGCCTTAAGATCGTGCCTACCTTGTGGTAAGCCAGTCCCCTCAGGGCGATTTCACATCTGTAGTCTTGCTGGTGCATACCAAGACCACCGATCAAACCATTGAGACATATAGCTAATGCGCAGGCGTAGAGCTGATAAGTATTTTCTGCCTCAGTTGACATAAGCTTAGAAACAAGATACCCGAGAAACAGTGGAAAGAGAAGGCGAGAAGTTGTACACAATATATTCCCCATCAAAATGATGATGACATCTTTGACAGAAAGCATATCAAACACGCTTTTCCAAAGTCTGGGTCTTTTCCCATTCATCTTGCAATCATATTTCTCGCTTTCCCAGATCTTCTGAAGCTTGTCGGTGACAAAACGGCCAGAGTTCTCGTCTGAGAAGGGTAAAAAGTCATTTTGATCTAAAGGTCTTTGGCTGCCCTCCTTAAGGACTCCGTTCATCTAACGAAAAAAAAGGGAAAGATCCAAAACTGAATTTTTTATCTTCATCACCAGAGATTTTCCTGTAACCGCCTTTTGATGCCATCACTTAAGACCTACAAAATAGTTAGCCGTTATTAGCATGTTCAACACAATTGTCAAACGTCTCCGCATGTTGTTCCAGTATTCCAGAACCAAGTTGCCCTCTAGGGATTGTAAACTCACATAAAATCCAATAAGTTATGGTGTTTTGTAGAACCTCATGACTTTTATATAGCCTAAAATTATGTAGCCTAAAACAGAATGGTCAAAAAATCACAGACACCGAATAAGTTTCATTGGTCGTTTAACGTCCACCAAAACGTAAAATAAAATTTCATTAGCGAGAAAACGTCATTTTTTTCTTAGGCTGAAAAAAACCGCATAATACTGTAAAAATTGGATACCTATCGAAGTGAATTGCGTGATAGGTCATGAATGAACTCGTCAGTGTCTCACATAACGTAACAGTCGAAATTCTCGAGCCAACAGAGCGCCGTTTGCATGGTTTGTACGGTCTGCACGGTCTGCACGGTCTGCACGGTCTGCACATTCTGCACGGTCTTCACGGTCTGCAGTCTGCGTTTTAATATGGCATCTCCTGTGATCTAGCCCACTCAATCAAAGCTTTTAGCGAAACTATACATATACAAAATGTCAACACAGCCCGTAATCGACGTTGTAGTTAAAATCTATATGGATGGAATCGTACTGACAATTTCGTGTAAAAAGTATTACGTTTGCAAGTGGCCGTGCGATAACAATTTGAGGAAGCTGCAACTCTATCTAGCTTACCTTGCAACTTTGTCTCATTAAACAGGAATTCACCAAGACACCAGTAATACTGACGTTCCTTGCTATTTGCAAGCCATATCTATTGCACGAGCGAATAGGTTTTGAGAGAATTCTAAATATAGAAATGAAAAATCGACTAAAGGATGTTCCTGTATAATAAGACAGATATCGTATTTTGAAACGAGAGGATCACAAAATTTCCCAAGAGTCCTGTCTTCATCACGTTGAATTAAAGGGGACTTATTTTGAAAGTTTTGAAAGCGCACTTTCAAAATAAATTTCAAAACTCTGGGGGCAGAGACGAGTTGAAAACGGAACTTTTCGAAAACGCTATGACTAAATGCCCGGTAGCCAGACACTAAAATATGGATGACCTAGAACCACCTTAAACCACCTACAATCAATAATTTCTGCAAATACTTGAGCCTTCGATCGATTTGAAACATTAACTCAATAACTGGTAAGCGCCCTCCATCAAAGGAACGGCGCTCCTTTCCACAGGCTATTCGCGTGGGTCAAGACTAACCGAAACTGGAAACCGCGCATGAAAAACCTCTGGCACTCACGGTAGACAGGGTAAGCCAAGAACTAAAATCGGAACAAATTAATGCCAGCATGTCGTAGGTTCCGAGAGCTGATTGACTCGATCTTTTTCACGTTTGGGACTCGTAAGGATGCTGCTTGTAAGTGCGGTAATTTTAGGGAGGCTATAAGCTACATGCATCTCGCGAGATTTGCAAGTTCTGTTTATCACATGTCACTGTGACAAAAGTGACATGAGCCTCAAGACGTATCACTGCTTTCCATGAGAGCGATTGTAACTCAACCAACGCTTTTCCTAAGGTTTCCTCGTCATACCATAGACATCATTGTACTCCCTAACGCTGGGATGCACCTTGAGTGTGAAGTGAATTCAATGTACAGAAACCAAGCACTTGGAAGACCCGTAACTTAAAGCGCTAATTCATTCCTTTGATTAATGCCTGCGACGATAATTTTCATTATGGCGAGGGCTCTTCAACAAAATGTTAATGATGATAAACTTACCAAGAGCAAGCCAACTTTGCAGGCTCCGCATTTAAGACGCAGTTTCGGGTCGAAAAATCGATTTCTTTCAAACTTTGCCCAGGAATCTACGTAAGTCTAAAAGTAATCGAAACCACCTTAGTTTTTGTAAGTATGGCAAAATAATTTTTTTCTTAGCCAAAATCGCTTCAGCGCTCAAACGCTAGTTTTTTTTATCAACACCGAATATCAAAACTGGCACGAATTGCCGAGCTCGTCTTTTCACAAAATTCGAGTTTAAGGGTTTTTTCTTGCTTCGCATATTTAGATAAACCCTTTGGTCTGATGAATGAGAACAAAGCACGTAACGGTTTTTTTTCAATGCAATTTTGTTTGACACCTACTTTGACGCTACCGTCACGACCGGAAATATACAACTTTTTATCTCGGCTCAGCGCAAAACTCCAACTTCTTTCCCACGATATTTTTATCCAGACTGATAAATGCTCTTTAATATGCTTAAACAGATATATTATACCTTATTTATCCATACTAAAACTATGGTCTTGCCAGCTGGGGTGCTGCTTACAAAACTAGATTGAATAAAATCTGCGCTATGCAGAATAGATGTATACGAAGCATGTTCTTTGCTCATGGCAGAAAACATGTCAACCCCTATTGTAATCTTCTTGGAATCTTGAAACTTGAAAATATTTACAGACTAAAAGTATTGCTCTTTACATATAAACTTAAGAATGACAAAAGTAACACCCCAGCTGTACTACTCAATATTCTCACACCTGCATCAGAGATTCACAATACCAGGTATGTTACGAATCAAAACTTCTTTAAGCCATCAGTACGCACTAATTATGGTATGTCTAAATTTAAATTCTCTGCAATAAAAATCTGGGAATCTGTACCACCTGAATTTAAACGTTTTCCATACATGCTATTCAAAAAGCGGTATAAAAGATTCTTACTGAGAACTCAAAACTGACCATAGTTTAACCGTTAGCTATATGAGATACTGCTTCACATTATGCAGTTTTCCTTTTATTCTAACTTGCATTTATGTATGTCTTTCTTCTCTTACGATATCAATGTCGTCTTTAGTGTAACTATTAATTTAAATTATACTTGACATGCGGCTAACCCCAACTCATATCTACACATGACAGTAACCAACTCGAAAGCTCATTGGCTACTGTGGTCACTGTTCACGATGAAATATTCTTTCTTCTAGTTAATTTCTGTTTGTATTTTTTCTATATCCTTGTAAATCATGTTATGGTAAGTTATTTTTTTCTGGAAACAGTGTGAAATAATAAAGTGTGAAGTGTGAAGTGTCTGACTAAAATAGGGTAGAAGAGCATGGAAATATGAAAACATGTTGTGGTTTCGGCGAACTTTTAGAAGAGCCGGCCATCAAATTGCGTGCTTTATCGAAAATTCGACCTTACAATGCACATGGAGCGGTTTAAAAATAAACGAAACTTATACGGCCAACTTATGTTTAACGAGTGATTTGAGTCCAAAAAATCTTTTTTTAAAACTCGTAATGGGATGAAACATCATTAAGTAACGAAAAATCTTTATCTCCTTCTAGAAAAGTACAGCCGCCGAAAGTTGACTCTTAGCTCTAGGCGACCTTTTGTTTCGTTTATCACTCAATTAATGAGGAAGAGGAAAAAACTTCAGAGGCAGGATATCTATGACGAGATTCCGGTTTATTCAGAATAACACTAAGTCGAAGTTTTCGTATTCGTGGTACTTACAGTGAAGTCCTTTCCAGTTGATGTAAGTGACATGTAATCAAATAATATTTTACCACGCGAACTAATTTATCTTAGGGTCCTTTCTTCTGAATTTATGAAACATCACGAAGTCGCCAGAAATAAAATATTGGATGAAAACCCAAAAAAACATAGTGGACCTTTTTCCTATCACGATAAGACTTCTGAGTACTGCCGTCAGGTCGCAAAGTAGTGTTGATAACTCGGTAACTTAACTCATGCGTCACACAACGTCAGGTTTGTTAGTAGTAACCATTGCGCGTATTGAACTATGTTATTTAAGTTCCTTCTTGATCCTCCGTCCACGTCGATAAACCACAAGTTTCCAAATAGTCGTCTACGATTTACGATTTGACCAGAACATATAGTAAATCAACCAGGTAAAACAGTTCGAAAGACTTCAAAGTATACCAGACTTGGTTTTTCTTTTTCCCGCAATTTGTTCTCGCACCCATTGAGAAAAAATCTCCGGCAACATTTTAGACAAATTTCAAGACCCTGAAATATGACAGGCTTTAGATGATGTGCTACTAAAAGACTTTTTCGAGACACTTGAGGTCAAGCTGGATCACGACCTGCTGGAACATGGCGCTGTTGTCAGTGTTGTAGAGCGCAGTTAATTTGCTTGGCTCGTGTGCTGCCACAGCGGAGTAAAATCGTCGTCTTGGACGAGCCAACTGCGCATGTCGACCCAGACACAAAGCAGACAATTTGGAATGTAGTGCGGGACAAACTGAAGGAGTCCACTTTCATCTCTATAGCCCACCGTTGAACTCGATAAAAGACTGCCAGAATATTTTGGTCTTGAAAGATGGAAAAGTTAAAGGATTTGACAAATTTGTTTCAATAATGAACACTAAGTGAGATGCAGCCTAAAGTTGAAATACCTCGATTGTCACGTAGGTCTGATCCTGCACAGCTTTAGATGCTATAAAGTTTGTAACCTTCTCCAGAGCTCGATTTCTGCACATCGTGGAAAAAAATGACATTTGATGTTTTTGCTCGGTTTTGGCTCCAATGCACTCCTATGCATCTTTAAAATCTCTCTCGCTGTCATGTTTCAGGGTGTCACGCAACGTCCATTTTGCCGTGAGTCTGTTCAGTAATAGATCACAGATGAAGTCATAATGTTATAAGAACAGAAAAACCTGCGCACTAGGCGCAAGCGTGTGTATCACTGATGTTCCAACTGCTCTATGACATCCTCTGTGATCTTTTAAGGAACAGAGCCACCGTACCGTAGTTTACATTTGCTTTATGTAATCGATATTAAGTTGGTTTTTTCATCTTTTAAAAAAGGCAATATGTTTGGTGTGAAAGATCCTGTCCTTCGTGAACTCCATAAGTGTGTGGCTTACAAGTTTTTATGTGCGGGCTGTAATACCTGCTATGTCGGCGAAACCTCTCGACATTTATCCACACGCGTACGTAAGCACTTGATCAGTGATACGGCTTGTCACATTTTCAGCCATCTACACAATTCTCCACAATTTCGCACTCTTAATATCCTAAATCAGGCTTCCACAACTTTTCAGCTTAAAATCAAAGAAGCTATCCATATTCAATGGGAGAAACCTCCTCTTAATCACCAACTTTATCATGTTAATTTAAAACTTTCCTTGTAAATGCATACATTGATCTGTTACTATTGTTTGTTTTGTCCAATCAGCATTTTGTTACGCACTTTAAATTCAACTTTTTTTAATTTCAAAAGTGTCGTTCATTATCTTAAATTTGTTCCATATCTGCTTCTATCCAGACCTTTTGGCAAAGTTAGACGGGTCGCAAGAGCAAACAGCCCCATGTCACGCATCGGCGTTGTCGTCAACAAAATGATGTAAATTAATGGTGAAAGGATCATTTTAAATTATTTCGTGGTTTTGCTTAAGGTTTTTAGATGAAAAAAAAACTTTTGAAAGATATTGTTGTTGATGAGCATGAGCCATGCCAAAGCATGGCGCATGCGAAAGATCATTTGTTGAAAGGTGGGAAGTGGGTAGGTAAATCTTGCACAATTTTGAGTGCCTACAGATGTAATATATAAGTTTCCAGGGGGAAAGCATGTGATCTCCACACTCTGTAAGAACGTTGGAATTACAATCGCAAACAATATGATGGCGTGCTCCTTTGAGGACAACTGAATAAGTGACACAAAGCTCGTTTTTCGAAGGGGGGTGGGGTGTGGTGGGGTAAGGGGGAAGGTCTGCTGGAGCCTTTGAACTCCCCTTTGAGGTATTATGTTTGGGAGAGACTGTAACAGTTATTTATCTTACATGGACTCAAACTAATCTGTGCCGTTATCTCATAGCCCTGTATCTCCTCTCATTCTTTCCGCTTGTCCGAGAACATCTAAATTTATACCCAACGTGAATTAGTGTTGACATGCTCATCCAGGGAGATTTAAATTTACGCCTAAAGTGAATGTTGATATGACAACCTGTTACTCTCTGATATCGGACTCTAAATTTGGACATAGCTAAGCTGCTGGACAGTTTCCTATTTCTGAATAAACTGCTCTCTTGTTTCTTGTGTGCATTGTGTTAGGTGGTAAATGGCGCACGTAAGTCGTTCTCAGGGCATCTCCTTTGGTTTTTTACTTATGATCAGCTGGGGGACAGACGGATAAGTGACACCCACAAGAGAAAAATTTTGCTTTATTTATTACAGAGGACGTCATAGAGCAGTAGGAACATCAGTAACTGACTTCATCTGTGATCTATTACTGAACAGACTCACGGCAAAATGGAGCTTGCGTAACATCCCGAAAAATGACAGCGACAGAGATTTTAAAGATGCATAGCAGTATATAGAAGCCAAAACCGTGCAAGACATCAAATGTCATTCTTTCCACGATGTGCAGAATTAGAGCTCTGGGAAGATTATAAACTGTATAAGATCTAAACCTCTGCAGGATCAGACTTGTGAGAAAATCGAGGTATTTCAACCTTAGACCGCATCTCACTTAATGTTCATAACTGAATCAAATTTGTCAAATCCCATAACTTTTCCATCTTTTAAGACCAAAATCCTCTGGCACTCTTTTATCGTGTTCAAACGGTGAGCTATAGTGATGACAGTGGAGTCCTTCAGTTTGTCCCGCACTACATTCCAAATTGTCTGCTCTGTGTCTGGGTCAACATGTGCAGTTGGCTCGTCCAAGACGACGATTTTACTTCGCTGTAGCAGCACACGAGCCAAGCAAATTAACTGCTGCTCTCCAACACTGACATTAGCGCCATGTTCCAGCAGTTCGTGATCCAGTTTGGCCTCAAGTCTCTCGACAAAATCTTTCAGTTGCACGTCCTCTAAAGCTTGCCATAATTCAGCGTCTTGAAACTTGTCAAAAATGTCTAGATTTTTCCTCAATGATCCGCTAAAAAGAACAGGACTTTGGCCAAGAACCGAGATACCTCGTCGAGCTTGTTGGAGACCTATGTCTTTAATTGGAACATTGTCAATGATTATCTCTCCATCAGCATCAGGCATGCGCATAAGAGCTGCTACAAAAGATGACTTCCCAGCTCCCGTACGGCCGACTATTCCAATCTTTGCTCCTCCTTTGATGCTAAGGTTGATGTTCTTTAGCACTTGAGGTCCTCCTGGATAGTACTTCAGTGATACATCTCTCAACACAATACTTCCTCTCCGAGGCCAGTCCTGTGGAGGTGTTCGTTCTTCCTCGTATCCAGGCTCACGGTCAAGTTTGGTGTAGGTCATGACTCGCTCAACTGACGTCATGTAGTTTTCCACTTCAGAGGCTTTTCTAACAGCGTATTGAGTAGAGTTCAGAGTTTGGATGGCGTAAACAAGAGCGAGACCAGCGTAAGCTGAAAAGAACAATCAGACCTTGAATTTATAAATTCCGGACTAGTTTTCTCTTGTTGGCTCAAAATATAGAACGAAAACTTAGCAAGGCTAGGTTACTTAGCCTGGTCCAGGCAGTCACTTAATGGGAGGGAATTAATAAAGCATCTCTTTTACATCTTCCTCAGTGTCGTTGTTTTGACTCCAAGCTAAGTAGGTGCAGAAGAGTTATCAACTCAAGTTTCCCGTTTTGGATCATAAAACACACTTGAACGTTTGCTCAGCACCTAAGCCACCCGAGTGACTCTCACGTTTCTGTCGTGTTTATACAGCACCCGTTGATAATAAGAGTGCATGTATTTTCACTCCTATTTTTTTATGTAGTAGTTCATGTTGTGTTAATACACGGCTATAGATTCTTAATCTTCATAGAAAGACTCAAAATCGTTACTAAGAATCTTGAGCTTACCGGCATCTTGAGATACCAAGATTGCAGCCAGAGCAACTGCACCGACTAACAAAGAAGCGAGACAATCCAAACGTGCACCGAGCCACCTACCGCTGGCCATCACCATGACGTACGCCTGATTATGAACATCTTGATATCTGAGGGGGCGAGTTTTAATCATAAGTTTTAATAATTGAGTGATTTTTTTGGTTGACTGTTGACAATAAACCAGATTTTATGAGCTTTGTATTACTTTGCTAAGTCATTGGTCCAGCAACCTCGCTCAAAACCAGCCACCTATTAGTTGAACGCGTTTGTCAACGTTCAATGCCGTTTCCTTGTTTTTATGTTAAGTCCTATTTCACTACTTCTGATCTTTTCTTTCGTTATAACTGGCTTGTTATTATCAAATTGTATCTTTTTTACGATAATCATTCCAAAAAACACTTCAAGGAGATTACATCGGGTCCACACACTGAAGTGAGACCAGTGTCTTCTTTGGCCTGACAATGTAACGGAGACAAATTCCGCCCGACACCTTACCCTCTTAAAAAGACGTTACTCTCCAAGAAACATCCACAAGCTTCTAGCTAAGTACCCAAAAGATCACTTCCGTAACCACATCTGAATCTTAGGTATACTCCATTCGTCTAGATGAGGAGAGAGTCGCTAGAGCCGAATTTTCTAACGATATGGATACTTTCCCATTAAAAATGGTAGATTCTCCAAAAGGTATAACACTTATCAGAAGGAGAAGACGAGTTACGCTTGTCTGCATTTCCTTTTAAACTCAATAGGACTTAGTGGAATCCATTTCGGTCCGTAGTCATACGAGTGATTAACAAAATCGGATGCAAAGCGGGAGTCTGAGTATGATTGAAGACAGAATTGGACGACATGAAGTTCTCTAACCAAATTGATCAACAATTGGAAAAAATTAGAAAAAAAAACTAGACTTTAGTCATGCGTAAAAAATGCATAATACATAAAAAACTCCGCGAAATGTGCGACGACGGCGCGTGCATACACTTACACGCAGGTATGACTTGTCAACTGTCCTATTACACTATCTAATTACACGCATGACACTTACACTCTCTTATCAGAGCTCAAATCGGGCTGGTGATAACCAATCACGTTCGATAAATTTCTTACAGTTTTGATTAATCGTGAAATTTCGGGGCCACGCGATCTTGTTGATGGACCGATCGTATAATGGGTCTGTTTAAATCCTGTCAGAAGAACGAAAACCACACAGAGCAATTACTGTTGTCTTACCACTAGTAATGCCTTTATTTCTCTTTCGGATAGCTTCGTTTCGTGACCGTGCCTCGTATACGAAAATGCTGACCAGTGTCTCAGCACATACCACATAGGATTCCAAAAGACGCGTGATGCAATTGCGTGTATTGCCGGTAAATAAAAAATAAACAGCTGACAGAAAATGATCAATTATGACTCATTTGGGGCCTGTGCATTCATATGCTCTGGCACAACACACTACATCAATGTCTCTAACATACCTGTAAAATGTATCCACAAAATCTGTCTGTTTTCCTCTGGTACGAATCGTGTTTAGTCCGTTCAAGGTCTCCGAAAAATGAGCCAACACTGGGCTTCGGGATATCGACTCTAACCTCTTAAGTTCTCTGGCAGTCTTCAAGTAATAATTGGATAATAAAACAACCAGCACGGAGATTGGAACAACAAGAAACATCAGCCAGACATTTGTAACAACTGTTACCAGAATTTGGGAAAATATCACCAAGAGCCTCTGCATTTCCGCCAGGAATGTTTTTGGTAACAACTCATCAACGCAGCCAATATCATTGGAGAAGCGATTTAGGATTCTTCCCACTGGATTTGAATCAAAGAACAGGACAGGTGCTTGTAAAATGGCCACAACCATTTTATCGTGAAGACGTTCGGCGCACTTTAGAGAAACTAGGAGGAATCCATAAGCCCGAATGATGGTAAATATAATACACACGCCAACCAGACAGGCGAAGACAGATATATAAGTCTTGTTATTCTGATCCTCAGGGTTTAGCCTTGCAAGAAACGAGAGCCACAAGTCTGGAGCAGCTATGATGGCTGAAAGAAATAAGATCAACATGCGGTGGTTGAAAAGTATTTCTATATGATCATTCAGTTGAACAGTGTAAGATTTATTGGGCCCAGGCACAACTCTCCAGGGTTAGCTATTTACGTTTGTATCTTGGGAATGTTTATGTAAGCACCACAACGTCACAGAATAGACGAAGCAGTCAACCATGTTACATATAAATATTGTTAGAAAACTGCATTCGGTCTCAGAAAGTTAGTTAGAAACGAGTTTTCTTATATTTTCGGGCGAGTGGAGGCGAGTGCAAGACAAACGCGAGGAGCAAGACACCAGTTCTTCCTTCCGCGCGTCGATCGCCATTCACGTTCCACTCACGCTTGCCTTGAAACATGGTTGAAATTTGTGCAGTGTCTCTTACCTTTACTATCTAGTCTAAAAACAACGCCTATTGTTGGTTAAAAGCATAGCCATTGTAAAATGATTTGCACGAAATAGAATGAAAGAAATATCGAAAAAAGGTTGCTGTATTCCCTGTTAGGGCCTGACCCAAGGTTTGTGACTCACTCAAACAATAAGTTTACCTTGTGTAATGAGACTTAAACCAACCATTCCAGCTATCATCAAAGGATGTGCTCCACTTCTGAAATAGTCCCAATAAAGCCTGGATGTCACAACTCCGATTGTACGATCCTCCTTTACTATCTCCAAACTCCTCGCTTTATTGGACAGAGGATGTATTTTTTGGCACTTTTCAACACCATCGTGTTTCTCCTTATCTTCCCAACGGAACGGCTGAGATGAGTCTGTTTTGTCCTTCAGAGCTGCTTTATAGAGCGGGTCAACAGTTGAGCTGATTACACCCTTGTCGTGCAGCTCAGTAAAGCGTCCCTTGTCGAGGACATGCCCTTTGTACAACACAATCACTTCATCAGCATTTTCCATGTGCTGTTGCTGATGAGAGGCTAACAGAACGATTTTATTGCCTAAAAGATCTTTGACGCACTTGGTAAAGATGTGTTGGCCAACTTCAACATCGACAGCACTCAGTGGATCATCTAATAGATAAATGTCTCCGTCAGCATAAACTGCACGAGCTAAACTTACTCTCGCCTGTTGTCCTCCACTCAGAACCTCGCCGCGTTCTCCAACAACTGTTTGGTCACCATCAGGTAAGCGCTGAAAGTCTTCTTTCAGAGCGCAGACGTCGATTATTCTTTCGTACTTGGACTCCTCGAGGGGCTGGCCAAATAATATATTTTCTTTTATCGTTCCCGAGAACACCCAAGCAGTCTGAGGCAAGTAAATGAAAGAGCCTTGATGATCAATCGTCCCACTAGCGTTCGAAATTTCACCAGCGATCACAGCGAGAAGAGTAGACTTCCCACTTCCAACCGGGCCGGTAATGACTGTTAAACTCTTTGAAGGTGCAAAGAAGTTGATATCCTGAAGAATAAACTCATCTTTACAATGCGTTTTCGCGCAGCTCAAATTTGACACACATAATATTGTAGGGTTGAATACTGTTGCTTCACAAGAGAGGAAAACTTTCTCTTTTTCCTCTTCTTTTTCCAAGTAACTGCGACTTTGGTTACTTGAGGTACTTTTCGCTTTTTTGGGCGGCTCACTGCTTTCACCACTCTCTGAGGCTTCCAACAGATTTTCCGACAGGAGGAGTTCTTCGATTCTTCCGAGCGAAACGAAGGCGTCATACGTTACCATTAAACCAGATGTCATATTCACCATGCCACTCGATCTTAAAACACCCATAAATGACAGCAGCATAAAAGCATTGGCGGGTGTGAGTGTCTGGGCTGTGAGCACCATAGTAGTTACTGACACCAGAGTGGCCATTAGCGTTGCACCGTATGACAAGGCATCGATACTTGACTGAATGGCTGCCCTCTTCGAAATGACGCTGATTTCATTTCTGAAGATGAAAGGTTATCATAAGTTATGTGGGTATTCTGTCGAGTCGACCCGTCCTCAGTGTCCTCCCTAATTTGAAATATTATCGAGGTGAGCGGGCGTCAAGCACACCCTTCCTCATCGTTCACTTCTTTGTGAAAGTGCGTCTTTTGCGACCCCACGACAGCGTATGAAAAGTAATACCAACCAAAGACAAGTTAGACTCAATGAGATGTTCTACCGATATCTACTCAGTATATACTAATATTGTTTAACTGATCGGCCAGTCCTTCGGTTATGAAATGGGTGACATGAGACACTTACTCTTTGTGAAAAGAGGCATTTTGATTGGCTCGTACAGATGTCCAAAGAATTTCCGAGGTTTTGGTAATTTGGGTGAACAATTATGGGATTAAATAAAGCGTGTTGTTTAAGCTTACTTCTGGTCAAAAATGATCATTTGCCTTACCTTCTTACATGTTTTATCCTTTGTCCATATTCGTCTTCCCACGCATGCATTTTGACTGCGCGGATGCCGGAAACTACTTGATTCATTAAAGAGATTCGCTGATCGGACACTGTAGCTGTGCGCAAGCGCAGCTTAGCATTAGCGTAGGACAAGACGGCATAGTATGGCATGAGACTACACAAGAGGAACACACCCGTAACAGCCTGCCAACCAATTAAATTGTAGATAAGGAATATTGCCCCTGCATAATCTGGGACTGCGAAAGCGGCTGAGAAAAAATACTTGACTGTCTCCTCTTCCATTCTTTTAACATCATTGGATATTAGATCGAATAACCGTCCTGCAGTGAATTTCAGTAACGTCTGCTTGCTGAGTAGAAGCGTCTGAAAGAGAGTACAGATTAGACATTAAAGAAGATGCATGTTCAATAAAACATCTGGTTTTTATATCCTGCATAAAGATATCTGCGACTACGTTTCGAGACGAGAGTATTCAAACCTCTACCAAATTATTTTTGAATGTGGGAAAAGAGTGACAACCCAGGCTCCATCTTTAATCTCGTTCAGAAGCGCGGCCGTGTACTGTAGCCAACTTCCCCGTTAACTGCTGGTTAAACAACTGTTTGTTTCTTCGATTGTTCGGAAGCGATAACAGAAATTTCCTAAATGCAATTAAAAACTTAAAAAAAAAACAGGCGATAACGAATATCTCCCAAATGCGACTAAATGCGACTAAAACTGCGAAAAAACACACGCTAGAAATCATACACGTAACTCACTTACGAACTGATTAACGTTAAATGTCTCAGCGCGCGCGCGCTAATTGCACGACACGCCACTCTGGTACTTTCTTCTTAACATTTTCCCCATTCCCACACTGGGAGGGAATTGTGTTTCTAAATAAGTGATTAACAATGTATTCTAAGCGAAATAAGTTTATTAATTGGTCTCAAGACAGTTTTGACGCCACACGCAACTTTAGCAACACGGGTGTGGCCATCACGTCCAGGATACACTTCATAAAGTCGTCCTAACGGCCAACGTCCTCTTGGAGTATCGGGCTGAATTACAAGAACTAAATCTCCAACTTTTAGGTCTCGGAATTCTGAAGTCCACTTTGGACGGCTGCTAAGGGCAGGAATACATTCCTTGAACCATCTCCTCCACACTTGTGAAATGATGTCCTGGACCTTTCGCCATCGTTGACGCGGGTGCAAAGGAGTGGTTTCAACGGACTCGGGTGCGAACTGTCCCCCCATTTGGCCGTGCAAGAAATGGTTGGGGGTCAATGGAACATCGTCTCGTGGATCTGAACTCTGATAAGTCAACGGACGGGAATTAAGAAGGGATTCCACCCCAGCGAACACAGTGATCAGCTCCTCATCGTTTACATCTCGTTCTCCTACAACGGCATAAATGGCTTTCTTAGCACCTTTCACCATTATTTCATGGGCTCATCTAAAATGTGGGGCACCTGGTGGATTGAATCTCCATGTCAGTCCAAGTTCCGCTGTCTTGCTCTGAAGATATCATCGGTCTAACTGACTGGCTAGTTTCTTTAACTCGCCGGCCGTACCCACGAAATTAGTGGCTCTGTCGCTTATCACTTCCCTAGGAACTCCGCGGCGACTGGTGAAACGGGCGAATGTGTTTAAGAACGTGTCGGTACCAAGTCCTCAGGCAATCTCTTAATGCACTGCTCGAGTTTCCAAGCAATTAAAAAGGCACAGCCACCTCTTCTGTCGTGGTTTTCCGCGTCCTTGAACAGTGTTCAAAGGACCGGCAAAATCTACGGTTGTTTGGGCGAAGGGTCTGAAACTGAAGTGGAGCCTCGTTTTCGGGAGCGGCGCCATAATCTGACAAGCTGGCTCGCTTCGTCTTCTCTTACATTCATTACATTCGTGATCCCACTCGCGAATCTCCTCGCGTGCGGTGATGATCCAAAATCTCTCACTCATCTGGCAAAGAATGAAGTTTACTCCAGCGGGATGGTTTCCTCTCTCGTGATAGTTCTTGACGATAAGTTTCGTCACCCAGTGTCCATGAGGCAGAATGGCTGGAAATCTAGTATCAAATGGGAGAAAATCTGCGAACTTTAATCGACCACCACTCCGAATAGCTCCATCGTCGTCGATGCAGGGGTTAAGCTTTATCAACTGGCTTTTCTTTAGTATAGGTTTCCCTGAGCTCAAAGCGGTGTCATCATGGACAGCTTCGCGCTGTGCTAAGCGCCCTATTTCCTCTTCAGCATTCTTTATTTCTTCGGGCAACAGTTCCATACTTGTTGTCTCTGTTGCGTGTATTGTGTAGTACTCTTCTCACTCTCGCGTGTACTAGAACCAAACGTGTCCAACTGAAATACCGTTTCGGATCAAGTCTCCACACTCATGGTGTGTTGTTCTGTTTCGGTGCAGTTTCTTTCTGCAGGTTATACGTCATATATACGTCATCATCATCATCATCATCATCATCATCATCATCATCATCTTCATCTTCTCTTTATCAGTCTTATTCTACCTATATTTACATATGCTGTAGAAGTATGGGGCTGCGCGTATTATCATAAGTATCTGAGTCGCATAGACAGGCTGTTCAAGAGAGCTTTTAAGCTTGGCTACTGTAAAGAGCTTTTTTCGATTGAAAATATTATCATTCTAAAAGATAAGAAGTTGTGGGCCAAGATCACCGACAGCGATTTTCCAACAGATTTAGATGACCTTTTGCCACCAGAGCGAACAATGGATACGCTACGTAAGAGGCGCCATAATTATATTCTCCCGCTTGTCAGAACTGAACGTTTCAAAAGGACCTTTATTAATAGATGTTTGTTCTCTTATTAGTTATTCAGTTAGTAATTTAGTTAGTTTATTAGTTTTATACTTGCTGATTTCATATCATTGTAACTAAACACGTTTGTTGTTTAGAGTGCTTAATAAAGACTTATTATTATTATAAGGGTTGCACAGGCATTCATGTCCTCTTTCCTCTTCGAGGTTCTAATCTCTGGCATTTTACTGGGTCTATCCGGGACTTTCATATTTGACCACTCACTGAAATCATTTGTAAGCAAGTCAGGGCTATTCTACCACAAGGAACATTCGGCTAACTCTGAAGGTGAGGCCTCTCTTGTGCATAAATTGGCTGGATTCTCTACGGTGGAGACATGCTGCCACTGCGACAGTTCAGTGAATTTCACCAGTTCGGTTGGCAACGAACGGTCGGAAGTCTTTTCCGCGCCCTCGAATCCACCATAGGACATCTGTACTGTCAAAGTAGAACGTCATGCTTTGTACTGGTGCTTCTAAAACAGTCAGCAAGGCCTGTGTTAAACGCAGGCCTAACATCGCACCCATGAGTTCCAGTCTAGGTACTGTTATCGGAGTCAACGACGCCACTTTATTCTTAGCTGCAATCAGGCGACTGGTTACAGTATCGTTATCGTATTCGCAGCGCATATAGACAGCTGCACCATAAGCTTGCTGAGAGGCATCAACAAATGTCACAATGCGCTTCGACTTGACAGGCTCCAGACGTCGTGGACACCAGAGGATCTTCACCCCTTGCAGACTTTTCAATTGCTCCGACCAATCCCCAGTTTTGTCTACTATTTCATCTTGAACTTCGTTGTCCCAGTCGTAGCCTCGCATCCACAGCTCCTGGAGTAGGATCTTGGCGATAATAACGTATGGGCAGGCAAATCCCAGTGGGTCAAAAATCGTTGCTACTTTACGCAGGACGTTTCACTTCGTTATCTGAAATTCTGGGGAAACTGCAGAAAGCGGTGACGGTAAACACATCCTTAGTACTGTTTCACAAAAATTCCAAGTGTCTTCGTTATCGGATCTTGACCGCCGTTAATCACGATCTCTGTGGCGCGCTCTTCTGTCGGAATCGCTTCAATTGCTTTCGGTGAATTAGAGATCCACTTCCTAACTTGCATGCCGGCATTTCCCCATAGTGCTTTCAATTGAAGGTACAGCTCCACTCTATCATCATCGTTTTCAACACTGTCAATATAATCGTCCATATAGGTTGACTTAAGGACGGTCTCAGTGGCAAGGGGATAGCAGTCTTGGTTTCTTCGGGCGTTCTCCTGCGCAGCAAACTGCGCCTCCATAGGGTCGAGATTCTTTCCAAAAATTACACGGCTAAAATGGAATACGTCTGGCTCTCGGTTAGAGTCAAGGTCTCTCCAAAAAAGTCGGAAGTGGGATTGGTCCTGCTCCTCAAGCTCTATCTGGAGATACATTTCTTTTATGTCGCAAGCGACACTAACAGGATTTCGACGGAAACGGACAAGGGCGTTGAAAAGATCTTGCTGTAATTTCGGCCCAGCATGGGTCATGTAATTTAAGGAAATACCACCATATTTAGCGGCACAGTCAAATACTATTTGAATATGCGTTGTCGACTTATCCATTCTCACGACCGGAAAATGGGGAAAATACCATACGTTAGCTGGTGGCTGTTCTTCTCAGGGTACCTTTCGTAAATATCCCATTTCAACATAGGCCTGAATGGTTGCTTGATATTCGTCGGCGACGCGGCTGTATTTCTTCAGACTTCTTTCGGTGCTTCGGAGGCGAGAGAGTGCCATGGGTTTCGAGTCAGGGAGATCGGGTTTGTTTTCTTTCCAAGGGACGGCTATACGATATCTTCCATTTTCGTACTTGAGGGAATATTTCACTTTGCCTAAGGCTAGTCTTTCTTCCTCGGTGAGTACGAGTCTGCCATCGCGGTCTGTGCCAGATTTCTCGATTTCCCAGAATCTCTTTAAGCTGTTGTCGATGTCACAAGAGGGTTCTTTTCCCTCGCTTCATATAGGTTCTCTAGCGAACAAGGAACGGATAATATGAGATCGTGTTCTCGCGGTCTCGTTTTCGTCAGGCGCACCAATACAGCACCACCCAAGTGGTCCGAGTCGGGCGATGGGTCCACCATTTTTTCCACGGAGATCAACGTGCGAATAATAGAGTTCAGCGTTATCAATGCCAATCAAAAGATCGACAAGTCCATCACTTGCTGGCTTGGGAAAATTGTACTGGGTCACACGCAGCCATTCATTCTGGTGGCCGTTCCAGTTCACAAATCTGTAATTGCCAGTGACTTTCTGCGGACACGTTTTTGCGCTTATTTCCTTCGGTGTCATTGAGCACATAAACTTGAACTTGGGATACTGGGACTGCAAGAGCCATTGGAAAAATTTCAAGTTTTCTTCTCTTCATCTGAATTAACCAACGTCGTTTTGCTTCTGTTTGTCGACTCCATTCGTAATTTAGTCATTTTTCTCGGTAAACTCGGTAACATCGCTGTCCTCGGATTCGGCAGTCATAGTGCACAACTTAAAACTCAAATCGCAAACGAAACCTCAGACAAACATCAGTTCACACCTTCCTCCCATCGTGGTCGCCAGAAATGTTCAGAAACGATAACGAAAATCTCCTAAATGCGATTAAAACTGAAAAAAATACAAGCGATAGCGAAAATCTCCCAAATGCGACTAAATGCGACTAAAACTGCGAAAACACAACGCGAGAAATCGCACGCGTAACTTGCTTACGAACTGATTAACGTTAAATGTCTCAGCGCGCGCGTGCTAATTGCACGACACACCAGTCCGGTACTTTCCTCTTAACATCGATTCTTTTTTTGGTGAGCAGGATTGCTTGCTTTCGCAGAAACAGCAACTAACGATGATGTTTAATAACCCTCTCTTCTTGGGTCTCCACGTGGCATAAGCCAGTTGCAATAATCATACAGATTTCTAGAGAAAAATAATTCTTTAGCTTAATTTGGAGTGTTTAGGGTATTAGAAAAATCGGTTGAGCCTTGAAAAAGTGCATAGAATACTCTTTAGGATCGTGCCTACCTTGTGGTACACCAGTCCCCTCAGGGCGCTTGCTATTTTGATCCCCAATATTTCACATCTGTAGTCTTGCTGGTGCATACCAAGACCACCGATCAAACCAATAAGACACAAAACTAATACGCAGGCGTAGAGTTGATAAGTATTCTCTGCCTCGGTTGACATAAGACTAGAAACAAGATACCCGAGAAACAGTGGAAAGAGAAGGCGAGAGATTGTACACAATATATTCCCCGTCAAAATGATGATAACATCTTTGGCAGACAGCATATAAAACATGCTTTTCCAAAGTTTGGGCCTTTTCCCATTTATTTTGCAATGATGTTTCTCGCTTTCCCAGCTTTTTCGAAGCTTGTCGGTGACAAAACGGCCAGAGTTCTCCTCTGACAAGGGTAAAAAGTCATTTTGATCCAAAGGTCTTTGACTACCCTCTTTAAGGACTCCGTTCATCCAACAAAAAAAAAGTGAAGATACAAAACTGACTTTTTTATCTTCATCACTAGAGATTCTCCAGTAACCGCCCTTTGGTGCCATCACTTGAGACCTACAAAATACTTAGCCATCATTAGCATGTTCAACACAATTGTCAAATGTATTTGCGTGTTGTTCCAGGATTGTAGAACCAACTTGCCTCCTAAGAGTTGTAAACTCACATAAAATCCAATAAGTCACGGTGTTTTGTAGAACCTCATAACTTTTATATAGCCTAAAAAATGATATAGCCTAAAACAAAATGGTAAATGATCAAGATATATGCCCGTCATTAAATAAACTTTGTGCTCGAAGAGTGTCGAGTTTTCCTTTCTCTAGTTTTTATGAACGTTTAATTTTCTTGGCATAGTTAGCGTGACTACCCTAGTTTTTGTTTAAAATTTTGCGCGGGATATTTGTGCGCGCGGCCGGCCAAAATTGATCCCCTTGCTTGGGTGAGCCTGTTGAGTTCCAGACTCCCTCTTGATAGAAAGCAAATAACAGGTGAACAGCATTTCTCAATTATTTGAGGAAGCGGCGTGGAACTAACTTTTCATTCCGAATAGAGTTTCCACAATTTTTCGCCATCCGGCTTTCCTTCATGTCTCCTCTAAGCAAGAACTTGTCAAACTTATAAGTCGTAAAAATAAATCAGATCTTTTTTACTTTCATTTCACGTCCATTGAGGCGTAAAATAAAATTTCATAGGCAAGAAAACGTTATTTTTCTTCTCAGGCTAAAAATAACCCCATAATACTGTAAAATTGGATACCTACCGAAGTCGATTGCGTGAATGAATTTGTCAGTGTCTCGCGAAATGAAGCAGTTGAAATTCTGGAGCCAACAAAGCGCGGTCTGGACGGTCTGCGCGGTTTGCACGATTTGCAGTCTTCAGTCTGCGTTTTAGCATAACATCTCCTGTTATCTAGCCCACTCAATCGAAGATTTTAACAAACGATGCATATACAAAATGTCAACACAGCGCTGTTATTGGCCTTGTAATTACAATCGATATGGATGGAATCCTACTTACAATTTCGGGTAAAAGGTATTAAGCTTGCAAGTGGCTGTGTGATAAAAATTTGAGGAAGCTGCAACTCTATATAGCTTACCTTGCAACTTTGTTTCATTATACAGGAATTCACCAAGACACCGGTAATATTGCCGTTCCTTGCTATTTGCAAGCCATATCTATTGCAAGAGCGAATAAGTTTCGAGACATTTCTAAATATAGGAAAAAAAATCGACTGAACGATGTTCCTGTATAATAGGACAGATGTCGTATTTTAAAACGAGAGGATTATGAAATTTCCCAAGAGCCCTGTTTTCATTACGCTGAATAAAAGAGGACTTAAATTTCAAAACTCTGGGGACAGAAAACAAGGTGAAGACGGAGCTTTTCGAAAACGCTATGACTAAATGCCCGGCGGCCGGACACGGTCTCAAGAAGACTAAGTGCCCGGCAGTCAGAATTTTTCACACAATTTCCACCGAAATCAAGGCTGTTTCAAACTTCGTATGAATATCAGATGTTTGGTCTTTTAATATACAAATTCTTCGAGCACGATAATATTGCTCGGTTGTCGACGCTTCTTATCAGACTGCCGCGAATGGTCTCGAAAAGGTTCAATGCCCGGCAGTCAGAAATTTTCTCGGAAGCGCCACTGATTGGTTCCTTGAAACCTCTGAAGAGCATTAGAGTGTTTGTTTAGATGTGTCAAGCGATTTCAGAAATTAACTTGGCTTTTTAGTGGACAAATCCTACCAGCTTGTAAAAACGATAACGTCAATGCCCATGATTAAGCTCCATCCACATCTGTCTGCCGCTGTTGACAACCTTTGTAGTGTGAGCGGAAAAAATTCGTTCCTTTTCTTTTTGTTTAGAAATAATTTGGAAATGTTGTCTGAAAATTTTTTCCAATGAAGAATGGACCGCAGCATGACTTTAATTAACAAATAGAGAAGCCTTGACTGTGCTCTGTTCTGTTATAAAGCACGCAGGAAGCGGCTAGAGCACGAAAGAAGTGTAGGGAGAAACACGAGACGTAGTCGAGTGTTTCTCCCCACTTCTTGAGTGCTCTAGTCGCTTCCTAAGTGCTTTATAACAGAACAGAGCACAGTCAAGGCTTCTCTATTTGTTTTATAATAAAGAATCCGTTAAATTCCCCATGTATTACTTTCAATTTTCAAAACAAACTTTATTTCCAAAGCGAACAACAGTGTCGTCAGCATGCTCTATACTCTCATAGAGCACGCTACAATAAGCCAATCAGAATCCCTGTTAGAATGGTTCAAATAATCTGATTGGCTTTACAAGACAAAAGCTGTCAAAAGTGTCAAACCATCAAAGTTCAAAAACCATCAAAGTTCACAATCTGCGATAGTTTACAAACTAAAATAATTCGGCAGGTCGAATTTAACGCTTTTGCCTGAAGTTTTTAATTCAGAATCTTGAAGTGAAATGTTCAGTGAACTTAAGCCGAATTATGACTCATAAAAACACGCGGGTTTTTTCACACGACAAGGTAGAAAACAAACTGTTCAACACCGGGTTTTTCTTCCTGCTTCGCATATTTAGATCAACTCTTCGATCTAAATGAGAACAAAGCACTGACGGTTTTTTTCAATGCAATTTTGTCTGACACCTACGCTACTGTCATGACCGGAAATGTACAACTTTTTATCTCGACCCAGCGCAAAATTCCAACTTCTTTCCCACGATTATTTTATCCAGACTGATAAATGCTCTTTCATATGCTAAAACAGATATATTATACCGTTATTTATCCATACTTAAACTATGGTCTTGCCAGCTGGGGTGCTGCATACAAAACTAGATTAAATAAAATCTGCACTAAGCAGAATATATATAGATGTATACGAAGCATGTTCTTTGCTCATGGCAGAGAACATGTCAACCCCTATTATAATCTTCTTGGAATCTTGAAACTTGAAAATATATTTACAGACTAAAAGTATCACTTTTTGCAGATAAACTCAAGAATGACAAAAGTAACACCCCAGCTGTACTACTCAATATTCTCACACCTGCATCAGAGATTCACACATATAATACCAAGTATGTTACCAATTAAAACTTCTTTAAGCCATCAGTACGCACTAATTATGGTATGTCTAAATTTAAATTCTCTGTAATAAAAATCTGGGAATCTGTACCACCTGAATTTAAACGTTTTCCATACATGCTATTCAAAAAGCGGTACAAAAGATTCTTATTGAGTACTAAGAACTGACCATAGTTTAACTGTTAGCTATATAGGATAATGTTTCACAATATGCAGTTCTCCTTTTATTCTAACTTGCATTTATGTATGTCTTTCTTCTCTTACGATAACAATATCGTCTTTAATGTAACTTAAATTATACTTAATATGCAGCCAAATCATATCTACACATGACAGTGACCAACTCGAAAGCTCATCGACTACTTTGGTCACTGTTCACGATGAAATATTCTTTCTTCTAGTTAATTTCTGTTTATATTTTTTCTATATCCTTGTAAATCATGTTATGGAAAGTTATTTTTTTCTGAAAACAGTGTGAAATAATAAAGTGTGAAGTGTCTGACTAAAATAGGGTAGAAGAGCATGGAAATATAAAAACATGTTGTGGTTTCGGCGAACTTGTAGAAGAGCCGACCATCAAATGGCGTGCATTAACGAAAATTCGACCTTACAATGCACATGGAGCGGTCTAAAAAATAAACGAAACTTATACGGCCAACTAATGTTTAACGAGTGATTTGAGTCAAAAAAAAGCTTTTTTAAAACTCGTTATGGGATAAAACATCATTAAGTAACGAAAAATCTTTATCTCCATCTAGAAAAGTACAGCCGCCGAAAGTAGACTCTTAGCTCTAGGCGACCTATTGTTTAGGTAGAATAGATAGAACTAGGTAGTTATAGAGGAAAAAACTTCAGAGGCAGGATAGCTATAACGAGATTTAGGTTTATTCAGAATAACACTAAGTCGAAGTTTTCGTATTTGTGGTACTTAAAGTGGAGTCCTTTCCAGTTGATGCATGTGACATGTAATCAAATAATATTTTACCACGTGAACTAATTTATCTTAAGGTCCCTTCTTCTGAATTTATGAGACATCACGAAGTCGCCAGAAATAAAATATTGGATGAAAACCCAAAAAAAACATGGTGGAATTTTTTCCTAACACGATAAGACTTCTGAGTACCGCCTTCAGGTCGCAAAGTAGTGTTGATAGCTCGGTAACTTAACTCACGCGTCACGCAACGTCAGGTTTGTTAGTAGTAACCATTGGCGTATTGAACTATGTTATTTAAGTTCCTTCTTGATCCTTCGTCCACGTCGATAAACCACAAGTTTCCAAATAGTCGTTTACGATTTAAAATTTGACCAGAACACACAGTAAATCAACCAAGTATAATAGTTCCAAAGACTGCAGAGTATACCAGACTTGATTTTTCTTTTTCCCGCAACTCGTTACCGCAACTAAAAGTGCACGGATAAGTTTTCTATACATAAAGAATAATACATGGGCGCGCGTAGATATGGAATTTCTCTTCGAGTGTTTGACTCGATAGCTCAGCAAATGAGCGCAGCGAATGAGTGAGATGTCGAGTTGAACACGAGAAGAGAAATCCCATATGTGCAAGCAACCATACATTAGTTTGTTTATCATATAAACACAATAGCCCTTCACTGAGAAGAAAAGCCGACTTCATTCATGAATGAATATAAATGAATCGACAATCCCCGAAGAACAATCGTAGAGTGCGTTGGCGCTAACTCCCAGGATGGAAAAATGCTTTGAATCACGATTACAAAACAACAATGCTCGTAATTTCCAATTTACAAAATTACTGGTTTATTGACTTTGTTCTTACCGACAGAAGAAGTCGTTCAGGTAAACGGCCAAAATGTTGAAAATCTCCCAGTTGTCGATTTTCATTCTCAGCCGAGAGAAATTCCAACGCTAAAGCCACTGAATAGTAACTTTCGGTTTTTCTCTTAGCATATTGGTTTTCTTCGCCTCCTAGGAAAGTTTTAATCTCACTGTCAGTCAGC